ATATATTTTCATGTATTGCTGAAATAGTCATTTTTGTATATCAAAAGTAGTATTTCACTAAAGGTCATATCACTAGCCCCTCTGAATGTTTTTACCACGACTTATGTTAGAACAGGACATGTCAAATCTCCCTTAGAATAGCCTTTTTTATTGCTATAGAAACTCGTCACATACACAAGTGATGTTATATCAGAGACATATATAACCAGAGACATGTATAACACATGTTATATACGTCTCTGGTTATATATATAGTATTGTGGTAGAAACAGGTCACACAAACTTGTGATGTTATATATATAGTATTGTGGTAGAAACAGATCACACAAACGTGTGATGTTGTATATATAGTATTGTGTTAGAAACAGGTCACACAAACTCATGGCTGTTATATATATAGTATTGTGGTAGAAACAGGTCACACAAACTCGTGGATGTTATATGTATAGTATTGTGGTAGAAACAGGTCACACAAACTCATGGTTGTTATATATATATAGTATTGTGGTAGAAACAGGTCACACAAACTCCTGGTTGTTATATATATATAGTATTGTGGTAGAAACAGGTCACACAATCTCGTGGTTGTTATATATATATAGTATTGTGGTAGAAACAGGTCACACAAACTCGTGGATGTTATACATATAGTATTGTGGTAGAAACAGGTCACACAAACTTGTGATGTTATATATATAGTATTGTGGTAAAAACAGGTCACACAAACTCGTGGATGTTATATGTATAGTATTGTGGTAGAAACTCGTCACACAAACTCGTGGCTGTTACATATATAGTATTGTGATAGAAACAGGTCACACAAACTTGTGATGTTATATATATATAGTATTGTGGTAAAAACTCGTCACATAAAAACTTGTGATGTTATATATATAGTATTGTGATAAAAACAGGTCACACAAACTCGTGGATGTTATATGTATAGTATTGTGGTAGAAACAGGTCACACAAACTCGTGGCTGTTATATATATAGTATTGTGGTAGAAACAGGTAACACAAACGATGTTATATATATAGATGTTATTGTGATGTTATATATATAGTATTGTGGTAGAAACTCATCACACAAACTCGTGGCTGTTATATATATAGTATTGTGGTAGAAACTCATCACACAAACTCGTGGCTGTTACATATATAGTATTGTGATAGAAACAGGTCACACAAACAAACAGGTCACACAAACTCGTGGCTGTTATATATATAGTATTGTAGTAGAAACAGGTCACACAAACTCGTGGTTGTTATATGTATAGTATTGTGGTAGAAACTGGTCACACAAACTCATGGCTGTTACATATATAGTATTGTGGTAGAAACAGGTCACACAAACTCGTGGTTGTTATATATATAGTATTGTGGTAGAAACAGGTCACATAAACTCGTGGTTGTTATATATATAGTATTGTGGTAGAAACAGGTCACATAAACTCGTGGTTGTTATATAGTATTGTGGTAGAAACAGGTCACATAAACTCGTGGTTGTTATATAGTATTGTGGTAGAAACAGGTCACACAAACTCGTAGTGTTATATATAAAGTATTGTGGTAGAAACAAGTCACACAAACTTGTGATGTTATATAGTATTGTGGTAGAAACTCATCACACAAACTTGTGGTTGTTATATATATAGTATTGTGGTAGAAACAGGTAACACAAACTTGTGATGTTATATATATAGTATTGTGGTAGAAACTCATCACACAAACTTGTGGTTGTTATATATATAGTATTGTGGTAGAAACAGGTAACACAAACTTGTGATGTTATATATATAGTATTGTGGTAGAAACTCATCGCACAAACTTGCGGTTGTTATATATATAGTATTGTGGTAGAAACTCATCACACAAACTCGTGGCTGTTATATATATAGTATTGTGGTAGAAACTCATCACACAAACTTGTGGTTGTTATATATATAGTATTGTGGTAGAAACAGGTAACACAAACTTGTGATGTTATATATATAGTATTGTGGTAGAAACTCATCACACAAACTTGTGGTTGTTATATATATAGTATTGTGGTAGAAACTCATCACACAAACTTGTGGTTGTTATATATATAGTATTGTGGTAGAAACTCATCACACAAACTCGTGGCTGTTATATATATAGTATTGTGGTAGAAACAGGTAACACAAACTTGTGATGTTATATATATAGTATTGTGGTTGAAAAGGTTCACACAACCTGTGGTTGTGAAATATGTTTTTTTCTCCAATCCAGTCAGCTATTTTACAAAACTTACTAAAACAAGGTGTTCTATTACAACTTTTGAAAAAGGATCCACAAGATTGAAAGGAACATCATAAACAACAAGCTGTGGCGATGTAACATGTGGTTCTTCTGAGTGTTTGTGACCAGGACAGAAAAAAATTACAAGCAAGTACACATTTCTCTATTATCTAAGTGACCTGAACAGTAAAATAGACTTATAATTTCTATGAATAATGAAACATGAGGAAAAGAATTGCTGTTTTGTGATAATTTCAAAAATTTGAATAATAAGTTACACACACTATTTTGGTGCGGCATCTTTAGTCCCTTTCATCTACAAAGAGAATTTATTTTGATTATGCCATACCTGGGTGTGTTAAAAATCAAATCCATTGTTCATACAAAATTGAGCCCTTACTTCGAGGAATGCTACACACGGAACTTTGACAACATCCATGTACAGATGAAGGATTTTGAATGCTTGTTACATTTCCCCTACATTTGCTTTAGATCAAATTGGGACAGCATCCAGGCATTCCCTTAAAAAAAAAAAGAATTTAAATATTTTGCTGTATTTTCCTGCATTAGGCCTCCCGCTCACCATTTATAAAAGCATGTTTCGGTCCAAATTTTGGCAAATTCCAATCAATCCTAAAGGAGGATTAGAATTTCAAAATTTCCCTTTTTGAGACCCATTCTCAAACTTTTGTGGGCTGAAATCCATCATTCAAAAAAATATATTATATCTTTACCTATGGATGCTTCTGACCAAATTTGGTCAAATTCCACATAGTTGTGTATGAACAGTAGCATAAGGAAAAAGTTAATGGAGGATGACACTGTGATATGGAATAAGCTTATGGGACAAGCAAAAAATAAATCAATGCAAATAACTGTTATATATATTTTATTCAGAAAATTGCATATAAAATGTATTATCAATCCACAATTTATCACAGTGTCACTTATAACAAATAAAATTAAATAATGATTTTATTGCACTATATAATCAACATTCACTTTTCGAGTCACTAGGCAGTTTCCTGGTAGAGGGGATTTTCTAATGATGCTCCATCCATTGTGATTCTCTACAACATCAACAAGAATATTTAATTATTATCACCATAACATTTTATCACACCCTCCTTACTACTGAATATCACTGTAACATCAAAATATCATTGTACGTCAATTAAGGTGTGCCAACCTTTCTAATTTACATGAACAGTGCATATTCTTAACTTTTCACTAGACATTAAGTGACCCTTCTTGTCACAGACATTGTAAACAATTAATGTGTTAGTAAATTTTTCTAATGATTAATTCAGGCATCATATATTATCAGTTATAATCTCAGCCTTGGACTACTATATAATCCTGGTAAAAGATTTTTAGAGACAATAGTCTCTTGTATGATCTGAAAGTCTTTCTGATGTCCAACACAGTTGAGCTCTAAATTATATAATTTTCTAGTTATCAAAACATACCCCTGTTCCATATTTTCCTCTGAATGTATTATCGTTGAAAGATGGCTCTACATCACTCATGGCAAACTGGAAAAGATAAAAGAAAAAAAAAATCATGAAGTATTTTTGTGGGAATTCAAAATTTCAATGCTGGATTGCTATACATAGATATATGTCAAGTGGGTCCCCAGGAATGTATTACACTACAATTTTTGTCAGGAAAATGATATACTGCAGTAACTCAAACAAGGAAAACACAAAGAAATTAGAATATGACTCATTTTCAGGTATTACAAAATGTACTTACGTCACGCATATCATTGGATGATTCCTCGTAGATCTGATTCACTATGCCAGGTAGAGCCAATCTGTTGGAAACAAAATTTGTACTATTAAGAAGAAATGATGACATATATTTTGCCCTTAAATTAACCAGTATATCATCTTACAGAAACGTTACACTTGATGATTAGAAAAGATTTGTTCAAACAGGAACATATTTGTGACAACCTTTCATACCTTGCTTTTTGATTCTTTCTGTAAAAGTATCCACCCAGGACTGCAGCTACAACTACAAGTACTGCTGCTGTAACCCCTAGTCCAATACCAACACTATCTGTAACAGACGAAAAAACACAAAAAATTAGAAAGTATCCAACCAGGACTGTTGCTATAACTACTGCTGCTGTAACCCCTTGTGTAAGGAATAGCTTGTCTGACAGCGGAAGGAATCATTACAAATTTGAAATTCAAGAGGACCGAAATTTGGATATATTGTAATACCACTAGTGTTCTGTACATGATGATAAATTAACCACCGGTACGTCTACAATGTAATACCGTTACTGTACATGATAATAAATTAACCACCGGTACGTCTACAATGTAATACCGTTACTGTACATGATAATAAATTAACCACCGGTACGTCTACATTGTAATACCATTACTGTACATCATAATAAATTAACCACTGGTACATCTACATTGTAATACCATAACTGTCCATCATGATACATAAACCACCTTGTACATCTACATTGTAATACCGTTACTGTACATCATAATAAATTAACCACCGGTATGTCTACATTGTAATACCATAACTGTCCATCATGATACATAAACCACCTTGTACGTCTACATTGTAATACCGTTACTGTACATCATAATAAATTAACCACCGGTATGTCTACATTGTAATACCATAACTGTCCATCATGATACATAAACCACCTTGTACGTCTACATTGTAAGATAGTCAAGCGATCGCTGTGATATATATCACAACTATTGTGACAAGTTCATGCTATTTGCACACTTGCTAAATTCTATTCGTCTTATGTGTTTTTTTTATTTTGTTTTATGCATTGGTACCAATTTTTCGCTTTCATATATGTATAGATGTGCTAATATTATATACGATGTCGTGTACATCTGTGCAGATTCTAGGTTCTTTACCTTTCACTGTATAACCATTTGGCATTCCTATTTTTGCATGCCTTGTTTATTACATTGTTTTTTTGTTGTTATAAAAAAAATCTTCACAGTTTTCTGTCTTGCACAATATGGCATGTCAAAAGAATTTCTGAAATCTTGAAAAAGTAAACTAAACTGACACATAAATGTTAAAAATCTAAAAAGAATACAAATCATCAAATATTAAACTAGAACAATGTCGAGGAAGGGCCCCGCATAATACCTACCCCTTATGATTGAGTTTCTTAATATTAAGAAATATTGAAAAATGGTCATAGCAGTATGTAAATAATTGAAAATGGTATGAATTTCATGGCAAGAATTGAAAACAAAAACTGCAGGTACATATGTGAAGACATAGCAATTTTGGTTGTTATAATGAGTGTTAGGTCAACAAGCGAATCGGACAGACAACTTATGGACAGGTGTCAAGTATTGAAAGCAACTTTCATCAAAATCCAATGAAAATGGACAGATGGACAGATATATGGATCGACGGACAGGGAAACGGACGGACAGTCAGACGGACAGGGTGAACATTGAACTCGAATGAGGGGCTTATGTACCAAGTATCACAAAGCAAGTTTTAAAGAAATCCCAAATCATTCCTTCAGAAGATATTCTCTGTAAAACATTCAGCCAATCAGATTGCAGCAGCCTCATTAAATATGCGCGGAATTCGGCAAACATCGAACTTGAGCGAGGGACTTATGTACCAAGTATCATAAGCAAGTTTCATCGAAATCTCATCATTCCTTCTCAAGATATCGTGCGGAAAGCGAAACGGACAGACAGACGGCGAGACGGACAAGGTGATTACTATAGGGCACCCGCATCGCGATGCGGGGCCCTAATTAGAGAGAACTTACACAGTTTTACTGTGAACAAGATTACATCTGTACAACTATAATTCACTTCATGCACTTGGAACTACCTATCTAGCTAATGAATTTCTTGTAAATATTCATAAGCTATTCAGAAATTTATTACCCTTGAAAACATCAGCTTTCATTCTCATGTCATTAAATGAGGTGATTTACAGCTTTCACAATGAGTTGGCAAGATTTTATCGTGTTTCTTAATTAACCAAGCTCTTATAAATAGCAGAATAGATATTCAATCTCTGGTAAGGCTAATGATTAAGAAGAAAGGTAATTATATTCACAAAGACAATAATAACCTTCATGAAAGTCCTGACAGTGAATGGGGGGCTGGAGATTCAATCTCTCTGAAAGTCCTGACAATAAATGGGGAGTTGGGGATTCAATCTCTCAGGAAGTCCTCAATGTGAATGGGGAGTTGGGGATTCAATCTCTCAGAAAGTCCTGACAGTGAATGGGGAGTTAGGGATTCAATCTTTCAGAAAGTCCTGACAGTGAATGGGGAGTTGGGGATTCAATCTCTCAGAAAGTCCTGACAGTGAATGGGGAGTTAGGGATTCAATCTTTCAGAAAGTCCTGACAGTGAATAGGGAGTTGGGGATTCAATCTTTCAGAAAGTCCTGACAGTGAATGGGGAGTTGGGGATTCAATCTTTCAGAAAGTCCTGACAATAAATGGGGAGTTGGGGATTCAATCGGGAGTTGGGGATTCAATCTCTCAGAAAGTCCTAACAGTGAATGGGGAGTTGGGGATTCAATCTTTCAGAAAGTCCTGACAATAAATGGGGAGTTGGGGATTCAATCTCTCAGGAAGTCCTCAATGTGAATGGGGAGTTGGGGATTCAATCTTTCAGAAAGTCCTGACAATAAATGGGGAGTTGGGGATTCAATCTTTCAGAAAGTCCTAACAGTGAATGGGGAGTTGGGGATTCAATCTCTCAGAAAGTCCTGACAATAAATGGGGAGTTGGGGATTCAATCTTTCAGAAAGTCCTAACAGTGAATGGGGAGTTGGGGATTCAATCTCTCAGAAAGTCCTAACAGTGAATGGGGAGTTGGGGATTCAATCTCCCAGAAAGTCCTGACATTGAATAAGGAGTTGGGGATTCAATTTTACAGACAGAGCCAGGTGTATAAAAGGAAAGTAAATACTTCTGTTCGTGTGGAAAAATCTGATTAAATGTATTGGTTAGGGGTCAACCTTACACACGCCATAAATAAGCCATATCAGTCTTTTTCATATGCTGTAATGAAAACTGGGAGATCTATTGGCCCTCTTTGGACCTCTTTACTGACATCTGTCCCTTTACAACCACTGAAACTGACAGATTTGTCATGAGTTATCTTACTGTACTTACATACTCTTAAGTTTGGAACTGACAGAATTTTAGAGGCTCTACAGTACCGTTAACAAGCTGTAAACAACACAATACTAGTAAGATCACGTGATTAATATTAAACTGTCATGAAATATTTACAGAACTCTTTCCCTTGGATACAGTAATTACCACTTTTTATTGCTTATGCTTTACAAATCTGATGTTTTAATGTGAAAAATAATCAATAGGTAAGGGGTAATTAGCTGATGACACATTAAGTACTTAGCTTAGGAAATTTATGCTTTAAAAAAGCTGATGAAGAACACCCTAGCTCCAATCGCAAATGTTTGTCAATGTAATAGATGATTGAATATAGCTTCGTATTTGTTTGTCTACAGATATTCCTGTCTATGTGTATTTCATAAATGAAATATATAAATCCACTTGTCAATATTACCTAGCAACAATGATAAAATGAATATTATTAGAAATATATCAACTTAGATTGTGTTTACTTACTAGATTGATCACTGTTAGACTGAGTCTGTGTATGAAGAATCCTAAACACACTAGATGAATTACTGTTAGACTGAGTCTGTGTATGAAGAATCCTAAACACACTAGATAAATTACTGTTAGACTGGGTCTGTGTATGATGAAGAATCCTAAACATACTAGATGAATTACCGTTAGACAGAGTCTGTGTATGATGAAGAATCCAAAACACACTAGATGAATTACCGTTAGACAGAGTCTGTGTATGATGAAGAATCCTAAACATACTAGATGAATTACTGTTAGACAGAGTCTGTGTATGATGAAGAATCCTAAACATACTAGATGAATTACTGTTAGACTGGGTCTGTGTATGATGAAGAATCCAAAACACACTAGATGAATTACCGTTAGACTGAGTCTGTGTATGATGAAGAATCCAAAACACACTAGATGAATTACTGTTAGACTGGGTCTGTGTATGATGAAGAATCCTAAACATACTGGATGAATTAACATTAGACAGAGTCTGTGCATGATGAAGAATCCTAAACATACTAGATGAATTACTGATAGACTGGGTCTGTGTATGATGAAGAATCCTAAACATACTAGATGAATTACTGTTAGACTGGGTCTGTGTATGATGAAGAATCCTAAACATACTGGATGAATTACCATTAGACAGAGTCTGTGTATGATGAAGAATCCTAAACATACTAGATGAATTACTGTTAGACAGAGTCTGTGTATGATGAAGAATCCTAAACATACTAGATGATTTACTGTTAGACTGGGTCTGTGTATGATGAAGAATCCTAAACATACTAGATGAATTACTGTTAGACTGGGTCTGTGTATGATGAAGAATCCTAAACATACTAGATGATTTACTGTTAGACTGGGTCTGTGTATGATGAAGAATCCTAAACATACTAGATGAATTACTGTTAGACTGGGTCTGTGTATGATGAAGAATCCTAAACATACTAGATGAATTACTGTTAGACTGGGTCTGTGTATGATGAAGAATCCTAAACATACTAGATGATTTACTGTTAGACAGAGTCTGTGCATGATGAAGAATCCTAAACATACTAGATGAATTACTGATAGACTGGGTCTGTGTATGATGAAGAATCCTAAACATACTAGATGAATTACTGTTAGACTGGGTCTGTGTATGATGAAGAATCCTAAACATACTGGATGAATTACCATTAGACAGAGTCTGTGTATGATGAAGAATTATAAACTTACTAGATGAATTACTCTTAGACCGAGTCTGTGTGTGTGATGCTGTTGATCCCTTGCCTAAGTATTGACATCTGTCACCATAGAAGTTACTGGTACAGCTATTAAAAAAGATAGGATAACATATAAGACACTTTATATTGAAATCATATTGTAATAAATAAATATTACACTTTTCTGCATTGGTTGTACACGTATGGTGTAATCACAATTATTTAAATCAATATTACATTTTTTCTTAATTTATCATTTCAAAACATTTCATTGTTTAAAAATCTAAGACACGAAAAAGAATAAAAAACATTACATTTATTTCACAGAGAATTTAATGTTGTTAAATTCCTTCAGTAAAAGGACCTCAGACGATTTTAATTGAAAATTTGTTTATAACTATGGAAATCATTGATAAGTCTGGCATATATAGGGCAAGATTGATCAAACCAATGTTGGTGATCCTAAAAACTTTTTGTTCCATTCAAAGTCAGATTTATCATTAATACTAGAGAAAAAATCTTAATCTAAAAATCCCAGACAATGATACTTTATATATTATAGTAATTATCTAATATGTTGTTGTCCTGGATGTTTAAAACATGTCCTTGTCTCTAATTAGTCAGTTTATAATCTGGATAATTATCTGATACATCCGTTTGACCCTTCATAATAATTGAGATATTTTGGATTTGAAATATTTCAGGGAGAATAATGGCTAGAATGTGGGTAGCGACTAAATAAAAGTAAAAAGTACCTACCTGCATCCAGGTACATTGGTCGTGGCAGCGTTACATACTCCATTATTTTGGCAGAAATTTGGTGGGCAAGCTAGAATATAAATACACGTCTTATTTATGAAATGAAAACTTGTTAGTCTATTTGTAAATAAAGTCACACAAAACATACTTTCTTCATTGTTTTGTTAACAGTTAATGTAGTGTCGGTAGAAGATTGACATTGTACGTAACTTCAAAAGAATGTGGGATTAATCTGGACACTAAATACATACAGCAGCTGAAGATATTAAAATCTTGTGTATTTGGGTGTACTTACCTGACCCACAGATACTCTCGTCAGTCATGTCCCCACAGTCATCTATTGAGTCACAGCGAGTACTGTTGATGCACTGGCGTTGTTTCAGACAGTAGTAAAAACCCTTGTGGCACTTCACTACATAATAAAAACATTTATAAAGAAACTGCTAATTGATAACTTTTTCTGAAATAATGTAATACATTGTTTCATTGAATAATTTGAATTGATATAATTCCCCTCCCTCATCCCCCCTCTCCATACTCAGTAAGTTATTGACATGGCAATCATTCTCAGGCTAGCACAAGTATGACTGCTAACTTTCCTGTTGAGGAAGATGATCAACCCTCCGCATTGGGGAAATTCATAACAACCTGCTGAAATGTGTTATCAAAATGTGAAGTGTAGAAAATGATGATGATAATCTCAGCGAACATATTTCAATTTACTTTTTTCCACTTTAAGTGAGATTGTTGGTAATGTCATAATGTTGATAAATATGATAAGTTAAATCTACAGTAGATGATATTCTCAATCCAGCAATCAACTTCAACTGTAAAATCAAACAAAGTCACGTCACAAGGTATTGTATAGTTTACCTTCACTAGATAATTCTAAAAAGAATGATACATAAATCCTGATCCCCTTTTGAAAGAAACCTAGATAAGACACAAAAGGCAGAGGTTTGGTTGCTGCCATCATCTCATCCACGGAGGATGTATTACTTAGCTATAAGAACACCAAACCTCTAGAGCTGAGAAATAATCTACACCCATTTCTTTAAAGATGGGTACCAGTGTACTGTGTGAGTAAAAAAAGGAATTTGTTTCATTGTCATAAAATACAAAATTACTGAGAACTTACAGTAGCCTGTTTTGTCCCACGGAATGGGAAAATTGTTAATTATAGTAATTGTTTGCAGATCTAGAACTTACAGCAGCCGTTTTCATCGGAACCATCTGAACAGTCAGCAACACCATCACAGAAGTAGAGCTTGTTGATACACTTGCCATCACTACAAGACTTCTGGGTGTCAGTACATGTACTTATGATGGGTGCATGGGTGCTTGGTTTCTGAGATGATGGTGGCAGGGTTTTTGGGGCTGGAGTTTGAGTGGTTCCAATGGAACCCACATGTTTAGGGGTACTTCCTGTTGGAGCTGGTGAGGTAGGGCAGAAAAATGGTTCATCAGATCGGTCAGGACAGTCAACAACACCATCACAGCGCCAGGTGTCGGGGTAACACTGATTGACTGGAGCACACATGAAGGAGTTTGCATCACAGGCAGGTCCAGTAGGTAATACAGCTGCTTCTGTAATTTAGAAAATAAGAGTTATGTATTTAGACACATATCACAGACCTTGTGAAAGTCAAAACATATATGATAATATGTAACAGTGATAACTGGGGACCTGCCTCATACGTTCATTATAATGAGGAACATATCTCATGACAATAAAAGTGACAGATAAATTTATCATATGTCAGATTATACTCCATAGTATACTGTATAGTCACATGTCACAGGTAAATTTATCATAAGTAAAATAGTCACATGTCACAGGTAAATTTATCATAGGTAAGATAGTCACATGTGACAGATGAATTTATCATAGTTAAGATAGTCACATGACAGGTAAATTTATCATAGGTAAGATAGTCACATGTCACAGGTAAATTTATCATAGGTAAGATAGTCACATGTCACAGGTAAATTTATCAAAGTAAGATTTTACTCCATAGGTTACTGTATATACCATATGATTACAAGTAGTCACATGTAGGTTTGGATACTAATAAGAGCAGATATAGAATTTATCACTGAAGATGTAAATATGATTTTTTTAACAGTTAAAGGTGAAAATATTAACATTAAATTCCTGACATGAAATATAGAGTATCGAGTTGGGAATTAGTTAATATCAATTTCTTTTAGGAACTCACGTCCTGTAGAACACTCTGGTGTAAAGGACACATCATCCAGTAAGACTTCAGACTGAGGCTCGTCTCCACGGGTAGCCTCAAATATCACTGAGAAATTCTTGCCGCTACCTAGCAACACATTTGCATACTTCCACTTGTTACCTTGACTCCCACTCATGGACCAGAACAGTTGATTATTCTGCTCATTGGCATTCTGTGTAAATAGCTGCAAGAAAGAAGACACTATGTATGAGATTTCAACTATTGTAGCCTTACCTAGCCTAACTACTAAATGACCTTGCCTTCATGTATCAACCTTAAGCTAGAAACAGTGACCTTGACCTTAAAAATTATGAAACATCAACTCATGAAAGGATATTGTTGGATACGTAGAGATAATTTTAGAAGAGTGCTGAACTCGATATAGGATAGGATAGGATATGATGTGAAAACCAATAGGATTTGATAAGCATGGGTAACACTTTATACAATCAATAAAATTGAGGAAGCATAGCAATTTCATTTGATAAATGTTTTGCCACTTACCCTAAGGGATCCCAGGTTTGATGAGCCATACATATAGTACCAGAAGCGTACATAACACAATCCACGACTAGCCGGGAAAACTGGTGTCTGTAGGCGTGCTGTGTCACCTGGTCTCATGTTTGAACTGTCCATCACCATAAACTTTCCATTGGCTGTATTGCGATGATCAATGTTGGTACCTACACTCTGGGCAGAGACCGTAGGTCCCTGAAGCCAATCAGAGTCATCGTCTTGCAGCTGGAGCCAGACGCAAGATGAAATTGGGCTTGGCTGGTCAAATGTACAATCCCCTGAATTTGTACCTATACAACATATGATTAGATAGAACATATTTAAGTTCACAATCAACTTTATCATGGAATTGACGGAAGGTGATTGGACCATCTACCTGTAGCCAGAAAGGTCAAAAGGTTGGGGCGTAATATGGCTAGATTTTCCTTATTTGGATTCCATGTCTTTTCAATGCATTATTATACCCTCCTATTCAACAGGTGATATGAAACTGAGTTCCATAGTTCCCAAGTACGAATATCAAATGATCTCCTGTTAAACAAGGTGCTGTCACAAAATCAGCTCTATGCAAAATGCAGGCATTATCCTATCACAATTCAACAATTAACGTGCAATAAAGATGGCTGAATAGACAAGCATGTGTAGTTTGATAAAAAAATAAAAAATCCCAGAAAATTACGCTGTTAAGAGTTTTGAAAACATTCTTAAAAATAGTAACAATGACCATGACCTAGACCTTTGAATTTTAACTTGTCCTAGATATAAGAGGGTGAAGTTGGATAAGAATCCCTGAAGGAGTACCGGTAATGCTACTAGAATGCTGACAAGGAATTTCTAAAAATTAGTATCTTATCCTTGATCCTTAAAACCTGAAATTGTAATTTCTGAGATATAATGATCTGTCATAAACAGATGAAATTCCATCAAGGGTAAATGTTATGTACATATGTACAGGAACATTCCTATATCCCCTCCCAAACTTTATGTACAGGAACATTCCTGTATCACCTCCAAAACTTTATGTCCAGGAACATTCCTGTATCCCCTCCAAAACTGTATGTACAGGAACATTCCTGTAACCCCTCCAAAACTTTATGTACAGAAACATTCCTGTATCACCTCCAAAACTGTATGTACAGGATCATTCCTGTAACCCCTCCAAAACTGTATGTACAGGAACATTCCTGTATCCCCTCCAAAACTGTATGTACAGGAACATTCCTGTATCCCCTCCAAAACCTTATGTACAGGAACATTCCTGTATCCTCTCCAAAACTTTATGTACAGTAACATTCCTGTATCCCCTCCAAAACTTTATGTACAGGAACATTCCTGTATCCCCTCCAAAACTTTATGTACAGTAACATTCCTGTATCCCCTCCCAAACTTTATGTACAGGAACATTCCTGTATCCTCTCCAAAACTTTATGTACAGGAACATTCCTGTATCCCCTCCAAAACTTTATGTCCAGGAACATTCCTGTATCCTCTCCAAAACTTTATGTACAGGAACATTCCTGTATCCTCTCCAAAACTTTATGTACAGTAACATTCATGTATCCTCTCCAAAACTTTAGGTACAGTAACATTCCTGTATCCTCACCAAAACTGTATGTACAGGAACATTCCTGTATCCTCTCCAAAACTTTATGTACAGGAACATTCCTGTATCCTCTCCAAAACTTTATGTACAGTAACATTCATGTATCCCCTCCAAAACTTTATGTACAGGAACATTCCTGTATCCCCTCCAAAACTTTACGTACAGTAACATTCCTGTATCCCCTCCCAAACTTTATGTACAGGAACATTCCTGTATCCTCTCCAAAACTTTATGTACAGGAACATTCCTGTATCCTCTCCAAAACTTTATGTACAGTAACATTCATGTATCCTCTCCAAAACTTTAGGTACAGTAACATTCCTGTATCCTCACCAAAACTGTATGTACAGTAACATTCCTGTATCCTCTCCAAAACTTTATGTACAGGATCATTCCTGTATCCCCTCCAAAACTTTATGTACAGTAACATTCCTGTATCCTCACCAAAACTGTATGTACAGGAACATTCCTGTATCCTCTCCAAAACTTTATGTAGAGTAACATTCATGTATCCTCTCCAAAACTTTATGTACAGGATCATTCCTGTATCCTCTCCAAAACTTTATGTACAGTAACATTCCTGTATCCTCTCCAAAACTTTATGTACAGGATCATTCCTGTAACCCCTCCAAAACTTTATGTACAGGAACATTCCTGTATCCCCTCCAAAACCTTATGTACAGGAACATTCCTGCATCCTCTCCAAAACTTTATGTACAGGAACATTCCTGAATCCTCTCCAAAACTTTATTTACAGGAACATTCCTGTATCCCTTCCCAAACTTTTGTAGTGAGAGAGATAATCAGGAAACATCATTTCCAAACATGAATGCTATCAATGGATGAAACATGGCCATGAAACAAACAAGATAACTTTTTCCTTCTTAAATATTTCAGCGGAAAAAATCATGATTATTGTCTATAAATGATTATATTCATGACAGCTGTCAAAAAATGAATGAAATACATACGACAATTATCCTCATCTGAGCTGTCAGAGCAGTCAGTACGTTCATCACAGTGATATCGTTGCTGTATACATTGTGTTCCACTGAGACATCTGAATTGGTTATCCGGGCATGTCTCCACTTCAATGGCTGAAAAGAATGTTAAAGGTAATAAGTAAAACACAAGAGTAACAAAAGTAATTCCTTTACCCAATCATCAGAATATCATAAAGACACACCTCCAATAATAAAGATTGCAAAACAAGTGAAATAGCTTCGTTAAATATAGATCAAACAAGGGGCATAACTCCAGTAATAAGAGTGTGAAATAAAGGAGATAACTCCAGTAAACTCAGATCAAACCAACAATATAACTCATATAATAACGAGTACCATACACAGATGAATATAAGAGACTTAATTACTTTCAAAACCAATCACATCAAAATATTACTAAGTATTACAAATGATTCCTTTCTGTTTAATCATTTCCCATTCAAGCCAGGTGTGGCTAAACTGACAAGTGTTTTGTACTTGAGCATTGATATCATCCATCTAAAGCATTCCAAATGGTGTTCACAGAATGTACTTACTAGGTTTACAGTTATTGAATGAGATGTCATCAATGGCAATATCACCAAGGTAGCCATTTCCACGAACACCTTTGATCATGATAACAAATTTATGATAGCTCATCAGAGGCACCGATGCCAATTTCCAGTTAGGTCCCTGGTCACCAGATATTGTCCAGAGTGTCTGTATTGGACCAAGACTCAGTTTGACCAATACACTGAGTGAGCCGATATCTCGTCCTTTCATATTGTACCAGAAGGTCATGTTACAAGCTGGGCCAGACTCAAAGTATTCTGAACTCTCTAAAATGGTTTTATCTCCTGGGTGAGATGGTGCCGAACTCTCCAGGTATAGATAGTGACCTGTTGTTTTGTTGGTTGTATGGTCATTAAGTGGTCCAGTCAGTTTGCTGGGGGTTTGTCCAGTCTGTAATTTCCAGTTAGCATTGTCCTGCTCTGAATTTTTCCAGCCACACCAAGAAGGTCCTGTCTCAAAGGTACATCCAGTACCTAAAAAGAAATAACATAAGTAAGGCTGATACCATATCTAAATCTGTCACGTTTGCAAATTGGTTTTCAGCTCACAGTAAATATAATTTTCATCACGTAAACCACAGATGATAATTTAATGCAAGCCATTTTGAGACAGCTGATTTCTGTGTTAATTGGTAATAATCACTTCAGTATATTACTTACCACAAGTCATCTCATCTGTGTTGTCTCCACAATCATCAATAAAATTGCACAGCTCTTCTGGTCCATAACAATTACCATTGGTACATGTATGTCTGTCTGCACCACAGGACCCAGTTACTGGAGGCGTTGAGGTTGGAGTGCCCGGCAGAAGTGCTATGTAGCAGAAATTGTACAACATATGCGTTCAATCATAGAGACAGAGATCAACTGGTGACAAGTTTCAAACAACCAAAAAAACAAAAAAAAAATCATAAAAGCAGAAATGGATATTATGACAACATTAGGAAAAAGACAAATTTACCAAAGGACAGCCATATCTAGTTCACATCTAAGTGTGAATTATCTGATAAAATATTGTCACAGATAACTCATTGTTTGCTGTGAATTAAATTATCTGATAGAATATCATAAGAGATAAACTTACTGTTTGCTAGCTCACATCCTGGTGTTAAGGAAATATCATCGATGGCAATATCACCATGGTAACCGGCTCCAACTGTGGCTTGAATAACAATCTGTGAAACAATTTGTGAACTACTGTTTATGTATGTTCTGTACGATGCACACATTGAATTGCATTTATACAGAAAAAATTAACCAGTCAGATAGGAAACTGATTGCAATCTCATTGAATATGTAGATTAAAGAATATGTTACTGAAATGCCCACTCAAAAACTTCAGTCTATTTTTTTCCCATACAAAATACCGGTATCTAGGACAGATTTCAACACCCACCATTATATTATCGATAACTTGATCAGTTGAATCCCTCCCCTGTCTTTAGCTCTCAATTTCTTCCTTATTATTTGTAGTACAATGTATTTAGAACTCAACCCATTGTTCTACAAACAACCTATACAAAAATTTAAGAAAGATCCTTCAAATACTTTCCAGAAATACTAATAACAAACTGAACTTCTGTCAATCTCGTAATATTCCATGCCCAAAGCTGAACTTAAGTAGAAATTTTACAAAGATTCTGTGAGATAGCAATAATATACATGTGGCCACCTAGCTAGCAGTCATTTGGATTTTCTGTCTTAATACTGTCTTTATACAACTAGGTACCAAGGGTTATATACATATACAATGAAGGCAAGTTCCATACAGAACTTGTCATTAATTAGATTTAACATATGTCCAAATGTTTGGAACACAAGCAATTTAAACAGCCAACCTTCTGATAGTGGCACACTTACAACAAAGGCAACCATTAGTTATGAAGATATTATCATAAAAATGTCATCAAATTACAAATGGGCAACTGTCAGTAGTGTGATCATATTGACACTATTCCAAACATTTTACTTGCATAAACATCACAATAAGAGACATAAATTAAATTTGACTGAATCCACATACAGCTATGGAAAAGGTATAGTAAGAACAATAACCTAATTCATTATGAAAATGTATCATTAATGGCCATATATGTCCCTGCACGGGTACTTAGAGATCTGATTAAATTCTGTCAAAATTAAGATTAATTTTATTATGGAAATCAATGAAATGTAACAGTGTGTATTCAAAGCTGCAGACATACTTCATAATTCCTCGTGTCTCCAGGATGATTTGACACTAAGATATCCTCAGTGAACCAGAAATCGCCTTTGTTTCCCGTGAGTGTACCGATTGGTTGAAGATCACCCGGATTGTATCCATAACGTTTCAGAATAGTAAGGTCTCCAATATCCTGGCCCCACATGTGATACCACAGCCTTACCTGTAGAAAAAGTTAGCTAATCAGTCCTATCTGAAGAAAACTAAAACTTAAAGATTGATTTTTGAGGAGAAAACAACCTCTAAGAACATATGTCCTATGCCTTACAAAACAACAAGCTAGTAAAGACAACAACTTGACCCAGGTCTTTGACCTATAATCTTAATTAATGCAATTAGTTACTGAGCTACAATGATCCTTGATTCAGTATAACAAATTATCAGTTAGTGCGTGCATGTGTGCATATGTTTATGTGTATGTATAAAGTTTGTATGTATGTATGTTTCTTTGTATCATAATTATACTCTCAATATATAACTGATATGTGTTCTATATTTAATTGTATACATATGTATGTGTGTTTGTGTATATGTATGTATAGGTGAGTGTGGGTATGTATGTGTGTAAGTAGGCATGTGAGTATGTACATGTATGTACGTAATTTGTATGTGCGTGCATACATATGTGTGTTTGCATGAATGTATATGAGGGTGCATGCATGCATGCATGCATGTTTGTATCTATATATTCATGCAAATATGTATCTTTGCCTGTGTGAGTGTGTAAGGATGTGTCAATACACGTTTGTAATTTGTAATATGTAAAAAATTAAAAAAATATATATATATATCAATTAGGAGAAAGAATGTTTGAACTGGACCACTGAATGAGACTTCTGATAATACACTTTTTCATTTCAGTTCATTAAATGTTTTATAATGTAATAACAAAACCATGAAAATATTCAAAATCTGTCCTTAACCTTCAATCTGGTGACCTTGACTTTGTGTCAAGTAACTTTTAAATTTTTTTTTTAAAAGTTTGCTTTATAAGTATAACAATAAGATAAGTAAACCAATAAAAGATTTGAAATTTGACCTTCACCTCTGACCTACTCATCTGCAATGATATTTACTGAAAGAAATATTTGGTAAAACACACTAATGACAACCTTTAGATAAAAGTCACAGTGACTTAATTATGACGAAGTGAAGAATTATAATAGATTGGAAATTCTACTGCAAATGAAGAGTGAGAACTTAATTTAACCTGCAAATGCTTAAACAATTTCAGAAAGAAAAAGAAAGGAAGAGAGGTATGGAAAGGTTCCAGTCTACATAGGCTGGAAAGGGAAAGCAGTCACTAGTTTTGAATACAGGTAAGAATTTAAAGTAATAATGATGTTTACTTACTTCACAGTTCTGTGATGTTCCTTTGATAGTAACAGAAGCAAGGCGTGCTTGGTCTCCCTCCTTCCTGGGACTGGAACTCTCTATGTAGAGGTAGGTACCTATGCAGACAAATTAATACTTGTATAACAGTTCTAGTACTCTCTATGTAGAGGTGGGTACTTACAAATGCATACTATAGTGCTGGTACTATCCGTGCAGAGGTAGGTACAATGTACATACAGACTATTAATACTATACTAGTACTGGATCTTGGGACCAGGTGAGCTAAAAATTCATAAAGTCTGAAAGATATGATGTATGCTTAGTGAAACTGTTGGTATAACACACTGAAACAAGTTAAACAACTTCTTATAAAAGTGTGAAATATGTAGCAGTTAAAATAGTCACCTTTAGAACTTCTCAAGGTATGGTCAGTTAGAGGTCCAGTGCCGATAGTTTGAGTATGGGAGGTAGAGAGTGTCCAATTAAAGTTGTCTGTGATCTCATTTGACCATTGAGGACAGATGCCATTTTCAAAGTTACACCTGGCTTTGTATATCTCATCACAATGTACCACCTGCACACAAAAATAGGTGACGAAAGTGACCATAGGTCAGTAAAATTCCCTAGAAATTTTACAAAATCCTAGATCAACACTTCAGGGTCATGAAATTGTAGATTGAAGGTAAAATTTATGAGATAATATGATTGCTGCTCGTTATATGGAATAATTTACACCAACATGTAAGGATATGTAATATTGACCACCAAACTTCTCAGTTATCATTTGATACAAACATGTCAATATGATAATCACTTTAGGACTTAAATGCATTAAAGTAGTACAATTGCTGATAACATAATGGGGTGGAAATACTATTAACATCCTTAATTTGGCACAATTTTTTTTTCTTTTTGCAAATTAGCTGAATGATGAATTAGCAAATCTACAATTAAAAAATAAAACCACATTCAGAAACCGTAATTAATATATTTGAGCAAAATATTTACAATTTATTATATTTATGTGGAAAGTGCTTAAATAAGATTACTACTAATATATACAGAGTAAAACTATCTGTAAATCACAATCTTATTCAATATGCATTAATTGAAGAAAAGGAGGATACAAGAAAGAGTTTCTTACAAATTCATCTGAACCATCACCACAGTCATCCGCATAATCACACTGCTTTGCAGGGTCAATACAGTAGCCATTGTGACAAGAGAACATGTCGGGTGGGCATCCAGATGGAGGCTGAGCCAGAGGCATACAGTCAATAAACTGTAGGCTGTCTAGTGAGATGTCATTCTGAAAACTCCTACCACACCGTGCCTGAATTACCACCTGGAAACTGGACTTTGGACCAATAAATACATTTACCTCATTCCATTTGGCACCGTGATCACCTTCAATTGAGAAAAGGTATTTTTGTTGATTATTATAGAGGATGTAAATATCGAGGGCGTTGACTGATGGACCTTCCATCCAGTAGTTAAAACTGAAAACACACTGTGGCCCTGTCTGCCCAATCATCGGTGTATATAGTTCTGTTGTGTCATGGAAGACTCCAGGAGAACTGTCAGCCCAAACATAACCTCCTACAGGAGTGTCAGTAGATTGGTCATTGGCTGGCCGTCGATCTCCAGGATTGACTGTTGATCCATGGTCAAGCTTCCACTTGTAATCCTGGTCAGGCAAACCATTGCTTGTAGTGTTGACAAGCCAGCCACACAAACTACCATCATCAAAGTCACAGAAGAGAGAGGCTATAAAAAAATAATCACTTTCTTATCAGTCGCAAATACAAAGACTCTGCTGAAGTAAAATTTTTGATGACTTTCATAAATCGCATATGAAATAGGAAGGAATTCAAGATTCTTTTGGAACAAGACATGAATGATTGAGCAAGCATTCAATTTAACAGCTTTTCATTGGACTGATATCAAAATAAAAATTAGTGATAATCTCACTATATCTCTTTCTTTGGTACAAAATAATTTGAAGCCATGAAGTTATGACATCACAATCAAAACTATGTATATCTTCAGCAAAACCACTTCGTTTTATCATACATGTGGTCATAACCTCATTCGTGTAGAAACAGACAACAGAATAGTTATGTGATAAACTGGATATACATTTAAAGTGTTAAATCAGAAATAATATTTATACATACCACAGTTTGCCTCATCAGATGTATCATTACAGTCAGCCTTGAAGTCACAAACATTGTTCTTATCAATGCAATGACCATCAGAATGACAGTTGAACTCAGTGGCTGCATTACAGGTGTGAGGAACAGTCACTGGAGGTGTGTGAGTGGTGACACCAGGTGTCACTGGCGGGCCGGGTAGTGCCTCTGAAGTGTACTGGCAGTCAGGAGTGAATGACAAATCATCAATAGCAATATCTCCGAGGAAGGTATCTCCAACTTTAGCCTCAAAGATAACTTGGAAACTCTGAGTAACATTGATTTTTAAGGCTACCCTCTGCCAGTAGGCACCCTGATTTCCTGACCGGGTGAACAGTGTTTTTGTTGGAGGGCCAGAATTGTATACTCGGTAGTACACATTCAGTTGGTTTACATATTTTCCGTACATGTAGAAGTAAAAACGTAATGTACATTGGTGACCGTTTGTTCTGTAAAATGGCTTCGTCAGTAACCACGTCTTTTGGTTATAGCGCCTTCGTGAAGACTCCATATACAGGTAGTGGCCGTTCTGATTCCCTATTGTATGATCCCACAGGGGCCCAGTGTAGAGAGAGGGTGAGCTGCCATTCCACAATAACCAATCAAAATCGTCATCAACACTGTTATTGCCTTGGATCAGATCCCGAATGCCTCCAGACTCAAAGCTGTACTGTTTATAACTGCTACAGCTGAGCTCATCTGACCTATCACCACAATTGTCACTGAGATCACATAGGTTATTACGTGATATACAGACTTTGTTCTGACACCAGAAGTGTGTTGTTTGGCTGTTTGGACAAGTCTGAACTGGAGGCTTCATCTTACAGTTCAGGAACTTGATGTTATCAATGGCTGTCACACCACTATACACAGCCGTTTTCTTGGAGAAGACAAAGTTGAAGGCGGATGTATGCCTGCCTACACCTACTGTGACCGCATTCCACTGGTCACCTTGGGCGGTGGTCTGGTGCCACAGTGTAACCCTCACCCCATTCTCTATAAGGTAGAGATACAACGAGCCGGGGCTTGCTCCATTCATGTAGTAAGAGAACTGTATTAGGCATTCAGAATTTGACGACACATATGTAGGACTCATGAGCTGTGCAGTCTTACCTACTGGGTGGCCTTGAGTACCGTCTTTAATGAATACATAGAATCCATTTTGGTTCTGGTAGTTGGCGTCAATGTTGGGTGCCATACTCCTGATTGCTGTAGTGGTACCTCCACTTCCCCGCTTCCAGTCAAAAGAGTCTGGTGAAGATTCCCTCCAATTACACATGCCTTGTTCAAACTGACAAGAAGATGTACACTGATTTTCATCTGAGCCATCACTGCAGTCGTTCTGAAAGTTGCACACCTTAGAACTGTCAATGCATGATTTGTCCCCACACTGAAAGCCATTGTTAGGGCAGGGGTTCACACTTGGGGTTGGTGTAGGTGGCTGTGAAGCACCACATCCTGGTGTAAACGTTATGTCATCAATGGCAATATCACCATGGTAACCCAATCCAACGACCCCTTCAATAATGACCATGTAAGGCGTATTGCTGGTGAGTGGGACCTCACGCCGCTTCCAGGAATTACCTTGATCAGATGTAATGTTATCCAGCAGTACAAGTCCACCACTACCAATCGAGTTCATGTATACATTGAGTTCCCCAACGTCTTGGCCATACATGTGGTACCAGAATCGCAAAGCACAAGGTGATGTAGGGACTGGTAAGTAGTACCCAAGTCTAGCAGTATCGTTAACCCTCTGAGGAGAAGAACTCTCTATGTACATGTAATATCCAGACACAGTTCCAGTGGTGTGATCCTGTGATGGGCCAGTCAGGAAGGAGGAGGTTTTACCTTTGTGTCGCTTCCAATCAAACTGGTCATTAGTCAACTGCTGCCAGTTACAGGTATTCAACTCGAAGTCACATTGTCCGTAGCCATCACAAGTCTGAGCCGACTCATCTGTTCCGTCACAACAGTCATGCTGATAATCACACTTTAAGTTTTGTGGTACACAGTTGCCAGATCCACATGTAAACTGTCCCAGTAAACAAGAGCCAGTGGGGGCAGGGTAAGAACAACTATGAAAATGCAAGTCATCTACAGCTATGTAGCCAGCCCTTGTACCATATGTCTTTACTTCAATTACAATGCGGAAGTCTGAGGCACATACAGGTAGATTGGTTTGAACTTGTGTCCAGGTAGCATTAGGCACAGCCTGTAATGCTTGGTTGTCCATTGACCAAAGTTGGCTTTCTCTTCCTCTAGTACTAAGGTATATTGTGAAGTAGCGGAAATTTCCACCATTGATTTGGAACCACATGGAAAAGACACAAGTTTTGCCAGACTGGTGGAAGAGGGGACTGTCTAATCGTGTGACAGCATTACGTGTGTTTTGTGGTGCATCCACAACAGCATATGACCCTGCTGATGTCCCACGAGTATGGTCAGTACTGGGTCCCGGGTTACTAGTCGCTGCGGGGTTCATGTTTCTACCCAGTGTCCAGTTAAACTGGTTAATGTGGTCATTTGTCCAGAAACAGAAATCTGCAGTATCAAAGTCACAGAGCCAGGGGCAGCTATCTTCATCACTTCCATCTGAACAATCTCGCTTAAAATCACAGAAGGCTGACCAGGCTACACACTGGCCGCTGTTACACTGTCGCTTACCTGACCCACACGGGCCAACTGTTGTCTGTATGAATGGTAGAGTGGCATACTGGATTTCCTTGCAGGATGGTGTGAATGAGACATCATCAATGGCAATATCTCCATGGTAGGAGGTACCTCGCACACCCTCAATGACAACTCGGAAGGCAGAAGAACTTGTCAGAGGAATATCTGCCCTGATCCACTGAGCCGGCTGAGAGCCGTTCTTACTCCAAATTAGATTAAGCGGTCCACTCTCAAAGCTTTCTGTGTACACATTTAGTGCATTCACATCCACACCTTGCATGTAATAGAAGAATCTTATTCTACAAGTACTTTGTGTGTTAGGTGAAAAGACAATACTTTTCAGACGGGCCTTGTCACCAAATCGTCTTGGAGCGGAAGTTTCTATGAAGAAATAGTGTCCAGTTGGATTACCATAGGTGTGGTCAGTTGCTGGTCCTGTTCTGTCTGTAGCTGTCTTACCTTGTTTCCAAGTCCATTGGAAGTCATCACTGTCGTCTTGTGACCAATTGCAAAGGTCTCTTTCAAAGTTACAACGTTGAACATATTTTGTACATTGCTCCTCATCGGAGTAATCACCACAGTCATCATTGAAGTCACACACCAGTGACTGGTCCACACAAGATCCACGCCGGCATGAAAATTGATTTGAGGCACAAACTCCACCAGTGGCATTTGTTCCCAAAGCACAGCTGTTAAAAGAGATGTCATCAATAGCCATGTCACCGGAATTTTGATATTTAACTGACTCAAACACCAACCTATATCCTGGTGTGAGACGGCCTATATTTACGGTAGCTTTATTCCACTGTGAACCATGGTCACCATACACAGCCCATATCTGAACTCGTCCTGTTCTGGCATTAGGAAGTACTGTGGGGGGTACAACATACAGCTTCAAGGAGCCTGATGTTGTACCAGTCTTGTGGAAGTACAAACTAATTTGGCATGTGTCAGCCAAATTTCCATATGCGTTTGGAGAGACAAGTTCAGCTTTGCCATAAGATGATCCCTTAGAGGAGTCAACGAACATGTAGTTGCCAATGCCAGAACTACCATAGGTATGGTCAACTGATGGGCCGGATATAGGTGATGGTGTAGATCCATTGTGCCGTTGCCACATATAACGTCCTGTGCTGAGGTCTGACCATCCACAACTGGAGCCCTCAAAGGTACAAGCACCACACATAGCCTCATCAGATCCATCCCCGCAGTTGTCTATAAAGTCACAACGTTGACTTGTCAGGATGCACTTTTGGTTTGTACATTGCCAGTGGCCAGAGCCACAGGGTCCAACAGTGGTGCCAATACTACTTCCTGGGGTACCTGTGGGCACATTACCGTTAAATGGTATACATTCCTTTGAGAAAGACACATCATCAATAGCAATGTCACTGAGGTAGGAACTTCCCACTGTGGCCTCAATAACTATTTGGAATGGTGACCCTGTCATTACAGCAACTTCACGCCTAGCATAAAATTCCCCAACTGCACCTTTGATGCTCCAAATGTATGTCAGAGGACCATTGACTTGAGATCTTCTGTAGACAGCTAATGTGTCAACAGTCTGTCCAAACATGAAGTAGTAAAACCTCATCACACAGTAGGGTGCATTTGGTGTTCCTGTAAAAAAGCGACTTGCAATTCTGGCTTTTTGACCCTGTCTCCTCGGGCGTGATGTCTCGATGTACAAGTAGTGTCCACTGGCTGTGTTAAGAGTATGGTCCTTTGCTGGCCCAGTGTTCCTGCTTGGGGTGGATCCTGTTCGTAATGACCAGTTAAAATCATCATCTGTGAGTTGTGTCCAATCACATATTCCTTGTTCAAAGTCACACCTGTCATAACCTGTACATGTAGCTTCATCAGTATTGTCGCCACAGTCATCAGTAAAGTCACAAACCCGACTGGAGCTCACACATGACCCACGGGTACAGTGGAACTGGTTAAAGTTATTACAGGAGTTGGTCAATGAGGGTAGAGAACACCCTTGGAACTGGATATCGTCTATTGCAATGTCACCAATCGTACTGAAGGTACGTTGGGCAGCGATGTAAAGATAGAAACTGTTCTTTAAGCGGCCAATCGGTACTATAGCCTGGTTCCACCTATTGCCTTGGTCCCCTGCGATATTCCAGAGTCGTGTACTAGTGGTACTACCACCATTTACCATGTATACAGCAAGCGATCCAATGTTAGTGCCTGACATGTGATACCAGAAGGATAACTGACAAGTGCTAGCAGCCTGACCCAAGACAGGACTCAATAAATTGGCATGATTATAAGTTTGGCCTGTCACAGGCTCCACATACAAGTAATAGCCATTTGGTCCCAGGGTGGTATGGTCAGTTGCAGGACCAGCATTACTAGACTGTAACTGGGCATGTTGTCGCTTCCATGCAAACTGACTGGTTTGTGGAGTAGTGCCATTTGTCCATTTGCAGGCTCCCTTCGTCTCAAAATCACAGGAATATCCACAAGTGGTTTCATCACTACCATCACTGCAGTCATTGTTGAAGTCACAAACCTGATTGCTGCTGATGCATTGACTTGCATTATTCTTGCAGTGGAATGCACATGTGGCCACTGGAGTCGGGGTCGGTATCTGGGAACACAATCCAGATACTACTAATATATCATCCAGAGCCATATCACTGGTCAAAGTATTACCCACAACTCCCTCGAACACAAGTCTGTAACTTGAAGAAGCAGTAGGTATTTGTATCTGAACTTGTTTCCAGGCATTGCCTTGATTACCCGCCATGGTCCATAAATTGTGGGATGTCTGTCCATTATTTTGCCACATCCACAGGTTTAGAGAACCCATACCATTGCCATACATGTTGTAGTAAAACTGTATACACCTCTGTGTTGTAGTGAACATCTGTGACATCAGGTAGGCATTGTCTCCAGAGTGCCTGGGAGATGAAGCTTCTATGTAAATATAGGTTCCATACCTGCTGTTCAGAGTGTGGTCCACTACAGGCCCAGTTCCTACAGATGCTGATGGCCCCTTATTTCTCTGCCAATCAAATGTATCATTGACCTGGTTATTGTACCAAGTGCAAAGACCTGCTTCAAAATCACAGGAGCCTGGGGGTGGACAGTATCCAGTAGTCATGGTAATGTCATCTATGGCTATGTCGCTATAGAAACTGCTTCCAACTACTCCCTCAAATGTCAAAAAGAAGTCAGTCTGGCTACGAACCGTTACCTGGCCCAGATGCCAATGTGGGCCTTGTGGGCCACTGCGTTTCCAAATTGGTTGGCCAAGGTTTGTTGTTGAAACTGCTCGCTGATATACATTGAGACGGCCAACAGTTTTGCCATACATACTGTACCAGAACTGGAAGCAGGATGCAGTAGTGCTACTGAATTTTGGGGTATCCAATCGTGCTTTGTCACCAGGCCGACGAGGTCTTGAAGATTCGATGTACATGTAATGACCTTCATTGGTACCAAAGGTATGATCTGTTGGTGGACCAGTGTTTGAACTTGATGTACGTCCAGAATTCAAAATCCAGTCAAATTCATCACTCACTGATTGCACATAGCCACAAAGTCCATTTTCAAAGTCGCATGTGCCGTCCTGTGGACATTTACCAATATTGACTGTGATATCATCTAGAGCAATATCACCAGCATAGCGAGTTCCTGCTACGCCTTCAAACACCAACGACGACCTACCGGCATTCTCAATGTGGACCTGAGCATACTTCCAACCAAGTCCTTGGTCACCAAATCTTGTCCAAACCAAGCTGGAGAGACTAGAGGAGTTGGTGTAGATGTTGAAACGATTAACATTGGCACCATACATGTTGTACCAGAATTTAAGACACAATCCTTGAGAGCCAATGTTGAGGATGGGGCTCAGCAGTCTAGCTGTATCATTATTGTGTTTCCCTGACACCTCTATGTAAGCATATTGTCCATTAATGTTGCGCAGTGTGTGATCAGTGACGGGCCCTGTGTTTGTCGAAGCTGTGGAACCTCTATGAAGTGACCAATCAAAACTGTCTGTTGGGTCCTGTTGCCAATTACATATGCCATGCTCAAAGTTACAGTCCAGTGGTGTACTGGGGTAGGCAGAGGGAGAAGGTGACACAGTGTTGGCTACAGTTGTAGATGATGGCTGAACAGAACATGGATATCCAGTATAAGCCACATCATCAATGGCAAAATCTCCAAAATAGCTTCCACTGAAAGCACCCTCAAATATTATGTTAAATTCCTTTGACATTGCTGGTATAGACACAGTAGATTGTTTCCATACATTTCCTTGGTTGCCAGACAGGGTCAATCTCAAAGACTTGGAATGAGCTCCTGTGTTCTGCGTATACACATTCATGGTTCCAGGACCAGATCCAAACATGTGGTACCAGAACCTTAAACAGCTGCCAGAGGTTGGTGTCAGAATATCACTCACCAGCCAAGCAATCTGTTTATTTGGGCCCCTCTCAGAGGTCCCTATGTACATGTAATAACCAGATGATGTGCCTCTAGTATGGTCTACACTTGGTCCTGTCAATTTACTGGGGGTATCATTGTTATCTCTCAACCAATCAAAATCATCCACTGTTACTGCATTAGTCCAGCCACATGTATCTTGTTCAAAGTTACAGAATCCTACTGTAGGACAATTGCCATCTGAGATATACAAATCATCAATAGCAATATCACCTGTGTAACTGGAACCTCTGACTCCCTCAATCAGTATATTGTAAGAATTCTGGTTGGCAGCCAAAGTAACTGTGCCTCGTCGCCACATGTTACCCTGATTTCCATTTCTGGTCCATATCTGTCTGGGGAATGATCCATTTATCTGGGTGTACACATTCAGAGATCCAATACTTTGGCCATACATGTGGTACCAGAAGCGCAAACACCGGCTGTTAGATCCGCTATATAGTGGGCTCTTTATGATTGCTCTATCATTCTGTCTCTGGGGCGCTGAACTTTCTATGTAAGCAAAATGGCCAGAATTGGATCCATATGTATGGTCAAAAGCAGGACCAGTACCCCTTGAAGCTGTTCCATTACTTCCAATTGTCCAATCAAATTCGTCTGTTACCAGCTGAGTCCATCCACAGAAGCCAAATTCAAACCCGCAACCTCGAACGGGCGGGCAGGGTCCTGCAGTAACATTAAAGTCGTCGAGAGCAATATCACCTAGATAACCATTACCAACATAACCATGTATGGAGAGGTGATAATCCGAGGAGCTAATGATTGGACGCTGGGCATGGAGCCACTTGTCTTGCTGAGTGCCATTACGTGAGAAAAAGAGTGTGCGTTTGGTCTGGGTTGTTAAAAAGATATCCAGGCTTCCCATAGTGGGACCAAACATGTAATACCAGAAGGAGAGACAGTGACCTTGGTTGTCTGTAGGGGGCAGTGAAGGGCTATCTAAGATAGCTACTTGACCCCTTCGTCGTGGACTAGATGTTTCAATGTAGATGTAAGAGCCATGTCCTGTAGTGTGGTCATTAGGTGGCCCAGTACCAATACTGTTAGTGGAACCATTGTGACGGCTCCAGTTAAAATCATCGTCCATTGCTTGATTCCAAGAGCAAAAACTATTGTCAAAGGAGCATGAAATGTTTGGAAGGACAGCATTAGGTTTACAGTTGTCAAAAGTGATGTCATCAATGGCGATATCAGCAGTGCTTGAGGCAGAAAATCCACGAGCAGGTAGAACCTCAAACCTAATCATAGTCCCGTTGTTGACAGCTCCAAGCATTCTACCAAGATATGCAGATCCCCTGTGCCAACCAACACCTCGAGATCCACGAATGGTTGTGAGCACATGTTCGGTGTTGTTGACATACGCCGCCACAACAAGTGTGCCAACACTAGAACCATACATTGAATACCAGAAGTGAATTTCACAGGAGTCAGATGTACGGGGGAGGACTGGACTCTGCAGGACTGCTTTGGAGTAGAACACACCCCTTGTGCCCTCCACATAGATATAGTGACCTTGGGTGGTTTTAAGGCTGTGGTCCGCAGATGGACCGGATGCTGATGCTGTGTTAGCCGCTCCATTGTGAACTGTCCAGTTGTATTTGCCTGTGCTGATATCATTCCATCCACAGCTGCCCGTTTCAAAGTTACATGGTCCACACAATCCCTCATCTGACCCGTCAGTACAGTCAGGAACGAAGTCACATACCTTGGCCTGGGTGATACAGGACTTGTCCTTGGTACACATAAACATGCCTACTCCACAAGGACTAACGGTTGGAATTGTTGGCGGGATGGTGACCCCGTTTTGGAAGGTCTGACTAGACTTCTGACATCCTGAACTAAATACAACATCATCAATACCAATAATGCCATAATTGCCTTGACCTCTCACTCCCTCTATAAGAACTTGAAGATCAGATGTCCCTTGTACGTGAATCATTGCTTTCTCCCAAATGTTTCCACGGTTACCACTCCTTGACCAAATTTTCGACAAGTTATTAGAACTGTCTCTGAGATATACATTGAGACTTCCCATGTTTCTGCCATTCATATTGAAGTAAAAGGTAAAGAAACAGTTGGGACTAGAGTGCCAGACTGGGCTCATTAGGACAGCGTTGTCATTAGGTCGCCTAGGAGCATATGTTCTTATGTACAAATAGCCACCTGAAGCAGTTCCTGTTGTGTGATCAGCTGTTGGTCCAGTTAGTGATGAAAGAGGGTATCTTGTTCGATGTATTGTCCAATCAAAAACATCCTGCTTATCTTGTATCCAATCACATGTACTAGAGTCAAAAGAGCATCTGGATGTTATGTTCTTGCATGCAGTCAGAGATTCGTCACTGCCATCCCCACAGTCATCAGTATAGTCACAAACTTGACTTTTGTCCACACAGGCTCCACGGGTACAGCGGAACTGAGTTACAGAGTCACATGTCGCTTGAACTGGAGGCAGAGCACAATTTATCATAGACACATCATCAATAGCAACATCTCCAAGTACAGAAAACCTTCTAGTTGCTCCGAACTCCACTTGGAAAGGAGAGTTGATGTGGCCGATATCCACGGTCTTCTGAATCCACTGATTGCCATGGCCACCTGTTATCTGCCATAAGGAGGTTCTACGACCATTAAGGTTAAGGTCAACAGACAGCATTCCCACTCCTGAACCATACATGTGATAATAGAAAGACACCTGACAAGTGGCCGCTGACCGCTGAAGGACAGGGCTGGCAAAGAATGCTTTGCTATTCATTTTACCATTGCTTGCATCTACATACATGTAGTGACCTCTGGCAGTACCCAGGGTGTGGTCACTTGATGGTCCAGTGTTGGCTGTCTCTGTTCCATTTCGTTGTACATCCCAGCGATATGAACCAAAACTGTTGTCAGTCCATCCACATAAATTTTGTTCAAATGTGCAATTTCCACAAAGCTTCTCATCCGTGCCATCAGAGCAGTCAGTGATGAAGTCACACACTTTAGTGGCAGCAATTTGTTGATTACCACAGTTGAATGGGTGTGCAGTGGAAGAGGCTGAGGTGCAAGCCCCACTGGTTAACAAGAGGTCATCTAGGGCAATATCTCCATTTGTCCCTGCTCCCACGATGCCTTCAAGAGTTAAGGAGTAGTAACGTAAACTAGTCACATTGACGCTGGCCTGAAGCCACCTTGTACCCTGGTCTCCACTAATGCTGTAGATTTTTGTGTGAGTAGATGATGTATCCAAGTATAGATTAAGACTGCCCATTTGTGAGCCATGCATTAAGTACCAGAAAGAGAAGCAAGAGGCCCTAGTAGGTCGAAGGAGGCCTGATGTCAGCCTTGTCTTGTCACCGTTCTTTTGTGGTGCAGATGACTCCATGTACACATACCATCCTGAAAATAATAAATATTATTACTATCATTTCATGAATGATACAAATGCCAAATGAAATAAGTCAAATGTAAGATTATTTACCAACAAAAATCATTTTGTATCAGTGTAATCTTTATCATTAGTATCATGTGCTATCCATTTGAGGCAAATGATGAGTACTACTCTAGTTATGAGTTTAATGGGTTTACCTAGAGATAAACAAGTGAGATCTATAATAGTTAGTACCTTCCCTGGTTACCATGGTAACTTAGTGTTCTTCAGTGAGATCTATAATAATAAGTACCCTCCCTGGTTACCATGGTTTCTGTGAGATCTATAATAATAAGTACCCTCCCTGGTTACCATGGTAACTTAGTGTTCTTCAGTGAGATCTATAATAATAAGTGCCTTCCCTGGTTACCATGGTTTCTGTGAGATCTATAATAATTAGTACCTTCCCTGGTTACTATGGTAACTTAGTGTTCTTCAGTGAGATCTATAATAATTAGTACCTTCCCTGGTTACCATGGTTTCTGTGAGATCTATAATAATTAGTACCTTCTCTGGTTCCAAGGGTATGATCTACAGATGGTCCTGTTTGGACACTAGTTGTGTCACCTTTGTTTCTCAGCCAATCAAAGTCATCAAGAGATCCTTCAACATTGCTCCAGGCACAGAGATTGGATTCAAAGTCACAATCTGCAGGGCCAGGACAAGGTCCATTCCGTATTGCGATGTCATCAATGGCAATATTTCCAGTTTGCTGTCGTGTTGTCGCCTCAAACACCACCTGTATCAGACAAGGTTAAACCATCAACAATCTATCAAGCAAAGGTCAAATATTCAATCATTATTTTTTATCAGTTGCAAACTTACAATCCGTTTTCAAACAATGAGTCAACATTTTTTATCTGAGCAAGTCTTCTGCAAAAATGTTGTGATAACTAATACAGTCAAACTTTGATGTTTTGAAGTTCAAGGGACTACCAAAAAAACTTTAATGCATTGAGATTTTGAATCATACATGGTTGGATTATATTGAGGTTTTCATGTTCATGGCTATATACAGCTGATGACACAATATTTCTACCTGAACAAACACAACAGAAACCAAAACAAAAGTCTAAATGAAAAGATGCATTTTTTATCTTTACACAAAAGATTTTCTTTCATGAAGAGAAAACATTAGTTAAAATAAAAATCGACAAGAAATTGATCCTTCATGTCATAAAGTATATACACATTTTACAGGTCATTTTTAAATGAAACGACACACAGCATTAAAGTGGTCTTCACGTGCTACAGTAATTATTTTAAGACTGATACATAAATGTTATAGGCACTTATGAATTTAAAAGAAAGCAAATTAATATCATGATGTATTCTATCCAGAAACGACAGCACTAACATCGTACATCTTCGGTCATAGATAATTACAAGAGTTTGCGCCAATGTTCTAATGACAGCTAATCTGAATCAATAAGAGAATGCATGACTGACAGATCAATTACTGTGTTTCTCATGCTGTCTGGCTTAAAACTGTGACTCTTTAGGAATAAGTGAAATCATGATACAAGTGATAGGATTTCCTCTGGTTATTTTCCAAATTCCGTAAATTTGACCTAACTAAATGCCATTACTACAATGGCGGCAGTGGACATCACACGACATCCGATTATCTTTGATTACATGTCATGGCTTGTAAGCAAGCAATTAAATTTTAATCAGTGTCCAGTCATTAATTAACCTCTTAGCACAGAGCTAATGATAGTGGGCAATCGTAATCCCTTTTTCAGGTAGCAAGCCTCGTGGAAATGTGTGAAATTTTGCTGCAGGGCAAAAATACCTATACAGTACACGTAAATAATTTCTTCGAATCATGAGGTGTCAATAACTATGTTATCATAGCTTGCAATCTGTGAAAAAAACTTTGAAATCAGAAAGTTCAATCTATAAAACTTTGATTCATAAGGGGTTCAGTTAGCAGTAATATATAGGAATAAAATTTTGGACTTAACAATACATCTAATAAATTCTAATCATTGAAGTTCGATTCATAGAAATTTGACTGTATCTAAAAAGATTAGTGAAGCAGAATTGAGTTTTACTTAACACAATAGAAGTATGATGTTACATTATTTTTGAGAACCACAAATTGTATTCTAAATGGTGAGTCAGTATTGTCAGAACTACACTTGACCGTGAATGGTGAGTCAGTATTGTCAGAACTATACTTTACCTGGAATGGCGAGTCACTATTCAATGTTGCCTGAGCTACTCTCCACATGTTTCCTTGGGTACCTGATCTCAACCATATTGCAGGCTTTAGCCGACCCTGGGAGAAGAGGCGAACAGCCAAGGAGCCAGTACCGATTCCATACATGTTATAGTACCAGGTCAAACACTGGCCAGTGGTGGCTGGATAGGATGGGGTCAGCAACCTAGCTTTATCTCCACTAACTTGGGGTGCAGAAGACTCAATATACATGTAGTAACCTGGCAAGATAATCAACAATACGGATGAAGAAAATAGATCAAATATAAGTTCAATTTTTTAAAATTTCAAATCCTTTAGAAGTAAATACAATTATTCTGGAAATATCACTATTGTAATATAAAGTCTCCTTACCAGTTCGGTGAAAATAGAAGCTTCAATTTTATTGAGTTAAACAGACTGCTCAAGAAAACTATCTTTTAAGAAAGAGGTTCATAATATAAGCCTGAGTGATACTAAAACTATATTTCTTTATGGATAAGGTGTTGGATGATAATATATCACTGCCCAGTACCTTCATTAGTTCCATAAGTGTGATCTGACTGTGGGCTAGTTTGGACACTTGATGTTCCTCCGGATGTTCTCACCCAATCAAAGTTGTCTGTGTTGTCTTGGGAATATTGGCATATGTCGGAAGACTGGAAATCACAGGTATCTGAAATAATTGAAAGTGCATGTTCTCATAATCTGCCACTTATCATGATTATGTGTATAAACCATCAAAACCAAAGTCCTGGATGTACTTACAAAAGGATGAAGCTGATAAACACAAATAAACTGTATGGAAGTATAACTTACAGGATTTAACTATCAGTTAAACATGCTGTATGGGAGGTTGTATCTTACGGGAAGAACTGATCTGAGAATGACTAACATGATAGATATTTTTCACATTTACAGTGTCGGACTTGGGGTTTAATTGAAGATAATACGTATATCTTACTGGAGGTGGGACATGGGCCATCATTGACTGAAATGTCATCAATAGCAATATCACCAAGGTAACTCTTTCCTACAACTCCTTCAATAACAACCTGAAAGTAAGAATAAAACACATCATTTTAAATATAACCTTATGTATTGTTCTTAAACATCACCCTATGTATTGTTCTTAAACATAACCCTATGTATTGTTCTTAAACATAACCCTATGTAACGTTCTAAAACATAACCCTATGTAACGTTCTAAAACATAACCCTATGTATTGTTCTTAAACATAACCCTATGTAACGTTCTAAAACATAACCCTATGTAACGTTCTAAAACATAACCCTATGTAACGTTCTAAAACATAACCCTATGTATTGTTCTTAAACATAACCCTATGTAACGTTCTAAAACATAACCCTATGTAACGTTCTAAAACATAACTCTTTGGCTAATGATACATTTCTGGGAATCATGACACATATTAAGTAGTGCTAACATCAACAACACATTTTCGCTGTAGGCATTGTTATATACTGTAACATGCTACATATATTGAATATAACTAACTGCATTGTTGTGATGTAAACTAGTTACATATAATGACCATGCTAAGAATCCTAACTGAGACCTGAGCATTATTTACTGGAATACAAACAACAAGGATAAAAAGTGGCTGGCACTCTTTCTGTTATAAATGATTTACCTGTATACTGGCTTGTGGTGATGGAGAGGCCAGTGTTTCTGGTGTCATGTACACAGATGCAAACTTCCAGAAGTTACCCTGGTTTCCAATCTTCGTCCATATTGGATTTCCTATATTTCCACCTGTTTACAGTAAAACATCAGAGTAATGTCAGGTTTAATAACATTTGTTAAACCACAAACTTGATGATTGTTAATAGCTGTTCATCAATCATACCCTAGAAGCCTTATTACACATATTTTTCTATTCAAAGGCTTCTATTTCTACTAATGCCAAATCATTAATTAAGTTGTTCTATCCATTCATTCACTAAACACTAACTCCTTTGTTCAAAGATATTTACAATTATGTTTTTGTAAAGAAATGTTGACTTCAATACTTACTTTGTTTAGCATATATGTTAAGCTTGTAAACATCAGCCCCAAACATGTGGTACCAGAACTTGAAGCACTTCCCACTAGTCATTAGAATCATACTCTGACTGGTCAAACGAGCTGTATCATTTCTATGACGACCGGAGGATTCGATGTAAGCATAATATCCTATTTAGAAAAAAAAATTCATTTAAATAAGATAATCAAATCAGCAGTTGTTTAAAATAAAATATGATTGACACAAAATTTATTTTCTTCATACCATCAATCCAGTTACAAAGCATGATAAAATTATGACAGAGATTTACCATTGGTACTTCCTGTGGTGTGATCAGCTGAAGGTCCAGTGCCAAATGACGTTGTATGACCTTTGTGCAGTGTCCAATCAAATATGTCTGCCTTGTCCTGGTTCCATGTACATAAAGTGTTCTGGTCAAAGTTACAGTCGTATACACTAGGGGCTAAAACAAATGCAATGACATTTGGTGAAATTCATTATACAATAACAAGGCAACAACAAATAAGAGAGATGTAAGTAAGTTGTACCAAGTCACAAAAAATAACCAAAGGGAGACAACTGTAGTGAGATTACAACAGGCAGAGTTTTGGTGAAATTAATTATAATTAATAACAAAACAGGAGACATGTAAATTGCACTAAGTCAGAGCAACAACCGACAGACAGAGGAGAATTGATAAGCTGTTGCGAGGTCACAGACATAGTTTTGGTGAAACCAGGATACAACAGTTGAATCTAAGGTAAACAGCTTACTTAAGTCTAAATGATCATATATTTGTAGTACGGGACTATGGCGGTTCTTACATCTACAGGTATAAAATAGTACAATTGTATGTCACAATGTTTATAGTATGTGATTGTGACATCTGAAGTACATATATACGTAACACTTGTGCTGCCTATCAGCAATGCTGACCCTGAAAGACTATTTTTTACATTAAACTCATTCTTGTTGGAAACTTGGAAATGATACAATCTGTTCAATATTATGTAGAAAACAAAACGTGAACACTGATGGCTTAATAAAAATCCCAATCTGAGAATGTTTTTGCAGCTGCTTATTATTTGTGTACACAGTAGAACACAAGTTATTGTATCAAAACTTTTTAGTTTGAGTGAGCGGGCAACTATACAAACTTTTTCATTCAGACCAAGTAAAATCACCATTTTCATTCATTTATTGCACATACGGAGAGAAAAATGCCCGCAAAAGTGTCACCAAACTTTCCCGCTGTGATTTGGAATCACAAAGACCTCCCTGATTTAAGGATTCAAAGGATGACACATATGAATTATCACAGTCTAAACTTACGGTAAGTGACAGTGCTAACAACAGCAGTTGTCGGTATTGTTGTAGTCAGGTCACTACAGTGTCCTGGATTAAGAGCGATATCGTCGAGGGCAATGTCACCTTGGTAACCAGTACCAACTTCTCCATCAAATGTCACCTTTTAAAAGAAAGATCAAGAAATCCACTGTTTACACAAGGTAGTTTATCTATACAATAGTAATTAACAGACAAGATGACTATCACACTGTTTACAATAGCTAGTGTATCTATACAATAGTAATTAACAGACAAGATGACTATCACACTGTTTACAATAGCTAGTGTATCTATACAATAGTAATTAACATACAAGATGACTATCACCCTGTTTAAGATAGTTGGAGTATCTATACAATAGTAATTAACAGACAAGATGACTATCACACTGTTTACAATAGTTAGTGTATTTATACAATAGTAATTAAAAGATAAGATGACTATCACACTGTTTACAATAGTTAGTGTATCTATACAATAGTTATTAACAGACAAGATGACTATCAGACTTTTCACACTAGCTAGTGTATCTATACAATAGTAATTAACAGACAAGATGACTATCACACTGTTTACAATAGTTAGCATATCTATACAATAGTAATTAACAGACAAGACGTGATTATGTGATTTATTGTGCTAACCTTTCTTTATAATTCAGGAGACACAACAGTATAAGATGTAGAACCTTTAGAGAAGTATACATACTTGGTAGCTAACTGTGCTGTTGAGATCCACTTTTGCCTGTCTCCAAACATTACCCTGGTTATGAGTGGCATTCCAGACTAACGCTGTCCCAGTAGATGCAGGTTGGTACACACGAAGGACACCAATATCTAGTGAATAGTTATACTTGCAATTAGTTCCAAAATAAAATGGCCATCAATATGTAATGGAATCATTCTTTTAGGCATGAACCATATCAATAAACGGTTAAGGATTCATTATCTCTTAAGTCTGTAAAGACTAGATTTTTGATGCAGCATATCCCACAATAGGGAGACAGAGAATAACTATAGAATGATTTCTACATACCTTTACCATACATATGGTACCAGAAAGTCAGGCAGGAAGCCGGACTGGCAGGGAAGTATTGGCTGTAAAGCCAGGCTCTCTCCCCAGCTTGGCGTCCATTAGCTTTTACCAACATGTAGAAACCTTAAACAACAACGGTTGTGTTCCATCATATGATTTTCACACCTGTTTGTAGACATAATCACTACGGGGGATGGAGGCACAACATCCCTAGATTAACTTTCGGTGGCAATTGCGATGAACTAGTCGTGAATCCGCTAAGAGTCCAGGTAATAAGTACAAAAGTGCGAGTCCAACACGGCAGTTCTTCCATAAACTGGATGTTATTACAGAACGTTAACATGGGCACCTAGAGCCGAAACATATAAACAACGCTCCGCAATAAACATCCAGTATTCAGAAGAACTACTGTGTTAGAATCACTCCTTTGTACTTCTACCTGTTTGTAGACAGTTTATTAAGTAGTTAGTATTTATAGGAGGCTTGGCATAACCAGACAGACAGACAGTCAGACAGACAGACAGACAGACAGACAGACAGACAGAGGGACAAGCTAATTACTATAGACAAAATTGGAAACATGCTTTATCATTTCACAGCTGTAGGTTTATTGAGACAGATTAGATTACTATATTTTGAATTTAACACCTTTGTTTGCTCAGTGGCAGCGATTGGATTTTTCCAATAACCACTTGTTAACTCTGACTAAACTTAGAACAACCGGAAACGGATGATTACATTGGCTAGCACACCTTTCTTTTTCTGTAAACCTCTCTATGTCATGGCCTTTCACTTACAAATGATTTCAGGGTGACTGTTTATGGTGGACAGTGTAGCATAGATTTTACCAGACTTACCTCTGTCAGAGTTGGTGGTATGATCTACAGAGGGTCCGGTGTTACGAGTTATAGTACCACCTGCCGATCTCAGCCAATCAAACTGATCACCTATACGTGTGTTTCCATACCCACATGTGTCAAGTTCAAAGTCACATGTGCCTATAGGCTTGCACTTTCCAGCAGTAATCCTGACATCATCAATAGCAATATCACCTTGGTAACCATTGCCACGAACTCCTTCAAAAATTATCTAGAAAACAGATATCAAATTGTTATTAAATTGGGGATGAATCATCTATTAAGAACTTAATACATTCACCTGTATATATCATCTGATGTGATATTATGTTTTTACTTTGAGGGGTAAATATATGTACAAAATAGAACTTTTGACTGTTTAGGTGCAAGATCAATTCAACAATTTAAACAAAGTTATACATAAAATCTTAATGTTAATGAATTGAGTCATCATTTAGAACAATCTAGGCCATTTATTTGATTTTCATGCTGATGTTCAGATCCACAATCCAAAAAGTTAACACTGATGATCACATAACTATTGTTCTACACTATGTTACATACACGGTAGTCAATGGTCTGAGTCAACTGCACAGTGGCATAAAGCCATAGATTGACTTGGTTTCCGGTCTTAGTGAAGATGGTAGATCTTGTAGACGAACTGCTTGGCTGGAGATACACGTTAAGAGTACCCACATTTTGTCCATACATATGGTACCAAAAGTGCAAACATTCTGATGATCCAAGGGGTGTGAAGTTGGGACTGATAAGACGAGCTTTGTTTCCCATCACTAAAGGTGAAGAAGCTTCAGTGTAGATATAGTAACCTGCAATAAAATAACAAAGGTGTTTTTAAGAGGCATAATTTCATTTAGATCACATCAATATTACCTATGCTGGGAGTAAAACCTACCATATTGATACTTGTGGGATCTTTGTGTTGTGTGTTCTGAAGTTTGACCATATATTTAAGAATATTATCTATCAGAATTTTTAGAGTACAAGATCTACCATATCAGTGTTGCGTGCATATAAATTTGACCAGAGTTTAGAGAGTATGACACACCATATTGTCTCTGTGTTGAGGGTATATAGGTTTGGTCAGAGTATGACCTACCATATTGTCTCTGTGTTGAGTGTTTGTACGTTTGGCCAGAGTTTAGACAGTATGACCTACCATATTGTCTCTGTGTTGAGTGTTTGTACGTTTTTGCCAGAGTTTAGGGAGTATGACCTACCATATTGACTCTCTGTTGTGTGATCGTAGGCTGGACCAGTTCCAGTGGAGGATGTTCCATTTCTATCTCTGGTCCAATCATAATCATCTGTTGTATCTTGAGTCCATCCACAGAAGTCTGCTTCAAAGTCACAAATGGCTGCAGACAAAGCATCAGTATTTAGAAAGATAATGAAATGTTCCAAAACCTACAACACCAAACTAAATATCAAATAGTCAAAAGCTTAGATTTGTTTTGAACATTTCTATAAACACTTTTAATTGACTTCCTTTTACCTGGAGCAGGACAGGGTCCAGGGACCACAGAAATATCATCCAAAGCAATGTCACCTTGCCAGCTAACTCCAACCATGCCTTCAAATACAATCTGAAGGAAAATAGGAAACATAGAGACTTGGCTAGTATTCATAAACGCATACTCGTTAAACACAATTTGTGGGGGAAATAGGAAACATAGAGATTTGTCTAGTATTCATAAATACTAAGTACTCATTACTCACAATCTGTAGGGAAAAATGTCAAGCTCAATTAGAAACCCTTAACACAAACCTCCATCATATCATGAATGAATTAAGTGTTTGAAATATGTATAAATTCAAATAAAGATAAAATACAAAAAAGTCTTTAATACAGTTTGTAAGAGAAAGGTTCCAAACCTATAAAACAGCAACCTCATCACCCAGGCCTTTTAAATACAATGGTTAAATGATTTACCTGATATGGTTGATTGCTGATGATTGTTCTCTGCCCCTTCTTCCAAACATTGCCTTGTGTTTTCGAGCGTGACCAGACCAGAGAGAGGTTGCCTACTTGGGGATGCTGTTGGTATACATTGAGGGTATTTACATGGGCCCCAAACATATGGTACCAGAAGGTCAGGCACACACCCTGGGCTGAGGTCGGCTTCTGGATACCAGATGTGATCCTTGCTTTTTCACCAGCATGCCGAGGCGAGGAGGTCTCAATGTAGATGTAAAATCCTATCCAATAGAAGGCAGGCAAGCTTTACATATATAATTCTTTTGTCAAGATGAGGAAAATTGCCCCACTAAATTAAAGTTCTTCAAAAAAAATGGTGATCAATATTAATTGTTGAATTTGCACACTCAAGCGTCTCACCTGTTCCTGTTGTATGGTCTCTGTCAGGGCCTGTTCCCATAGTGGGAGATGACTGATTGGTCAGTGTCCAATCAAAGTCATCAGATGTTTCTTGGAAGTAGCCGCACAGTCCAGATTCAAAAGTACAGTTGAGATTGAAGGCTGGAACATAGAATTAAAATGGTAATTCTACCTACAGTTACATACATGTGGACTTATGAACTGCATTGTTTCTTTATAGCTGCATACTGTTTTACCTTTACCAACATCACACATGTAGACAAATTAATATTAACTTATGTGATGTTATAAAACCTTTCACACATTTTTCTGTACAGACTTACAGGTACATTTATGTATTAAATATGTAGCTATACAAACACTTGATATGTTAGTATATTTATCAGGCAATTCAAATCATATATACAACATAACAGTATTACACTTTTAAACTGTGTCGTTTCAAAAGTCCAAAAAAATAAATAAAGAAATCTGATTAACATATACTGATTATGTTACATTAATATAACAGGTTTAAGCTAAGTAAAACACTGCTGCACAGAAATTTGAAATTTGTATTCCTTTCTTTCTAAGGAAAATGAGAACCATTAAGATCCAGCATTTTCAAAAATAATTGATACAATGTCACCATTGAACATTTATAACCACCACCCATGTAATACTTGATATTATAATGTTAAAGACAGATCTAAAAGAAGAACTAGTAATGGTAAGAAGGGTAATATGGGTAAGGATAGCTAAGTACATAACCTACTACTCAAGTCAAAGTAGGGGAGTTAATGATTAATAAACAACTGTCTAGGTCCAGGTAGGGGAGATAATAACTAATAAACAACTGTCCAGGTCCAGGTAGGGGAGATAATAACTAATAAACAACTGTCCAGGTCCAGGTAGGGGAGATAATAACTAATAAACAACTGTCCAGGTCCAGGTAGGGGAGATATAACTAATAAACAACTGTCCAGGTCCAGGTAGGGGAGATAATAACTAATAAACAACTGTCCAGGTCCAGGTAGGGGAGATATAACTAATAAACAACTGTCCAGGTCCAGGCAGGGGAGACAATCACCAACTAAAAATTGCCCAGGTCCAGGTAGGGGAGATAATCACTAACAAACAACTGCCCAGGTCCAGGTAGGGGAGATAATAACAGATGAATACTGACATGTTACCACATCTTTCAAGGATCAACTGGCAATTCTGAAATAATTTGGCTCAGGAATAAAAAAAGAGATAACTGACACCAGTCTGAACATTACAATAATGGCATTATATATGACCAAAGAAAGGTGATATGACAGATATATACGATTATTCCAAACAGCTGACAATGATAATAAAAGCAAGCCCTGAAAGGCATTACAGGTCAATAGCAGCACCTTTATAGAAAGCATGCAGCGCAAAGTAAGCTTTTACATGTAATCTAGCTTGTTCCGTTACCTACAAAATTACTGCCTACACCTCTCTTTAATAGTCTACTAGCTGCAAGAACAACCATCATTCAGGTGTTGTTATCAACAAATACTGACATTAAAAAAGTTCTCACTTTCGAGCTAATATTACAATAGCGCTAAAGTAAACAGTTGGGTGACCTGTCTCTTACACTGTGTAAATACTAGATACAATTACATTACAGCTTGATCACCCAAATCAGCATTAAGATCAATAAACTTATATAGCTTGAGATATCAACAGATTTCCTATTTTCAATGTAACAAACCTGATGAGTCTACATTATTACAATTTCAGCACAATAATGGACATTTCCACATTTCCTTATGACAATGTATGGACTTTTAGAGTGATTGATAAGTCACTTAAACCTCCCATATTTTACTCATCAAACACAATCTGAAGTCAGTTAATTCGTGTAAGCCATTAAGACAATATTACTATCCTGTTTACCTACCTGAGTTGTTTACAATCTGTGTAGGATTGCAGGCTACATACTTCACATCATCAATGGCTATGTCTGATTGGGGAATTCCTGAGGCTTGGAAGGACTTGGATGGCAGAGCATCAAATTGAAGCTTAAAAAAACCCAAAATGGCATTTGATAACACTTGATAACATGCATAGGGAAATAAAACTGAAAAATAAGTAGAAATAGAAAGATACAGTATGTCAGTTACACTTGTTTATAAGTCATGGCAGTTAAGATAAATGTAACATACTTGTATTTATTAAGCCTTCTATGAATTTCCTCTCCCTACAGACATACATAAAGATAAAAAAAAATTAAACAAGTGTTTTCAGATGTGTTGAATAGTGTTTAGATACTAAATGAAACTGTTTTAAAATAAACAGATTTTAGTCATTTTGAAACCTGTGATAAGCATTTGCATCACGAAACTGAAATCCTCTTCAATAACTGAATTTGAAGAAACAGAACAGGATAGAAACCTTGTAGCCAGCAGGAAGAGTGCCAATGTCAGCAGTTGCCTGCTTCCATCCATTCCCTTGGTTTCCAGTCTTGTACCAGATCACTGTGGAGTCTGTTGGTCTATTAGCATTGACAACACTCAGCTGAATGTTTCCTGCAGCAGAAACAGAATCTTCTACATCCAGATCTGACAGAACCAAACAAAGCAAAAAAATTAATAATATGTGGGTAATATCTGTGTAATTGTTGTAGAACAACTTACCTGCTGCTATACCGTACATGTGGTAGAAGAACTGGACTTGGCAGCTCGGTGCAGTTGGTCCCAGAACAACAGTTGTCATCTTAGCACGACTGTAAAAAGTGCCTGATGATCCTTCTACCAGCATGTAGTAACCTAAATCAGGAACAAGACATAACCCTTATTAATGATCAGAGATTCATCCCAAAATAGGTTTACGTTGGAAAATAATCTAGGAGATTTGAGAGTTGTGCATTGTCACATTTAAAAGATTCTGCACACTATCTATCTTAATACAATATATGAAAAATTGACTGAAATTGAAATATATTTACAGTACTTATTCTAGAATAACAAACTAACTATTTATTCAGAATGTGAAAAAGTTGAATAGGAACTAACTAAAGTGACTATTAATTTTGATTGGTTGGTTACACATGTCTGTGTATCGTCCTATTGCTAGGTGACATCTAATTGACAGTTGTTGTTAAGTTTAATTCAAGTTAACTCCATCAATACCAGACAACCATTTAAATGACCTGTGAAGCTTATTGGGGATGATACTCATCATATTTACCATTTGGCGAGTTTGTAGTGTGGTCCCCTTGTGGTCCTCCTGTCCCAGGTGATGCTCCTTGGAACCTATGCCAATTGTAGCGGCCAGAACTGGCATCACTCCAACCACATTGGTTAGTCTCAAAAGTACAAGCACCTGTAATGACAAAATCATTGCTACAGCAAATGCTATTAGCTTCATCAATGAAGAAAAATTTATACATAAATGAGAACCATAAAATCACTTTACAAGCAATTAGTGTGAACCTACCACAGTTGACCTCATCAGAGTTGTCAGAACACTGTGTGATGAAGTCACAGACCTGGTTCTGATTAATGCACTTTCCAGGACAGGCAAAGCTACCATTACCACAGGGTCCAGGTGTGGTTGCTGGTCCTGGTGTACCCGTCACAAGTGGTGCTAGTAAAAAGTCATAGTTATCATCACTAAGCAGTAATTACCAAACAGATCTCAGACTTTTTATTTATATCAAACAGAATATTCTAAAGTTTAACAATAATCTCATTAATTTTGAAGGAATAATTGAAATGAATGTGTGTAAGGTGTTGAAACTGATATTTACTATTTTTAGTAAAAGACCTTAATCTAGAACTGACAGGTATTAGGGAGTTTGTTGTATTTATTCAATCTAACAGTGACCTTGACCTTAAACCTTCATACCTGAAAAGACATTCGAAGCTAGGACTCTGAGTAAAGAATCCTAATTTTTGCAATTTGATTTTGGAGGGCTCAATGGATTTGTCTCAGTTTGGGTTTTGGATTTTCAAGTTATTACATGAAATCTAAGAATGCTCTGGGATTCTTACAATACATCAAGCCATACTTATGATAGAAATCTAGATTAGTACTTACTGGAAGATGGTATACATCCTGGGGTCATAGACAAGTCATCCACAGCAATATCGCCTTGGTAACCCTGTCCCGTCACACCTTCTATCACAACCTGACATCAGAAACATACAGTAAAATTTACACATCCCCAGTACAGTATTAAGTGATGCACAAAATATTTAGAAGTATTTAGTGGCATGCTATAGATTATTTAAGATATGTGTCTACAACAGAAAACTTCTTAAGCCTGTCTTACTTGGAATGGACTAGATTCAAATATGGGGATGTCCACTCTCTCAAAGAAGTCTCCCACATTGCCTGTTTTCTGCCAGATAATTTTCATGGGTCCGCCCACTGAAGTGCGTGTGTACACATTCAATGCTCCGATGGTCCTCCCAAACATGTGATAATACATGCGAAGCTGAAAAATGAAATATTCACAATCAATAAAAGCACATTATATTGGATGCAATGATTATAAGTATCAAGCAGAGTAGGCTGCATTCAATTAAAATGACCAACTGTGTATGCTGTGTTGGATAAATGGTCACAATTTATCATCACCACTCCATTAAAGTGACTCACCGTGCATGCCTGATTTTGACCTGTAGAACTGGTCACTACTCCTTTAAAGGCAGGGCTGACAAGTCTTGCTTTGTCGCCTGGTTTTCTAGGCCTTGATGACTCGATGTACATGTAATAACCTACAAAAGACACAAAGAGATGTTTTATATCAATAAAAAAAACTGAAACACCCTACATATTATATTTACATCATCCCCCAAAAGTTGACCATGTTCTCTTTATCTTTCAAAATATTTTATTGAACCAAAAGATTAACAGGCTTAGGGCAAGAAGTCAACATTTATTCTGATGTCAACATATTATGAATATGACAATATATGTAATGCAATCCTCAAGTTCAGTATGTTACCTACAATTTACAATTGCACAAACATTTCTGTATTTCTGTGTGCACGTAAATCTTTTTGACAGTTTACTTTTTAAATTTTTTTCTTCAAATAACAGAATGTTTCAATAATACACTGTGTAAAACTAACAGGCATAAAAAGCATAATGTAGAGGTATTATTGGAAACATTTCTTTACACTAGGAGTTACATCATACTTTGTTTCCTGACAGTGTTAATTTCCTTCATAAAACTTCATTTACAATGATTTCTGATATTTGTTGATTCCAAGTTTTACATCAGAATAAGTCTAAGAAGTAGCGTGTAAAATGAAGGACAAACATAACCCTGCCTTAAAGTGTAACTCAGTTGTGAGTTGAATGGTGATTAAATAACAGTATGACAATGATTCGTTATAGTGTAACTCAGTTGGGAGTTGAATGGTGATGAAATAACAGTATGACAGTGAGTCGTGAAAGTGTAACTCAGTTGGGAGTTGAATGGTGATGAAATAATAGTATAAAAATGAGCAGCTAAATACCTGCTGCAGTTCCTCTAGTGTGATCTCTTGATGGCCCTGTACCGTAGGAAGCTGTGTGGTCTGTTGCTCGAGTCCAATCAAAATTGTCAGTATTATCTTGTGACCAAGAACAGAGACTAGTCTCAAAGTCACACCGGGCGTGGTAGGAAGCTGTAACAACCAAACCATGATAATGTATAAATCTGGTAACACATATAACATTCATGTTGTCTTCCATATCATACTGCAGTCACAGGATTGAGACAATGGGACATGTTAAAGATTTGGGCATGACATTACCCAAACTTGAAACGGAAGCTTGGATTAAATGAGCAACATGGCCACTGCTACTGACCAAGCCCAGTCATGTTATAATATCTTATATACTTCTTGTGAATGTCCCAATTAATATTAAACTTTTTGCAACAAACTTTTCTCTCCTTATAATTTAATTCTGTTTCACATCCATTTATGCTTTCAAACATCCTTTTAACTCCTGGAATCAAACAGTTCTATCAGTGAATAATACTTACAACAAGACTGCTCATCAGACGAATCCCCACAGTCATCTGTGAAGTCACAGAGGTCAGAGTTGGGTACACAAGCTCCACGAGTACATTTGAAATGATCGGCAGAACATGTTTGCTGAACCGCTGTAAAAACAGATTTCACCACAAATTTGTAAATAAAACAACTAAAAAATAAGAGGATAACTCTTGGAGTGTTTGTTCTTAAAACAAAAACTAATTCTTGAATGTGCACAATGACCCTTCAATATAATCAACAATAATAAACAATATTACACAAAATTAAGATAAAGCACAAGACGGTTTGACTTCCTGAAAAAAACATTGACAGAAAAGAAATATTGAAAATACAGTGTACATGAAAAACCACATTCAGAGGTGCTGTAATTAGAAAATTGATTCCAACAAGGGGCCGTCGATGACTCCACTTAGTAAAGTTGCCACTAAATATTTTAGGTAAACCAAGAGTGAACAGAGACACGTTTTGGTATTTAACTCAAAAACTTAAATATAAGTTTATTTTGTGTACATCAAATTATTAAAAAAAATAGATTTATTCATGAAAACCTAATGTTACAAACTAGACAATATCTACAAGTAATAATTGTGACCTCAAAACTGTAGAGAATTAACGCAGATATTTTATATACAAACCTGGGAAGTTACAGTTGATCAGCTGCAGATCGTCAATAGCAATGTTTCCTAAATGGTTGAAAGTACGTGTTGCCTGGTATACCAGCTGTATAAAAATAGCACATATAAGCAGATAATCAGAACTGGTATCAAATCTTTGTTCAGTACGAATCAAAACTAAAACAAAAGGAACACTACAATGATGAGTAAAGAAAGATTTCTTCAATTTGTCTGTAAACAAAAGATGCATTCCAATAAACCAGGAAAACCTTCATCAGAGATCAAATTCATGAGAAAATTATGTCTACTTTAATTGCAAAATACAACAGATTGGTTGTATTTTTTTGCACTTAAATCTCCTCTTGTATATATGGTATAAATGTATGAAGATATATTTTCATCTTTCTCCTGAATTATTACTTCAGGTTCCACAGGAAATTCTATAGACATATTTTAGTAAATAAAATAAGTCAAAAACGGCTTCTTGCAGGAATACTGAAATCTGACAAAAAAAACTAAACTCTGACCAGGAATACTGAAGTTATACTGAAATCTGACCAGGAATACTGAAGTTATACTGCAATCTGACCAGGAATGCTGACGTTATACTGCAATCTGACCAGGAATACTGACGTTATACTGCAATCTGACCAGGAATACTGACGTTATACTGAAATCTGACCAGTAATACTGAAATCTGACCAGGAATACTGAAGTTATACTGCAATCTGACCAGGAATACTGAAGTTATACTGCAATCTGACCAGGAATACTGACGTTATACTGCAATCTGACCAGGAATACTGAAGTTATACTGAACTCTGACCAGGAATACTGAAATCTGACAAGGAATACTGAAGTTATACTGAAATCTGACCAGAAATACTGAAATCTGACCACTGAAATCTGACAAGGAATACTTAAGTTATACTGAAATCTGACCAGGAATACTGAAGTTATACTGCAATCTGACCAGGAATGCTGACGTTATACTGCAATCTGACCAGGAATACTGACGTTATACTGCAATCTGACCAGGAATACTGACGTTATACTGAAATCTGACCAGTAATACTGAAATCTGACCAGGAATACTGAAGTTATACTGCAATCTGACCAGGAATACTGAAGTTATACTGCAATCTGACCAGGAATACTGACGTTATACTGCAATCTGACCAGGAATACTGAAGTTATACTGAACTCTGACCAGGAATACTGAAATCTGACAAGGAATACTGAAGTTATACTGAAATCTGACCAGAAATACTGAAATCTGACCACTGAAATCTGACAAGGAATACTTAAGTTATACTGAAATCTGACCAGGAATACTGAAGTTATACTGAAATCTGACCACTGAAATCTGACCAGGAATACTGAAGTTATACTGAAATCTGACCAGGAATACTGACGTTATACTGCAATCTGACCAGGAATACTGAAGTTATACTGAACTCTGACCAGGAATACTGAAATCTGACAAGGAATACTGAAGTTATACTGAAATCTGACCAGAAATACTGAAATCTGACCACTGAAATCTGACAAGGAATACTTAAGTTATACTGAAATCTGACCAGGAATACTGAAGTTATACTGAAATCTGACCACTGAAATCTGACCAGGAATACTGAAGTAATACTGAAATCTGACCAGGAATACTGAAGTTATACTGCAATCTGACCAGGAATACTGAAGTTATACTGAAATCTGACCAGTAATACTGAAATATGACCAGGAATACTGAAGTTATACTGCAATCTGACCAGGAATACTGAAGTTATACTGAAATCTGACCAGGAATACTGAAGTTATACTGAAATCTGACCAGGAATACTGAAGTTATACTGAAATCTGACCAGGAATACTGAAGTTATACAGCAATCTGACCAGGAATACTGAAGTTATACTGAAATCTGACCAGGAATACTAAAATCTGACCAGGAATACTGAAATCTGACAAGGAATTCAGAAATCTGACCAGAAATTGCATACTGAAATCTAACCAGGAATACTGAAATCTCCCAAGGAAAACTGAAATTTTAGGAGTATCAATATTAAATATTCAAAAACTTTAAAGATGAATGGAAACTTACAACTACAGATTATGAAAAATTTTAGGAAAAAAGTACTAAGTAATGAAATTAAAGAAGGTTTTCCATATTACCTGGAATGGTCGTCCCACACGGCCTATATCTACAACAGCCTTGATCCAATGGCTACCTTGGTTACCACTCTGTTTCCAGATGGTCGTATTCTGGCCCCCTTCGGTGATGACTACGCTAAGACTGCCAATTCCTATGAGAAAGGCAACACATACATAATTCAGAACATTTTCTTGAAGTTTGAATTGTCAGTAAAATAAAAGTTCTTATAACATGACCAGGTAAAGATTTGAGTGTGACATTTCAATGACTACATGGTCACCTTCATCAGACAAATGACCAGTGTGGAGTGTACTATCACTGACGTACGTAGTTTTTCAAGTGTGAGACTTTTGATTACACATTGTTTTATAAGAACAATGAGACTTCTGATTTCTACGGGAAAGACAACACATTTTACACATGGTTCTATCAGATCACTGTGACTTCCGATTTCTATTGGAAAGACAACATTGTTCTACACAATTTGATCAAAACAAACAAATTAGTGTCTAATTAAGTGACTAAGCCAACAAAACTCTTTTTTGCTGCCAGACATGGAACTAATATTCTTTGTAGGGTGAGTTGTCTGAAGCTCACATTGCTGTACTTTTACTTGACTTAGACCTGTAAATCTGTTGACCTACATCTGAAGCTAATAAAACTCCAAACATGAAGCAAATTTAACATGAGTTTGAATGAGAGATCGAGCTCCATTCTACTCATAGAGAGTGACTCACCTCTGCCATACATGTTATACCAGAACTGAATCTGGCAGGTTGAACTACAAGGCTGTAGAAGTGGTCCTGTCAGAGTTGCTATACTCCTGGATGTACCAAGTGCTGCATCTACATAGACATAGTAACCTGGAACAGAGAAATATTGAGTAATTAATTCTGACACTTCAGTCTGAACAAAAAAAGCCACTTGTGTTTGATTATTATGTTTTGTAACAAACAGAAAAGTCAATACTATTATAGACGTAGGATGATAATCATTGGTCGACCTTATAGTAGGGAAAAATTTGGAGACCTTCCTCCTTCCCACTTCTGTTTGAGACTGTCCTGACACATATGTGATCAAATGGTGGGTCCATGCTATGTGTAAACTTACCATATTGGTTGCCTTGTGTGTGATCAAATGGTGGGGGATCCATGCTATGTGTAAACTTACCATATTGGTTGCCTCGTATGTGATCAAATGGTGGGTCCATGCTATGTGTAAACTTACCATATTGGTTGCCTTGTATATGATCAAATGGTGGGTCCATGCTATGTGTAAACTTACCATATTGGTTGCCATGTATGTGATCAAATGGTGAGTCCATGCTATGTGTAAACTTACCATATTGGTTGCCTTGTGTGTGATCAAATGGTGGGGGATCCATGCTATGTGTAAACTTATCATATTGGTTGCCTCGTATGTGATCAAATGATGGGTCCATGCTATGTGTAAACTTACCATATTGGTTGCCTTGTGTGTGATCAAATGGTGGGGGATCCATGCTATGTGTAAACTTACCATATTGGTTGCCTCGTGTGTGATCAAATGCCGGACCTGTGTTATCACTACTCCTCCTGTTTCCTCGTACCCAGGTGAACACTCCCTGCAGGTTTGGTTGCCAACTACAGTAATCCTGGTCAAAACTACAAGCACCTGTATTTAACAAGCTAGAGATGTTAATAAACAGCTGATGCACACTGATAGACATAAACTTACTGTCAAATAAACTTTTTCTGTGGGGCTCAATTTTCCTGGTCTAACAAAAAAAAAAATGTTTTTGTTATTTTGTTAACACTTGATTTTGTTCATAAGTTTAGTTCAATAATTCTACTTACACATGCTGTGTGATCATTTCATACATATTTCTTTTATAACATCAAATTTTGATATGATTAAATACCATAAAATCTTTCATTTTTGTGGGGGAATTATTTTCATTTACATGGTTGGTACTCTTAATAAAAGCAATTCATATGAAAATGGTGCCCAACAAAAATATATGATTTTACAGTAAAATAGAAATTAATTTTCTTTTACCCAAACCCTGATTGACATTTTATCATTGGATTTCTCATATCAAAACAAATTGATGTTAAATCAATTTTGAATAAATATGGACCTACCACAATTAGTTTCATCCGAGGCGTATGGACAGTCCACCATGAAGTTACAGACTTTGTTGAGAGGAATTACTTTGCTGGGATTTTGTCCTCCAGTGCAGTTGAATGTTCCATTAGCTTCAACAAATTCATAAAACTACCAGAAACAAAGCACATTTTAATTCATTCCAGATACATCAAAGGCATCAAAATTACTGTAAAACCATTTCTTATTCATTCACAGTACATAATTCAAGTAAAAAAGAAATTCATTTTGGCAACTCAGAATGGCAAATTAACATTAAAATCAATTATCACTACTTAACAGCATAAGAAACCTTATTTCAACACTTAATGTTATTAATAATGATAGCATATCACCTCAAAAAAATTTCTAAAAAATGTGATCTAGATCGTTGAGAAAAACCAAATGTAACACAAAAATCAAATTTTTGGGTAATTTAACATCAAATATAAAGCAGATAAACCAAGATAAGTACAACAGGATTAGATCTGTATCTAAATTGTGACCTATGTGTGAATTGTATTGCCAGTTTACTGACAGTAACAGATAAATTTAACAATCGGTCACCTGTATACTTGTGTCACTGTTACAGTGTAAGCCAGTTTACTGACAGTAACAGATAAATTTAACAATCGGTCACCTGTATACTTGTGTCACTGTTACAGTGTAAGCCAGTTTACTGACAGTAACAGATAAATTTAACAATCGGTCACCTGTATACTTGTGTCACTGTTACAGTGTAAGCCAGTTTACTGACAGTAACAGATAAATTTAACAATCGGTCACCTGTATACTTGTGTCACTGTTACAGTGTAAGCCAGTTTACTGACAGTAACAGATAAATTTAACAATCGGTCACCTGTATACTTGTGTCACTGTTACAGTGTAAGCCAGTTTACTGACAGTAACAGATAAATTTAACAATCGGTCACCTGTTTACTTGTGTCACTGTTACAGTGTAAGCCAGTTTACTGACAGTAACAGATAAATTTAGGCAAGTTTACTGAAGTATCGGTCACCTGTTTACTTGTGTCACTGTTACAGTGTAAGCCAGTTTACTGACAGTAACAGATAAATTTAACAATCGGTCACCTGTATACTTGTGTCACTGTTACAGTGTAAGCCAGTTTACTGACAGTAACAGATAAATTTAACAATCGTACCTGTTTACTTGTGTCACTGTTACAGTGTAAGCCAGTTTACTGACAGTAACAGATAAATTTAACAATCGGTCACCTGTTTACTTGTGTCACTGTTACAGTGTAAGCCAGTTTACTGACAGTAACAGATAAATTTAACAATCGGTCACCTGTTTACTTGTGTCACTGTTACAGTGTAAGCCAGTTTACTGACAGTAACAGATAAATTTAACAATCGGTCACCTGTTTACTTGTGTCACTGTTACAGTGTAAGCCAGTTTACTGACAGTAACAGATAAATTTAACAATCGGTCACCTGTTTACTTGTGTCACTGTTACAGTGTAAGCCAGTTTACTGACAGTAACAGATAAATTTAACAATCGGTCACCTGTTTACTTGTGTCACTGTTACAGTGTAAGCCAGTTTACTGACAGTAACAGATAAATTTAACAATTAACCACCTGTTTACTTGTGTCACTGTTACAGTGTAAGCCAGTTTACTGACAGTAACAGATAAATTTAACAATCAGTCACCTGTTTACTTGTGTCACTGTTACAGTGTAAGCCAGTTTACTGACAGTAACAGATAAATTTAACAATCGGTCACCTGTTTACTTGTGTCACTGTTACAGTGTAAGCCAGTTTACTGACAGTAACAGATAAATTTAACAATCGGTCACCTGTTTACTTGTGTCACTGTTACAGTGTAAGCCAGTTTACTGACAGTAACAGATAAATTTAACAATCGGTCACCTGTTTACTTGTGTCACTGTTACAGTGTAAGCCAGTTTACTGACAGTAACAGATAAATTTAACAATCGGTCACCTGTTTACTTGTGTCACTGTTACAGTGTAAGCCAGTTTACTGACAGTAACAGATAAATTTAACAATCGGTCACCTGTTTACTTGTGTCACTGTTACAGTGTAAGCCAGTTTACTGACAGTAACAGATAAATTTAACAATCGGTCACCTGTTTACTTGTGTCACTGTTACAGTGTAAGCCAGTTTACTGACAGTAACAGATAAATTTAACAATCGGTCACCTGTTTACTTGTGTCACTGTTACAGTGTAAGCCAGTTTACTGACAGTAACAGATAAATTTAACAATCGGTCACCTGTTTACTTGTGTCACTGTTACTGTGTAAGCCAGTTTACTGACAGTAACAGATAAATTTAACAATCGGTCACCTGTTTACTTGTGTCACTGTTACAGTGTAAGCCAGTTTACTGACAGTAACAGATAAATTTAACAATCGGTCACCTGTTTACTTGTGTCACTGTTACAGTGTAAGCCAGTTTACTGACAGTAACAGATAAATTTAACAATCAGCTACCTGTTTACTTGTGTCACTGTTACAGTGTCCTCTAACAACCTATACACCACATACAGTTACAGGGATAACTTACCACTAGAACCACCACCACAGGCAGTGTAGTCCAGTCTTAAGTCATCAATGGCTATGTCTCCTTGGTAACCAGATCCAACACCCGCTTCAACCAATATCTACAAAATAACATGGCATTTCAAGAACATCATGTTATTATCCAAACCCAGTATGTAATATAAACTTAAAACACTGTCAAATAACAACAATAATGAGTACAAAATCTTTATCATTATTTACATAATTACAATTCATGATAATTATCCCAAAAGATTTTCTTAATAGATAATCATGATAACTTGCCTAGATAATTATCTCACAAAACAATTATGATGAACTGATAGAATATTGAGAACCACTATGAAAAAACTTGCATTGAGCTTGCTATTGTTGTAACAAAATAGTCAAATCTCATTATCAAAGTCGGCCGGACCACTGGACAACTTAAAAATAACAGAGTATTTGATTTAAGCGAGTTTTAATGTTTTGTGTAAAGTTAAGCAGGAATATGCTTTAATTAAACAGGGTCTTCAATTTAAAAGAGTTCAAGATAATGAAATTTGACTGTAGTGATACCATGTAAAACACAAAATATTTACCTTGAAGTCATCGTAAGCATCACTCATGTCAACCTGGCCCTGTTTCCAGCCTGTGCCCTGATCACCTGAGATGGACTTCTTTAAGTTTTTATTAGGGTCACCCTTTATCTGCATGGAGATGTTAAGGTTGCCCACACTCTGTCCATGCATATTATACCAGAAACTGAAGCAGAGCTGTGGTTGGTTGGGGATCAGCTGTGATTGGATCACTGCATTATCTCCCAACTTGCGTGGGCGGCTTGTCTCAATGAAGAGGTAATACCCTGTAAATTGACATATTTTAAAAATGAAGTGGTTTCATCGGTTAAATATAATTCTCTCTGCTAGAGTAACACAAATATCCAATGTTGTTAAACATGGTTATCTGTTTGTTTACTCAATAAGTCTGCTGTCTGATAACTGAGCTCTGTAATTGTGAGTTAAGCCCCATCCCCTAGCTTTTCTTTTGTTTCGTATATTTCTTGACGTATATGAGGTATCTTTTTCGATATCATTTAATTTAAAAGTGGTCATGTGTGAACTTTGACTCTTTAACATCGATCAATGACACCAGATATAGACCTTGTAATGTTATGGTGCCAATAGAAACTATATTGTTTAGGGATTGTTAATGACATTCTTTCTGTGCATATCTTAGGTTTAGTAAGTGATACACAGATGTACTGCAGACACAGTGATTACTGTACATGTCTTATGGTTTAGTAAGTGATACACAGATGTATTGCAGTCACAGTGATTACTGTACATGTCTTCAGGTTTAGGAAGTGATACACAGATGTATTGCAGTCACAGTGATTACGTCTCCTTAACTAAGTGAATGGTCTGATAAATATTTGTCAACTTTTCATATACATAGCATTTCAGCCCAGTACTTGTCTCTGTGTATTCTGGTAACATCAAAACAACACCAATATTTTGATTGGAACATTTTTGATACTGCTGGCTATACTGAAATGGCGATCACTTATTCCTGCAGTGATATCACTTAGTAATTCATGTTGGGTAAACAAATAACTGTTTACATCAACCAATCAGGAGTTCAGATACAATTAATAATCATCCTTGTCTATTTGTAATAACAGTTTTGATAAGGTTGGAAAATATTTGTTCTGTAGGGTTCATGTTCCAAGTTAAACCGAGAAAAAACATCCCTTACATATTTTAAATTGTACAAATGAATGTATTAATTAACTCAAAACAAAAAAGGTTACCTGAGGAATGGTTGGACACCAAACTCACCTGCTGATGTGCCGAGGGTGTGATCAGAGGATGGTCCTGTTCCTACAGATGGTGTAGGTCCTTTACGTCTTAACCAATCAAATTTGTCATCCTGGCGTTGTGTCCAACTACACAAGTCGCTTTCAAAGTCACAGGTTCCAGGGCCAGCACAGGCACCATCATCCATACTGATATCATCAATTGCTATGTCACCATGGTAACCACTTCCTCTTATCCCAGAAAACACCACCTAAAGTTTCCAGTATTGAATAGTCCTCATTACATTACACAAGGAATTCTGATTTCGTAATTTACATCTTGGTGACAATTATACACATTATTATGTAATGTATGGAACTGCATTTTATGCAGAAATACTAACCTGGTAGGTGGACCGACTTGAGATGGTCACTTGACCTTTGTGCCAAGAATTACTCTGGTTACCATACAGTGACCACACTGCGCTGCCTAGCTGGTTGTAGGTGCTGACATAGATGTTAAGAGTGCCGATATTCTGACCATACATATGGTACCAGAATGAGAGACATTTTTGTTGGGAGGCTGGGTAAGATGGAGAGCGAAGGTTAGCTTTGTCGCCCTGGACACGTGGTGCTGATGTCTCAGTGTACATGTAGTGACCTGAAAGTACAGAGCTGGTATTAGGGAAGGCATACAAATCTTAGTCAAATTCTAGGATAATGGATTTATTAACATCTTGAGCTATGTAAAGCTTTCTAATATTCATTGCACCTCATCAATACAAAATTCAATGACTCAGTCTCTTGTGTATAAAAAAGGCAACTTCTTACTGTGTATAAATGAGTGTTAATTAGTGGGAGGTTAACCTACTCTCCTGATGATTTGACATAGCTGTGGGCAGTGGGAGGTAAACCTAATCACCTGAAGATGTAGCATATGTGTGGTCATTGGTGGGTCCTGTTCCAGCTGACCCTGTTGATCCATGGCCCCATGTCCAGTCAAAGTTATCATTCAAGTCTTGTTGATATCCACAAATACTGCTTTGTTCAAAATCACAAGCTGCAAATGAGAAATGTTTTGTTTGATCAGACAAGTAATCACATCATCCCTGTGTAACGTTATCATTAGAAGTGTGAAAGGACAATATTCAGAAAGTAAGTTTTTACAATAACTTTATCTATTATGAAGTGTAAAAGTGTTTTAACAGATCCATGAATCATCCTGGTTACACCTGAGTGACAGTGATGTTAAAATCTCACTATCTCCCAGGTTTCTGTAACAAATCCTCTACGTCCACAACGAATATTATATATTTTTGTGACTTACTGGCTGAACCTTGACAGACACCATTCAAGATTTTGATGTCGTCCAATGATATGTCTCCCTGGTAACCTAAACCTGCTGTGCCCTCAAAAACAACCTGTATGAAGAGATTAAAGTTTACTTTCAATTCAGATGAAAATGCACACAGAAGAGAATGATCTGACATCAAAAAGTGATACTGACAACAATAAAGATTACATGTTGATCTTGACACAAAACTTATTCATAATTGTAGATCTACATGTAGACGTGATTTTGCTTACGTATACAAATTACAGAAATGATCTTACCTGACTCCCAGGAGATGATACAATATCCACTTGTCCCTGGATCCACTTGTTTCCTTGGTTACCAGCCTTGGTCCACAGGGCAGGACTGAGCATGTTATTCGTTTTTGTGTAAAGGTTCAATTTGTTGATATGCTGGCCATACATATTGTACCAGAACTGGACGCACAGTTTACCAGGGGTGTTTACAGGGGGACTGATTAGGCGTGCTGTGGAATTGGCACGTTTGCCTGATGCCTCTATGTATATGTAGTGGCCATTCCTGTTTTGAAGTGTGTGATCAAACTGGGGGCCAGTTCCTACACTGGAAGTGCCTGAAGTATCCCTTGTCCAATCAAAAGTATCTGAATGGTCCTGATTCCAATTACAGAATCCAGATTCAAAATCACAACCTGTAAGCGTAGCTGTAAAAAAAAAGTCATCAAATTCAGTCTAACACAACTTGAAGTTTACTAATGTATTACTGACTTAGGATGGATGGCAGACTCAAGATTTACCCATAATGGTTTGTCAGTCAAAACTTTTTTAGAAAGTTTGTGGGGTGTAGGGTGTGGGCACAGAATGATCTAGGGTGGGTTGTGGGTACAGACTTACCTAAGAAGGGTTGTGGATACAGACTTACCTAAGAAGGGTTGTGGGTACAGACTTACCTAGGTTGGGTTGTGGGTACAGACTTACCTAGGATGGGTTGTGGATACAGAATTACCTAGGAAGGGTTATTGGCACAGAATTACCTAGGAAGGGTTATGGGCACAGAATAACCTAGGAAGGGTTGTTGGCACAGAATTACCTAGGAAGGGTTGTGGGCACAGAATTACCTAGGAAGGGTTGTGGGCACAGAATTACCTAGGAAGGGTTGTGGGCACAGAATTACCTAAGGTGGTTTTGGGGTAAAGGCTTACCTTGGATGGTTTTTCACAGACTTACATAGGGCAAGTTAAGGGTACAAACTTACCAAGAGTGGGTTGTGGAGTAGTTATAGGTGATACTGTGGTCTGTAGAGAGCAGTAACCTGGTGCCACATCAATGTCATCTATAGCAATATCTCCTTTGTAATTCTGTCCTCTGATAGCCTCAAACAAAATCTTGAAATGCTGGGTGGACACAAGGGTCACATTGCCCATCATCCATACATCCCCATGATTTCCACTCATGGAGAAAATTTTGTTGTTAGTGGAGTTCATGTAGTATACATTCAGTGTGCCAATTCCTGCAAAAGATTAAAATTTTACGCACTGTTTCACCTTGATTTCATACCTCAAATATTTACATGAAGAGAGGATTTGCATGCAGTTTCTTTGCTCTATAAACCACAAAAAGTTGTTACTATAACAATAGGTAACATAGAGAGATACAAAGAGGACAATGTCTGCTACCTGGAATATCAGTGTTTGACCTTGCTCAACATACAATATGACTATACCAGGGGGGGATGGAGGCACAACGTCCCACAAACATAGAAATCAGGGAATTCCGGGAACAGCTTCGTGTTGTGCCTACTCCTGACACCTAATATGACTTTACCGTTATGACTCTCACAGTTTGATTTCTTTATGATACATTGGCATGACATTGTGACCTAGAAACACTTGATCTACTTTAATGATAAATGTCTCTAATATATTTTTGTCATTATGACCTTGTAAAGTAACATCTTCAGATGCTGTAATATCATGATCTGGCTGCACTATCATTATGACAATACAAACCTGCACCATTCATGTTGTACCAGAACGTGAGACATGATCCAGTTGTGGGCTGTATTGGGTCACTGGCAAGCCATGCCTTGTCACCTAGACGTTGGGGACTGCTACTTTCGATAAACATGTAGTGACCTGTCAACATTTATGCAAGTAAAATGAGAAATTCATTTGAAACTTCAAATCACCAAACAATTGATGTTTTTAACCAAAATATAGATCCGAGTAATTCAACAGCCTGTTTATCATGATTTGAATATATCGTGCTATGAGCCTATATTATGGACAGTAAAGGAAGAAGGGGAATTTCCCTGACAAACCCAATGGTGGTCCCTGTATTGTGGTCTACTGTAGGACCAGTGTATGAGGAAAGGAATTTCCCCAACTTACCAGTGGTGGTCTACTGTAGGACCAGTGTAGGAGGAAAGGAGTTTCCCCAACTTACCAGTGGTGGTCTTACTGTAGGACCAGTGTATGAGGAAAGGAATTTCCCCAACTGACCAGTGGTGGTCTACTGTAGGACCAGTGTAGGAGGAAAGGAGTTTCCCCAACTTACCAGTGGTGGTCTTACTGTAGGACCAGTGTATGAGGAAAGGAATTTCCCAAACTTACCAGTGGTGGTCCCTTTGGTGTGGTCTACTGTAGGACCAGTGTAGGATGAGGGGGATTTCCCTTGACCACGTGTCCAGTCAAACTGATCACCCTGCAAGTTTGTGTAACCACAGAGGCCCTGCTCAAAATTACAGGCACCTGCCCTGTGACAAGGTCCAGGACTGATGGTCAAATCATCAATGGCTACATCACTTGTAGAGGAAGGACCACGCAAGGCCTCTATTATCACCTGATATAAAAACAGCAACATTATTTCACTTTCACTGGAAGCCTTTTTGCCATCCAGTCAGTCCCAAACATAAAGTGGTAAGGAACCTGTAATCTTAAAGTCAAAAGAAGACTAGCTGTTGGCCATTTTGTTTTTCAAAACAATCTAAAAGTTTGTAAATTTAGCAATAGCAATTCTAACTTTAATGACCTAAGTACATTAGCTGCATGTTTACTCTTTTGTTTTCTGATCAAAATTACACAAGAACGTAATAAGAAATGCTACTTACATTGAAGTTAGTTTGGCTGGTTAGAGTCACCTCCCCTGGTATCCAGGTATTGCCCTGAACATTGTCGGTCCTCGACCAAATAGAGCTCTCAGTACCCGAAGCAGACCGTAGGTAAACACTGAGGCTGGCATGTGGTTTCCCTGTCATAAACATGTAAAAGCGCAGGCATTCTCCAGTAGAGGAAGGGAATTGAGGGCTGATAAGGCGTGCCTTCCAGCCCTGCCTGGCTGGGGACGATGCATCCGCATACAGGAAGTGACCTGTACCAAAAACAAGAAACTTGTAATTAAACCTACAGGACATAGATTGTCATTAAGGTGACAAGTTAGTTCTACTATACATATGGCAAATAACAACTATGAAGAAGTTCAGCACTTTACCTGCAGCAGTATTAGTTGTATGGTCAGTAGTTATTCCTGTAGAGTTTGAACCTCTTGAACTTAGCCAATTAAAATTGTCCTTATGATCCTGAGTCCAACCGCAGAGACCACTCTCAAAGGTACAGGAAACTACAAACAGATACATTTAACACACATCGTTTCTTCTTTAAAAGGTAATATATACTCTACAAAAAGAGAAAGACAGATCTACAAATAGGGATCACTGTCATAATGTACAACAAATTTCTCAGGAAAGTGACGTAATATGGCATAATATTTAAATACATATTCATACAACAATCAATCTGAAGTAAAACAATAGCCAGAAGCTAACTCAAAGCCTAACCCTGCTTCCAATGTTTATTTATAAAAGGATTACATAACATGGGTGCAAAGCTCCGAAGAAAATCCTGATCCTGTTCATCACAAGCACAAAGTAGTATCAGATCAAGAGTAAAACTATTCAACTGTATGTTGCTGTGCGTAGAGATTTACGAAATCTTGTATGTTCTAATTCATCACAAGTCCACAAGGAGTGAATTGGATTTATAAGCTACTTAGCAGCTTATCAAACTTTTATGGACAATTTTTTGAATCTGTTAACTTTTAAGGATAGCATCAACGTCTCCTTATTTTGAGGTCTTAATTTTTGTATCAGAAAGAGTCCTTTAGGGGAATATCTTATACATAGCATTTATAAACTAATTATGTCCATGTACAAATCTACCCCATCACAGCCCAAAAACCTATCCTGGACCCGGACTTTAAGGGTTACTACCCATCACAGCCCAAAAACCTATCCTGGACCCAGACTTTAAGGGTTACTACCCATCACAGCCCAAAAACCTATCCTGGACCCAGAACTTAAGGCTACTACCCCATCACAGCCAAAAAACCTATCCTGGACCAAGAGCTTTAAGGCTTCTACCCCCTCATAGCCCGAAAACCTATCCTGGATCCAGAGCTTAAAGGTTTCTAACCCCTCATAGTCTGAAAACTTATCCTGGACCTATATTGCAGCCCCTTATTGTAGCATTGAAGTGACATTTGATAGGACTTAGGCACTTACTGTCGGTATTGTGGTGGGCAAGACTGGAGTTGGCACAATTGACGTTGTCCATGTTGATGCTATCAATAGAAATGTCTCCAGCAAATGTTCCCTTAGTTGTGGCCTCTAACTGAATCTGAGTAATTCAAATTGAAAGTTCTGTCACACTGATGCATATAGATTTTGCAATGGATTACGAAACTCAATTTATAACCATTAAACTAATTTTCTGATTTCTGTTTTGATTCTCCTCATTCTTAATAAGAATGTTAAACTGTGTCCTTTTCTGTTTGATAGAATTAAATGTACACTTACTAACCATGATAAGAAGGCAATGAAAAAGAACAACCTGTCCTGTTTAACTAATACAAATTTTGTTTTTTTTCAAATATACAGTTTTACATATTACAGAAACGGCTGGCAGATCTCCATTATCATACCTGGTAGTCAGTATGTGATTCAATGTTATACTGAGCCAGAATCCAGCGGTTGCCTTGTGTACCGGTAAATGATCCACGTAACTGACGAGAGCCTCCAAGTACAGTATAGACCTTCAGTGATCCAACAGTTGGACCAAACATGTGATAGTAAAATGTGAAGCAGTTTCCACCTTGTGTAGTTGGAGGCAGAACTGGTGAGTTCAAGACAGCTCGACTTCCTGGTGTGTGTCCACTCCCTTGTGTATAAATGTAGTGACCTGAAAAATGTTGAACAGTTTATAGATTCTTAATCATAAAGCACAACTTAATAGGAAATAATGTGCAATTTCTTCCAATTGAACAGTGACTTTATAATCTCATTACAACAAATTATAATGCAATTTCAGTATAGGAAAAAAGAAATCACATCATAATTATTTTTTAATGGAAACTATATAAAATTTATGGAATTATCTTTTTTCTTTGAGTCAAAAAGGCTAAATCAGCCCATGGGATGAAGATTTTTATCTCAGAGTCAGACAGCAGACCTTGTTCCAGATTTAAGTTTATTTAAGGATGATTCTTGGCCATGAAAGTGTCAGAGAATTCAATATTTCCATTTCTATACAGTATATGAGAATTTTACAAAGATCTTCCAGTTTACATTTGGTTCAAAGTAAAGGTTTATGGTGTGACATTTTACCTTATGTTCTGCAATGTACTCACCATTACCAGAGTCTGAGTGGTCACCAAAAGGTCCAGTTGATGGACCATGGCCATCTGTAGTAAGGGTCCAGTTAAAGTTGTCAGTCGAACTTTGGGTCCAGGAACATGTATTGCCCATGTCAAATTGACAGAACACTGATGGAGCTTTAATAACAAAAAACATCAATACCTATATCCAAAACCATGTTGTATGATTTCATGTTATGTGATTTTGGCATTTCTTGTCATCAAATATCTAAATACGGGCACAAAAATGAATGGTCTCAGAATACATTGATAAAATGTGTGTTTAAACTTGATACATGTGAATATTTATTATAGTTAGTCCTGCCAACAAACCATTTGTTATAGGGTTAGCAGATGGTGGTGAAGTTACACAGCTCTGGTCACTTAGTGAGAAATCATCCAAACCAATATCTCCCTTATAGCCTGTTCCACGGACACCTTCAAGTACAATCTGAAAGAGGGACGACATCATGTATAATCTGAAACAGGGACAGCACCATGTATAATCTGAAACAGGGACGACACCATGTATAATCTGAAACAGGGACGACACCGTATAATCTGAAACAGGGACGACACCATGTATAATCTGAAACAGGGACGACACTGTATAATCTGAAACAGGGACGACACCATGTATAATCTGAAACAGGGACGACACCATGTATAATCTGAAACAGGGACAACACTGTATAATCTGAAACAGGGACGACACCATGTATAATCTGAAACAGGGACGACACTGTATAATCTGAAACAGGGACAACACCATGTATAATCTGAAACAGGGACGACACCATGTATAATCTGAAACAGGGACAACACTGTATAATCTGAAACAGGGACGACACCATGTATAATCTGAAACAGGGACAACACCATGTATAATCTGAAACAGGGACAACACTGTATAATCTGAAACAGGGACGACACCATGTATAATCTGAAACAGGGACGACACCATGTATAATCTGAAACAGGGACGACACTGTATAATCTGAAACAGGGATGACACCATGTATAATCTGAAACAGGGACGACACCATGTATAATCTGAAACAGGGACAACACTGTATAATCTGAAACAGGGACGACACCATGTATAATCTGAAACAGGGACGACACCATGTATAATCTGAAACAGGGACGACACTGTATAATCTGAAACAGGGACGACACCATGTATAATCTGAAACAGGGACGACACCATGTATAATCTGAAACAGGGACGACACTGTATAATCTGAAACAGGGACGACACCATGTATAATCTGAAACAGGGACGACACCATGTATAATCTGAAACAGGGACAACACCATGTATAATCTGAAACAGGGACGACACCATGTATAATCTGAAACAGGGACAACACCATGTATAATCTGAAACAGGGACAACACTGTATAATCTGAAACAGGGATGACATCATGTATAATCTGAAACAGGGACGACACCATGTATAATCTGAAACAGGGACGACATCATGTATAATCCGAAACAGGGACGACACCGTATAATCTGAAACAGGGATGACATCATGTATAATCTGAAACAGGGACGACACCGTATAATCTGAAACAGGGACGACACCATGTATAATCTGAAACAGGGACGACACCATGTATAATCTGAAACAGGGACAACACTGTGTAATCTGAAACAGGGATGACACCATGTATAATCTGAAACAGGGACGACACCATGTATCACAGAAACTGTCCATCACAGTAAAGTTTGTGACTTTATACATGAATCAGCTTAGCCATCACAAAGTTAAGGTAGGAAAATATTTATAAGATTGGAGTAATTTTACCTTCAAAGAACTATCAAGGATGGTAGAGTTACATCCAGAAGGGTCTTATTGGATACGGTAGTTAGAATGGTATATCATTGCAAAGTTAGGACAATCCTACCTTATAGAATAGATTATTTTGATAGTAAGGGTCTGTAATGAAATGGGAACTCTGCCAGAAAGTTTCCTCGTTGTACTGATAGGATATTTATACAAGGAAACATCTTTAAGTGTTAAAGAACCTCGATGTGAAAGATTACAATCAATGAATGGGTTTGAATATTTTACCTGGAAAGGTCTTGCAGTGTAAACTGTTGGGATATTAATTTGCCCCATATTCCAGGTATTGCCTGCCTGCCCCTGCAGGGTCCATAACATGGCCTCTGAGGTAAATGTGTCTGTTGTCTGATTGGTGAGAATGTAAGCTGTAAGCCTGTTCACATCAGCTCCATACATGTGGTAGTAGAAAATAAAACACGAAGCTGTCTGCTTTGAAGGGAATATTTCACTGGCAAGTCGGGCTTTATCCCCTGGAACACGAGGTGCACTAGTCTCCAGAAACATGTAGTAACCCTGAGGAGTGCCAAGAGTGTGATCTGTTGAAGGCCCAGTGAACTGACTACTGGTACTTCCTCGCGATCTAAGCCAATCAAAATCATCTCCTTTCTGAACATTCGTCCATGCACATGTGTTCTTTTCAAAATCACAGAAACCTGAAATTTTATAAAAATTCTATTAATCAAAAATATGAATTACTCCACAAATTTCATTCATTTTCTGCCGTGAAATAAATATCCAAGGTCAATATTCCAGCAGATACATAACACTATATACTGAGTTGGTTTTTACTGGATATCAAAATACCAAATTTGGTATCGTAGTAGACAAGATAACACATTCTTACCTGCATTTCCACACTGTCCACTCCTAAAACTGACATCATCAAGTGCTATATCTCCAAGATAAGAGCTTCCTCTCACAGCCTCAAATACAACCTGGACAGGTAGATGTCAGTGGTATCATTGTAATGTATGTCACAGAAACATGGAATCTTTAAACTTATTTTTTGCTTACAGGCCTGAGGAAATTTTAATGTTTTGTAAAAGAAAAAAGTTGTTAGTCTCAATGCCTTAACGTCTTTTGAAAATAAATATTTGTTTTATAATGAGTTAATTTGATCATGCATAGGTTTGTAGAAGTTTGGAACCCCATAAATGTTACAAAGTTTTAAAAAATCAAATCAGTGACAAGAAGGAGAGAAGTAAGACTATGTTCTGGTTAACTGGAAAATATTAATGGTTATCATCAGAACACTTACCCTCTTCACAAGCAAATCAAACAAAAATGGATGAGGAAAGATGAAAACTTACATAGTACTGTCCATTCGGAGTAATAGTGGCTTGTCCACGATGCCATACATTGCCCTGGTTGAAGTTACGTGTCCACACAGCCTGACCCTTTTGACTTACATCAGTGTTAGAGGTTGTGACGTAGACATTCAGTGCCCCAATATTACGACCATACATGTGATAGTAGAACTGCACACAAACTGGACCATATGAGGGAGTCATGGCTGGTGTTATTAAGTGCGTTGTCATGTTGACTGGTACATTTGAGGACTCCATGTAGACATAGTGACCGGAAGTGGTACCCAAGGTGTGGTCAGCAGTTGGTCCAGTTCCGGAGGAGGCTGTTGATCCATGGTGCCATTGGAATGGATGCTGGTCACTCATATAGTGGGTGTAGCCACAGATTGTAGAACTCTCAAAGTCACACGAGTTGTTCATAGCTAGAAACAAAAGCTTCCATTAAGGAGAAGAAAATACATACAGTTGAACCTCATTATCTCGAACTTCGCAGTACCATTGGAAAACTTCAAGATAACTGAGTATTCAATTTGAGAGAGTTAAAATGTTTTGTGTTAAGTTTGGCAGGGACCAATGAAATGCTTCAAATCAAACAAGGTCCAACTGTACATACAAAACATAAAATGTCGCGATTTGATAATTACAGCCAGGATGATATTTTGGAGACAAAAACTGTGACAGATATGTTTGTTATCAGCAGAAGATCAAATTTCTATAAATATCAGATGATATCCAGTCTTATCCAAGCAGATTTCAAATGAAGAAAACTGACACAATGAAGAAATGATACAAAATAACGTTGCCATGTTGACACCTTAGGAGAGATTAACTGTTTAACATTTTATAAAACTTTCACTTTCCTGCCTTCTTCATCATATGTATTTCACTATTTTGTCTTTTTGCAATGCAGAGTTATCTGCTCTTGTTAGCAGGTTTACAATGTTACGTTTTTGTTTGTGAGAAAACCATCATGAGAAAGCAACGTCATTGTCTCATGCAAAAGAATAATGTGCAGTAAGAATCAATACTTGCTCACAAGAGCTGATAACTCTGCTTTATGAAAAGATGGAAAATTTTATTGTCTATGCTTACATGCATAACTGCAGCTTCCTAATGCCATCCTGATATCATCTATGGCAATATCACCACGATAGCTCAGGCCCCGAACTCCCTCAAACACAATCTGTCAACAAATCACACTCCATGTATACTTAGATCAACAGCTTTCTCAATATCATATAAAACTTATCTATTCAAAATGTATTAACAGCAAAAATTTGTAAAAACTTTTCTGAAAAGTTGTGAGGAAAATAAGTTATCCTGATATAATAATCCTACTCAAAGACATGTCAACACCAGAATAGATCATTCATTCACTTCATTACTTCAACAGTCACTCACATAAAAAACAACATCTTCAAATCTTCAAAAAAAACCCAGGTTCTGATGCGAAATAATCTAAACTTTTGAGTCAAGATTTAGACTGCTCCTAATAGGCTAACAGGGACCCCTGTTTCTAATGCCAAATAACCTAGACTTTTGAGTCAAGATTTAAATCTGCTTCTAACAGGCTGACAGGGACCCTTGGTTCTGATGCCTCCTAATAAGCTGACAAGGAACTCAGGTTCTGATGCGAAATAACCTAAACTTTTGTTTCGAGATTTTGACTGCTCCTAATAGGCTAAAAGGGACCCCTGGTTCTAATGTGATATAACCTAAATTTAAGACAAGCTTTATACAATATCACTTAATAGGACCCTGTTTCTGGTGTAGTCTTAAACATATGTAATGTTCATAGGTGATTTATCTGTGTATATTTAAATACTTACCATATATGGTGAGGTGGGTGTGAGAGAAACCTTTGCCTGTCGCCATTGGTTACCCTGTGTTCCATGCCTGCTCCAGATAGCAGCACCAAGGTTGGATATACTACCAGTTTGGTATACATTAAGGGCATTTACATGTGTACCGTACATGTGATACCAGAAACTAAGACATCTCTGGCTGTTGTCTGATATTAATGGGGACATCACCCTGGCTGTATCATTAGGACGACGTGGACTAGATGCCTCAATAAAGATGTACCAGCCATATCCTAGGAAATAATATCAAACATTAGACTTGTCTTCGACCATTTCATCATTTGAATATTAAAAAACCAAAACATGGTTCTGTAATAAGTGTCTAAAATAATCACACATAAAAACCAAGGTGTTTCTTCGTTAATTAAAACATTCTGCAGATAATGTTAAAACAGTGCTTGGAAGTGTGGTGACTTACTCGTTCCCTTTGTATGGTCATTGGTTGGACCTGTCAGGGCTGTGCCTGTTGGGCCTTGTGCTCGTGTCCAGTTGAATTGGTCAGTTTGAGTATCCTGCTTCCATAGACAGAGTCCATTTGTGTCAAAGTTACAGTCGTATTGGGTGGCCGCTGGATATTATTATTAAACAATACAGAGCAAAGTTTTATTGATATTATAACCATAACAGTGCTGCCTTAATGTCTCAAAATACATAACCCCACTTCTGTAGAAATTGTTTCTTAATTTCTCAAAATACATAACCTCACTTCTGTAGAGATTGTGCCTGAATGTCTCAACATACATAACCCCACTTCCGTAGAGATTGTTTCTTAATGTCTCAAAATACATATCGCCACTTCTGTAGAGATTGTTTCTTAATGTCTCAACATAAATAACCTCACTTCTGTAGAAATTGCAACAATGATATTAGTGTTACTGCAGTCCCTTCAAAATACATAACCCCACTTCTGTATAGATTGTACTTGTAGTTTCTTATTGCAACAATCAAACACAAAAGACAACTTAGAATAAATTGCAGTACAGGATCAAGATGCAGAAGCTCCGTAAAGCTTATGATTATCAAGTAATATACACAGTAAAGCTAAAGCCCAAGCATACAAACATATAATCTTTGAGTTGGGAAAGCTTTGTAAAGCCACTGAAGAATGCAATGCTGTTTATCTGAAGTCTTGGAGATTAAATAAAGCTCAGTATCGTCAGCTCATTTACTTGGAATTTGTTAAGCTCAGTCAAGTCCAATGGCTTATCTAGAATTTGTTAAGCTCAGTCAAGTCCAATGGCTTATCTAGAATTTGTTAAGCTCAGTCAAGTCCAATGGCTTATCTAGAATTTGTTAAGCTCAGTCAAGTCCAATGGCTTATCTAGAATTTAAGCTCAGTCAAGTTCTTACCTAAAATTTGGGAAGCTAAATGAAACAAACCTGTTTGAGAAACTCACTTAATCTTGATTTATAACAAAAGTTTGTGTAGCTCAATGACGTCAGTTCCGTTAGCTCAGTTTCATACCTTACTTTTGGGAAGTTTAGAGAATTCAATTTTAAATGTAGAGGTTGGGAAGCTAAATAATTTAATTTTGGAAAGGTCATTAGAAAATCTATTTCATATCTTGAGTTTGAGAAGTTAATTTAAAATCAATATCCTTCCCAGAGTACCTGGGAAGTTCTAAAAAGCTGAAGATAAGAACATTATTTACCTGGTGTTGGAGCAGCTGTAGTTAAAGCAGGTGTGGTCATGGTACTGCCTGTTGTCTGAGATAATGGATTAGCATAGGATGGTGTTACTGTAAAAGTAAAAGAAAGCTTTATAGATAAAACAATAAACTTGCTGGACAGGTAGGACATAACAGAATTAATATCATCATAAAATATCTTCAGCAGTACACTAGTTGGACAGGTAGGACATAACAGAATTAATATCATCATAAAATATCTTCAGCAGTACACTAGCTGGTCAGGTAGGACATAACAGAACTAACATCATCATAAAATATCTTCAGCAGTACACTAGCTGGACAGGTAGGACATAACAGAACTAATATCATCATAAAATATCTTCAGCAGTACACTAGTTGGACAGGTAGGACACAACAGAATTAATATCATCATATAATATCTTCAGCAGTACACTAGATGGACAGGTAGGACATAACAGAATTAATATCATCATATAATATCCTCAACAGTAAACTAGTTGCACAGGTAGGACATAACAGAACTAATATCATCATAAAATATCTTCAGCAGTAAACTAGCTGGACAGGTAGGACATGACAGAACTAATATCATCATATGATGTCTAAGCTGGATTAGATATGGCTGTATTGCTTAGGAATAAACATTGAATTATTTTTCATATAACACATCAATATATCATGTTTGAAAAATGTCTTACATGTACAAGCTGAAGTAGTGAAGCTAACATCATCAATGGCAATGTCTCCCATGTAGTTAGAGCCGCGGATACCCTCTATTATCACCTAGTTAGAAAAAGAGAGAAAGCTATTAACTAAAGGTATGATCTCAAGTGACTTTAAGTTAGCAACACAACTAATGTGTTAAATGATCAGTATTTTCCTGATTATAAACTCCACCTTTTTTTGTGAGTCTGGCATGCGGCTTATATATCGGTGAAGTTTATATGTGGACGAAAAAACAAAACAAAAAAAACCGACAGGAAAGCAAAAAAAAAAAAAAAACAGGAAGCATACCAGTACACCAGTATAAGAAGTTACTTGTTTTTTTAAGAGTACCTGCCCATCACGTGTTTGTGACAGAAACAGACTGTCTAGAACTGTCATTTGCAATCGTATACAGGATTATTTTAAGATTAACATTACAATAATATTTGTTTGGATTTAATTAATCAAATCTTTTAATATGAATCACGATAGTGTCTTCTGGACTTTTGTGGTTACTTTGAAGCAATATCGGAAGTATACAACAGTCTTTTTTTCATTCAGGGATCGACAGGTCATTTGGTTATAGGTCAAATTCTAGAAATGGGGTTCAGGGATCGATAGGTCATTTGGTTATAGGTCAAATTCTAGAAATGGGGTTCAGGGATCAATAGGTCATTTGGTTATAGGTCAAATTCTAGAATGACCATCACGCTTGTTTATGATATGAATGGCATCATGTAACTTACAAGAAATAAAATGGGACTATAAGAATTTGGTCAGCATGCAAGGGCCTTCATTTGTATCTAACAGTACAGACACCAATGAAAAGATTGTTTAGTAAACTGTATATTTGTGCATTGACAATCTGTGAAGGAGGCACCTAAGCCAAACTTTGATATTTGTTATTTTGTTTTTCTGAAATACATCAATCAAATAAAGGATTATTTCTGTATAATTCATTTGCAAACTTACTTAAATGTTTCATTGAAGATTTTGATAAATTGCCCTCCGTTGTCTGTTATAACCCAGAAAATACGGTAATTATCCTCAATCTAACATCTTTGCAATGTTTACATATCAGGAATAAGTCAGACAATTAAAAAAGCAGTAAATGAACTTACAGTGAATTGTGTTGTACTATTTAGGCGCACTTGGGCAGACTCCCACATACTCTTTTGATTTCCACTCAGTGTCCACAGAGTCTGATTGCCTGATGCTGTTGCCAAGTACACGTTGAGTGTACCAATACCACTGCCAGTTAGATAGTACCAAAAATGGAAACACTGACTTGTTCCTGGGGCAAAACTTTGACTCTGTATCCTAGCGATATCTCCCGGTACACGAGGGGAACTGGCCTCAATAAAGGCATAGTGTCCTGTCAACAGAGATGACCATAAAAAAGGAAGTCGTCACAGCAACTTCATTCTTTTTATTTAATTTTTTTTTGTGGAATTTACATACAATGTATGAAATTATCAAATTTCTGAGTCAAAAAAGTTAAAATATGCCACTTGGCTGAAAATTTTCATCTACGAGTTAACAATGTTTCATATACGTATTATGTACACCCAAGATTTGAAAATATAGGTACATCTTTCCAGGAAAAAAAATTAAATAAAGCCAAAGGTTCTTCGTTGCCACGAGCATCTTTTTAACAACGATACATATCAAAACTCAGAGTTTGTCACCATGTGGGATAGGGATGTAGATACACTTACCTTGGGGTGTGTTTTGAGTGTGGTCATTTGATGGACCAGTAAACTGGCTATTTGTCTGACCTTTCCCGATCAGCCAATCAAAATCATCATTTTTCATGTTAGTCCATGTACAAAAGCCCTTCTCGAAGCCACAGTTTCCTGAAACACAGTAATCATTGATGTTATTTGGATATATTATTGACAGAAAAAATATATATTTAGAATCTAAGTAGTAAGCGACCAATGCTGGTTGATAATCCTGAATAACTCGCTTAAAATTTTGTGAAAATTTATTAACTACAGTCTAGCTACCATGAAGCTGAAAGGCTGTAATAATGAATGTTTAACCCATTAAATAATCAAATTAAGTTTAGCCCATAATAGTGCATAGTAAGTAGAGTAAATTTGCTCTCTGTAGACCCTTTCTGTTGCCTAGTTTGCTATATCACAGTAGTTTAAACTGATTCCCTTATAAATGGGACGGCTGTTAACTTTCAACTCTGACAATTTTTTCTTTAGCAACAGCAGTTTTAAGATTAATAACTATTTCATAGAACTGTTGTGGATGATCCCATTTCACCGTGGACTTATAATATATCCAGTTCAAATTATTTAGAAGAATATCTGGATGCTTTTTCAATACCATCTATCTTATCGTAATTACACACCTGCTAATGGACAGAGTCCAGGACTAATGGTTAAGTCATCGATGGCAATATCGCCTGCATAAGAACCAACAATCCCCTCAAACCAAACAGAATAGTTGCCTGTTGTCAATGGCACAGAAGCCTGTACGAGGAACCACTTGTTTCCCTGGTTGCCAGACTTGGTGTAAATCTTCTTCACATAGGAGCTTGTTTTGACATAAATATTGAGTGTACCGATACCTCTGCCATACATATGTGTATAGAGACTGATACAAGACCCAGAAGTCTGAGGGAAAGAGGGGCTCATTAATATTGCCTTTTGTCCAGTAACCTGTGGCCGACTTGACTCAATGTACATGTAATGACCTGAAACACAATAAACAAAAGATAAAGCATTTGCCACAGTAAACTTTAAAAAAAGTAAAGCTGATAAGAGTATGACCAAATAGTTTACTCCAACCTGATATTTTGTAAAAGAAAGAAGGAGGTTATTATCTGAGTGTCAGACTGTGGTTAATCATGTGGTAGGGGAGGTGGTTAGAGGGACAGAGACTGTTATTTGTTTGAGTAATCTGGTAGATTTTGATTACTGATAATTCATACCTCTGGCTGTTCCATAAGTATGGTCATTAGTTGGACCCGTATATAAACTTGATGTGTGACCAGCATATCTTGTCCAGTCAAAATTGTCGTTCTTGCTTTGTTGGAAACCACAGATGTTGGAATTCTCAAAGTTGCAGGATGTGACTGAAAAATTAAAGAACTTGACTGAAAATGTGAGATGAGGAATCTTCATACTGATGTACTTATTACTCTCTATGTAAACAATTTATTCAACCTTTCGTCTTGCATGTGAAGTCTATATTAGAGATAATAGAGATTACAGAGTTAAACTGTTTAGAGCACACAAAAGATTTCTGTATACCTCCTCATCACTACAGGATACAGGGACATTAAGTACCATACATCTCTCTGTTATGATAGATAACAAATAAAACATTTCTGTGTAGTTTCTCATTACTACAGGTTACAGGGACATTAAGTACCATACATCTCTCTGTTATGATAGACAACAAACAAAACATTTCTGTGTAGTTCCTCATTGCTACAGGTTACAGGGACATTAAGTACCATACATCTCTCTGTTATGATAGACAACAAACAAAACATTTCTGTGTAGTTTCTCATTACTACAGGTTACAGGGACATTAAGTACCATACATCTCTCTGATCTGATAGATAACAAACAAAACATTTCTGTGTACCTCCTCATTACTACAGGTTACAGGGACATTAAGTACCATACATCTCTCTGTTACGATAGATAACAAATAAAACATTTCTGTGTAGTTTCTCATTACTACAGGTTACAGGGATATATAGCATCAATTAATTCAGAATGACCAGTTAGTATTGTACATCTCTCTGTATAAAATTAAGCACAGAATATGAGTGTAATAATAATAACTCATTAGTATATTCTGTAAGGAAATACTCACCAGGTGACCCCGTGCATGGTTGGTATGAGTAGCTTATGTCATCAATGGCAATGTCTCCCCGATAGCTCACCCCTCGCACTCCCTCAAACAGGATTTGGAATGACTGGGAACTGATGAGATTAACCGAAGCTGAGTTCCACTGGTTGCCTAGGGTACCAGTGTGTGTCCAGACAACTGACCTTGACCCATTTACAGCCATATATACATTAAGAGTGTTAATATGAGTTCCATACATGTGGTACCAGAATCGCAGACAAGAACCGCTGGTAGCTCCAATACTGGGGGATACAAGTCGAGCTGTATCATTGGGTCGTCGGGGTGATGAAGCCTCAATGTACATGTAATGACCTAGAGCTATTGTGAAAACGAAAATAAAATATTAATGTTGTTCTAAATAAAAAAAGTATGTTTGCATGAAAAAGTCCAATATTAGCTTCAAAATACATTTTGTACATTCTTTGTTAATAAACTCCTGAAATGTTGTTATTAGAGAACAGAGAGAGTCATACGTACATGTACCAAGAGTGTGGTCGTTAGTGGGGCCAGTTCCAGTAGTGGACGAGGGGCCACTTGCCAGTGTCCAGTCAAAGTTGTCATTATGGGCCTGTGTCCAGGGACAATGCTTCTCAAAAGTACAGTCAAATGGTGAAGACACAACTACAAATACAGTATTTCAAACTTTTTATTAAATTCTAAATCAACAATATTTTAAACTGAAAAAAAAGGGAAAAAATGGTAATTTACCATGACTTTTCAAATATACATGTTTAATTCAATTCTTGACTATGTCCTACTCTAAAAACACATAAATAGTCTGATACAACTGGTTACTAGAATGCAGAGTTTACATCAAGTATTGACACTTACAAGGTGTTGTCATGGAGGTTGGCATGGCAGTGGTGGGCGGAGTCAATTCTGAAGGGGCAGCTGCCTGGACAGGAAATACTGCAACACAATACACAGTCATTTGTAAGATTCAGAAAAATTGCCAAAACTCCTCTTTGAAATTTCATTGGTCAAAATCTGGGGTATAAAACTATCAACAACAGTCACCATAAACATTTCGAGGAATGCTAAACATAAGAGAATTCTCATATACCTGTACATGGGCCATCTGTGAGACTTATATCATCCACACCAATATCACCATGGATACCATTCCCACGTTGTCCTTCCAACACCAACTAAATCATGGTATAAAACATTTTTTATTAGGTGTTCTTCTTGAACTAAAAGTAAGTTTTGAACATAGGTGATATGCTTAAATCTTCAAGCAAGATATGAAATCTTCAAAAACGGTGATGTAGGTAAATTAGAAATAATTGAAATGAAGTGCACAACAAAGAACATTTTGTAAGGTCCTTCTCTCTGCTGGATACTGAAAATCAACAGCTCAAAATATTGGACTTTTGGATCAGGTATGGACCTGTTAATCACAGCTGTCGTTATCCTTGTCTAAGGTTATATAAAGTAACAACTAACTTTTAAGAGTGTACACATTATCAAATTCACCTTAATAAGTTAACAAAGTCTACACTGGATTTGAATTCAGCTTCAGTCTTTGTTAAGTAAAATATCTGGAAAAAGTTCATTGTTCTTTAAAATTAAGCCCTGTTGATTAAGCTATTTCATTGAAGGTATTGATAAATCACAGTACAATAGTTATATTCAACATGTACAATTTTTTTCACTTAAAGGTAAGCTTTATTGACTGTACAGTGATAAAGCATGACAGTGCCGACAAAGTTTTTTGGTTATAGATGTTTTACATTGCTACATTGTACATTTCTAAGAAAATGTATCAAAATCTGAAGATAATATAACTGTATTAAATGTCTAGTCACAACATACTGCTCAGCTATCAAGAACTTCTCTTTAGCTCAACTGGCTGAGCATTAGACTAGTAAGGCAGGGTCCCGTGTTGGAATCCAAGCAAAGGCATTGAAATAAATTACGACCTCTGATGCAATATTAAATGCTGTCATCCAATTAAAAAAAAATTCTGACAAGCACACAGAAAGACTGACTGTCAGACCTGCTGATCAAGGTGGCTTACATAGAAGGGTACACTGCTGTAGTACATGGACCTGGCTGACCTCCATTGGTTGCCTTGATCACCATACAAGGACCAGATCTTGATTCTTTGCGTGCTGTTTGTAGCATTCTGAGGCTGTATATAGGCATTCAGATAACCAATTTCTGACCCATACATATTGTACCAGAAATTCAAACATCTTGCTGATGTAGCTTGCAATAACTGACTTTTAAGCTCTGCACGGTCTCCAAGTCTCCGTGGTGCAGATGACTCAATAAAGATGTATTGTCCTGAAAGTGATAGAATAGGGAAACTTTATTCATGCATCAATTATTGTTTGCACAACCGCTGTAATCAGGACACCATTAACTCTGACAAAACTTAATTTACCATCAGTTGTTTTAATAGTGTAGTGTAATCAGGCCTTGAAATGAACAGCATTGTCTGATATTCTAACTTTACTAGGCCCTTTAATGACCTTACTTTACTAGGCCCTGTAATGACCTTACTTTACTAGGCCCTGTAATGACCTTACTTTACTAGGCCCTGTAATGACCTTACTTTACTAGCCCCTGTAATGACCTTACTTTACTAGGCCCTGTAATGACCTTACTTTACAAGGCCCTGTAATGACCTTACTTTACTAGGCCCTATAATGACCTTTCTTTACAAGGCACTGTAATAACCTTACTTTACAAGGCCCTGTAATGACCTTACTTTACTAGGCCCTATAATGACCTTTCTTTACAAGGCACTGTAATAACCTTACTTTACTAGGCCCTGTAATGACCTTACTTTACTAAACCCTGTAATGACAATTATGGCTGTACCACAGTCTCACTTACCACCTGAATTTCCCTTGGTGTGATCATTGCTTGGTCCAGTAATAGCACTAGTTGTGCGGCCCCTGTTAAGTAGCCAATCAAACTGGTCTGTCCCATCATGTACATTGGTCCAAGTACACAAGCCTGTCTCAAAGTCACAGTTTCCTGAGAATATAAGCCAGACGTTTTTATGAAAATATTCTCATAAAGCCTTTCGCAGGAAAGCCAACAGATAAGATAAACAGTTCATATTTAAATAGTACAATACAAGACAGTTGGTAAAATTTGGTTTCACCAGTCTCATTTTGTAATTTTAGGCAAATAATTTTTTTTCAAATAACACTGATATTTAGATTTAGTCCTACATAGTTCTGCATTCAACCTTAAGCATTTAATCAGCAACAAATATTACAGATGTATTCCAGTCTATTACCTGGGTCAGGGCAAGCTCCTGCAGAAGTATTGATGTCATCAAGAGCAATGTCACTGGTGTATCCAGCCCCTACAATCCCCTCAAACACCACCTGTAAAAACCAAATAACATTATATCCTCGAACACCACCTGTAAAAACCAAATAATATTATAACCTCAAAAACCCTTAACAACCAAATAACATTATAACTTCAAACACCTGGCTGACAATAGTCCTATCATACAGCCATACAGCTTATATTTTCACGACAGGGTAAACCTTACTGCATTATACTCTACTGTTACCAATCCAGACATCTACATGGCAGATTGTTTTTGACAGCGGCTTGACAGGAGCCCTAGGCATTCAATCCCTCCATACAGAAACCTACCTGGAAAACCTAATATTTTGTCTATAATCACACATGTTTTAGATGGTGACTTTTGACCTGGGTCCCCAGGCCCTATCCCCACCCTTCTTACACACACCTACCTGGTAAGCCTTATTGTTTTGGATGGTGACTTGACCAGGGATCCACTTGTTGCCCTGATTAAAGGACCTGGTCCAGATAGGAGCAGTAGGCAGGGTTGTGCCTACACGCTGGTACACGTTCAAGGTTCCCATTTGTCTCCCATACATGTGATAGTAGAACTGTAGACACATGGGTGTTGTCGTAGTAACAGAAGAACTCAGCAGACGAGCCTTGTTGCCAGGAACATTTGGTCGACTTGATTCAATGTAGACGTAGTGTCCTACAATAACATATATAAAGAGTCGTTGATTAAACCAAAAAGTTGCACTTATTTATTAATTTAAAACAGTCTTTATTTGGCTATTTTTTTTCATAACTTAATATAAATGCATTTGATAGCTGTGAATGGCTATAGTGGTTTCTGCTAAACAAAAACAACAGATTAATCAGAATTATTTTGATTGTAAGGAAAATTTGATTGAAGTGTCCTACCAGAAGATGTTCCTGTGGTGTGGTCAGTTGATGGTCCAGTGCCTGAGGAGGAAGTCCTGCCAGCCTTTGGTATCCAGTTTATATTATCACTTGTGTCCTGACTCCATCCACACAGGAGTGACGTCTCAAAGTTGCACTGTAGTCCACCTTGTCACACACAACAATAGTTACAACTCTCCATGCAAAAATTACCTCAGGATTTTGTTATCCACTGACACCATTAGTTTAAACAATTGTAACAATTGAAGTACAAATGTGATTTGTAATTTTGTGCAAATGAATATTTTTTAGACTCAATTATGTATATATAAATATTTCACAGCTTGTACAAAGCTCTCTATGCCGGGATATAATCAGATTTTATAAACAAGAGTAGCAGTGAAACTAGCAATGTTACCCAAAACAACTTTATTGGACACAAAATTAAATCAAAAGGCAATAATTCTGTAATTAAGAAGTCACAGGCCCTGAATTTGGTATACTGCACAATAACTCCTAAATTATACAAGACAGAGTTATGGTTCTTGTGCACTGCACTTCTCCTTATCAAGATCTATCTACCTGAATCTATCTGAATTTTTTTGTGATATGCTCCAAACAAAATTATGACAGTCAGACTGATGGACAGACAAAGCGGGACTGTACGGAAAGCATAAACAATCCTTTATCACTCACAGCACAATTGAAAAAACAATCACCTGCAAGAATCTATTTAATGACTTTAATTAAATGTGATACATATACCTGTAGATTGACAAGGTCCTGCTACAAGCTTGATATCGTCAAGTCCAATATCACCACGGTAACCTGCTCCAGTTAGTCCCTCAAATACGATATTATACTGGACTGACTGACTAGGAATTGGGTAATGAGCCTGTATCCAGATGTTTCCCTGAGTGCCGTATCTTGTCCATACCGGTGTACCATAGCTATTGCCCTTCTGTAAATACAGAAGTTAACAGACTTACTACACCAGGCATTGGGATAATTAACATTGCCTGGACTCAAAGGACATCAGAGGTTCAGAGTGGTGTGATGGTAACACACTCTCTGAATAGATGTGAAAAGGTATGGGGACAAATGCACGTCCATGTGGGTATTCCCAGGGAATCTGGTTTATTATCACAGAGTGATTTTTACATGCTGGTATATCACAATTGATATCATATAGGTAAGTTAACTTTCAATTTATAACGTCAATATCATCTATATCTTTTTATCTGGATATGAAATTGGCATAAAGATGTTTCTCTAACTTATACACACACATACCTTGATGTAGACATTGAGTCTATTGATGTTTGGTCCATACATGTGGTACCAGAAACTCAAGCATTGCTGAGACCCAGAAGGTACAGATGCTGACACAAGACGAGCAGAATCATTCATCTTACGTGGGTTAGACGACTCAATAAACATGTACCAACCTTGTCCTTAAAAGAAGAACAATCAAGAAAAACTTTAAATATTATTTAATGATGATATTTCGAGAAATATTAATCATATTGTATTTATCTGCAAGATAAGCCTTTGTGGAATCATGTTTCCTAAAATAGTAAGCTAAAAGTGGCTCACAATTAATCCCTCCCAAAACATTAATACTAAAATTTTACACCAAGGGAAGTAAGGATAAATACAGTAAATATGGTTAATGTAAACCTATTCTCAAACATGCATACATCTTGATGGTATGCTTTATATATTGATCTTAAACAGATTATGATAACAAAAAAAAACAAAAAAATTTTTTGAAAGCACCAATAACTAAGAACAGTATGTCATACTGACCAGTCCCTAGTGTGTGGTCATTGGTTGGACCGGTCTGGACGGACGCAGTAGGACCTTGAGCTCGTGTCCAGTTAAATACATCATCTGTAGCTTGTGTCCATGAACACATATTTTGTTCAAATGAACAGTCATATTTGGACTGGCTCACTACGAAACATAATACAAATGAACACATCACTAAATTAGACAACATGATGAAAATATGAACATTTTGTCTATTGGTTCTTAAAAAAATACATTTTAAATACATTATTAAAATTCAAGGGAGTGTTGAATGTCACAAAACAAGAGTCTCCACATGATCAGGACCCATTGATGAAGGGTGTGGGCATGGTTTTAAACAATTCACTATACTTACCAAATGGTGTAGGAGTTGGAGTTGTCGTAGGTGCTGGGGTGGTGCTAGCATTGGTGGGATTAGCTGTTGCAGGTAAATCTAGAAAACAAAGTACAATTTTCATCATAAAAAAGTCCTGATATTCTGTGTTCTGGTACTAGTCAATTTATACTAGAATAGTTTATAAATTTGGTAGAAGACACCAACCAGAAGGTTTCACAAGAGTTAAACCTTTATATTCTTGAATATGGGATTGTATCATTTTTAACATAACCTTGATAATTGATAAATATAAAAAAAACTTCTACTCTTTTGATAAATAAGATTAAATATCACATTTCACAACTATTTCTAAAAAAAAGACAAAAAAATAACAGTGAAAGAAAAGAGTAATCCACGAAAGTCTGAACTTACATCCACATGGTGATGGTGTGAACAGGATATCGTCAAGGGCAATGTCTCCTTGGTAACTAGAACCTCGGATACCTTCAAACACAATCTGTAAAAGGAGAACAAACATTTCTTCACTTGTAACACAATCTGTTACATAGTGTTATCAATCAGTTGATTAATACTGACCAATAAAAAAAACAGCCAGTCTTATGAGAATGAAGACAAAGTGGGATCCTAGATCAATATCATAGTAAAAATTTCATCATTACTGACAGAGTTATTACAATACCGCTTAAGCCAAAATTGTTATATTGATATCATATATAGACACTTCATTAGTTACAAAGTGAAATTAAATGTCTTGTTCTCAACATGCAAAATTATTTCTGCATCAACACCCTTACTCTTGAATTGTGAGTAAAATAGAAGACACCTGAAGGAGATGTCAGGTACTTACTGTGTATGTGTTGGACATAGGCACTAGAGGTATCTGTCCCTGGAGCCAAGCATTCTGCTGGTTGCCATACAGTGTCCAGAGCATGGTTAGAGATCCAGTAGAAGTTGTATTAGCATACACATTAAGACTTCCTACAGTTCAAAAATGTTCAAACAGTTAAGATGAAAACAAATTAAAAACAAGAGATTTCAGAGGGATCTTGGCACCTATCATTTTTTTATTATTATAGCTATGATAATCTTTACTTGCAAAATCCTAAGCCACCTGGAAGCCATTTTGTTTCTTCTGATCAGACCCAAATTCAAATGAGCACAAGGAGAGACCAACATGAAAATACCTAAGAAATTTGAGAGATATCCATTCTTCTTAAGAATTAGCAATAACAGTCTTTACCATGCAAAATCCAAGATAGCTGCCTGTCAGCCATTTTGTTTTTCTGATCAGTAAAACAGGCACAAACAGGGACTTAAAGAACCTACACACAAGATCTGAGAAAGATCTATAGAGTAGATGTCAAGAAATGGTGATAACAAACTTTCAAATTCAAAACCCAAGATGGCCATCTTTTCTTTTTGCCATTATGTTTGTCTGATCTGCCCTAAAATGCAAAGTCAAAATCTAAGGTGGCCATCTGTCGGCCAAATTGGTTTTCTGATCAGACCCAAAATCAAACTGACACAACAAGAGATCAACAGGAAAACCTACATATGAAATTTAAGAAAGATTCATCAAGCACTTCCCAAGACAAACTTTAAAAGATAAAATACAGCCATTTTGTTTTTTTTATCATACCTAAAATCAAATGGGCACAACAAGTGACCAAGAGGAACCAGCATTTGAAATTTCAAAAGAACCATCCCGTACTTCTCAAGAAATAGCGATAACAAATTTTCAAAGTCAAAATCCAAGATGGCTGCCTGTCGGCCATATGGTTTTTCTGATCAGTCAAAAAATCAACTGGGCATAACTAGGGACCAAGGGGGGCCTACATACACAATTTGAGAAAGATCCATCCAGTACTTCTCAAGAAATAGCGATGACAAAAACTGTTTACAGATGGACAGATGACGGAAAACCACTGAGCACAGATGCAGAGCGATTTGAATAGATAACCATCAGTGATGATGGGCTATAAAAAAACCTGATTACCAGAACAAATTTAAAAACTGTGATTATGAGTACCTACCGACAGCGGTGCCATACATGTGGTACCAGAAACTCATACAGGTGGTAGTGGTGCTAGGAGACCTTGGATTACTGACCAGCCATGCTTTGTCACCTCGTACTCGTGGTGCTGATGTCTCAATGAACACATAGTAACCTATAACAGTTAACAATAAAAACACTTCTTTAAGTGGTGCCAATGAACACATAGTAACTTATAATAGAGAGTTCAGCCATACCGAAGCAGGAGGGACGATGTTTTGTATCGCTCCTCAAATATGTCCTGTATCTAGTGATTCTAGTAGATTTCACTGGTTTAATTTTTACCCTTGGACAATTGTGACTATGTGAATCCACAGGTCACCAATTCTTTTTAAACAATATCTTGAAAATTCTCTCTTGTATTATTACAATATTCATACATTGTTTAGTTTGTCAGTTTGTCAGTTGTAGTAAATGACCTAAAGGATTTCAATTTAAAAGGCAAAAAGTGTTATAACATATGAAATTAGTTTAAGCTGTTTAACTGTATATCCTTTTATGCTATATTAATGTTAATATGTACATAGTATGGCATTATATAACCCCTATCGATTCTAAGGTCGAAAGGCCAAACATTGTTAATTTAAATCACAAGGGAAGACTTGTACTATAGTTTTGATGTTGCACCCGTATTCAATGTCTGTTTATGTTGAATACTGTCATATTAGGGAATTCTTGATTTTACAAGTTGTTTATTGAAAAACTTCCAAACATTCATTGGAATAACTTTTACAGACTTAATTTTGATGTGTTATATACATATTAGAAAATTCTAGAATTTTAAAAGTCACCCATGATGACCTTCAGCTATGAAACTGAGCAGTGATCTTAAGCTATTACAGATATTTACATTTCAAAATAATGTATCACCTGCAGCTGTTATTACTGACCTGTGAAATCACCTGTGGTGTGGTCAGAGCTTGGACCAGTAAACTGGCTTTGAGTACGACCCTTCTTTCTCAACCAATCAAAATCGTCCCCTTGAACATTTGACCATACACACATGTCCTTTTCAAAGTTACAGTTCCCATTGCCTGTACAGGCTCCAGGGGCAATTTTCACATCATCAATAGCTATATCACTGAGGTAGCCACTTCCTATCACTCCTTCAAATACAGCCTTCAACACAAGTTACACAGAGTTTTACAACAAATGTTTCCTAGAAACATCAGCTTGAAATTGTATGTAACATATCGGGTCTACAACAAATCATTAACACACAATTCAAAACAAACATTGGCATTTTTCTATATTCCCATCTTCATTGCCTCTTGTCCTCCATTCCCAAAAAAAGAAGAAAAAAAAACTTTATGCAAGTATTAAAACTGATTAGCATACAGCAAAATATGGACTTTACAAGACACTGACCTTCCAAGTAGACTGTGCCTTAACAGTCACTTCACCCTCTATCCACTTGTTGCCTTGGTTTCCAGATTTGGTCCAGATGGGTGCACCATGTCTGCCACCCTGTTGTACATAAATGGTGAGGTTGCCAATCTGTCTTCCGTACATGTGATACCAGAACTGTAGACAGCTGCCAACTGTGGCACTGTTGTCCGTGCTCAGGAGGCGTGCTTTCTGACCAGGTTGTCGGGGTCGGGAGGATTCAATGTAAACGTAATGACCTAGAAAAGAGTTGTGTCTTGTAACACATATGCTATTTATATATCATCTAGAGTGAAGCAATTGCAATGAAATTTGCAGATATATGTAACAATTTGAAATTACTTAAATGTCAAGCTTGTATTTGTAACATCTCTTAACATTGCTGTTATGTACATTTAGCTCTTGTAACCTGGCTTACCCAGTAAATCTGAATCCCCATCATTCTTGATAACATCTGATATATATTTGTTCTGTTTAACCTCGTTAACCTCTGATGATTCTGATACTCCTTTTAAACCTTGCTAAAATCTTATACATATCTAGTTTACCAGTCCCTGTATCATTGATCATCAGTGCCCAATGACTTCCTTACCTCTTGTTGACCCATAGGTGTGGTCCGCGCTTGGTCCAGTGTTACTAGATGCTGTGTGACCACTCTTCCATGACCAATCAAAATTGTCTGTTCTGTCCTGGGAGTAGCCACATAGCTGGCGATCTTCAAAGGTGCATGAACTAACTGGTCCTACAACAAAAAGGTTCCTTTTTAAACAACAATTTTCCTTACCTCTGTAGAAAGATGTAAATGACTTATCAAATTTTCTCCATCTTCTGTGCAAGACACATGTATAATGACTTTTCAAATTTTCTTCTACTTTTGTACAAGAAATATGTATCATGAAACAGGTTTTCCCTGCTTTTGGATTAATTCTTTTAAGATTTTGAATATTCAACATGAAGATTTGTTCAATACTACACAGTAAAAATCATGCAATGAAAGATTGAGTTTAGCAATTTTTTATGAACTTCTTACAATACTTTACAACTTAAAATTTGAAAATCCTGTAATAATAATTTGTGTCATCCTTTATTTCATTTCTGTGAGTAGCTACTAGAAAATGTTTTCCCTTGTACTGCAGTTAGGAATCTCTGCTAAGTATCAACATAACAGGTTATATCAATTTATTAAGATGTAAACACCATGCCTAATTTTACATCAGGAAAACCATCATAAAATGCTTATTATGAAATATTAAGACATTACATCATCCAAGGTTAAAGGTTAAAATGGACAACTACAATATACTTAATAAATATCCATACCCTGACAGGAGCCATCAGCTATACTGACATCGTCAATGGCAATATCACCACGGTAACTGATTCCACGGACACCCTCAAATACAACCTGATAGGTGGAGTTGGCTTGGATATTTACAGATGTAGAGTACCACTTGTTGCTGAGTGTGCCTGTGTGACTCCACACAGCAATGCCGTATGAAGAGCCCACCTTGGTGTAAACATTGAGGGTATTAACATCTGTACCATACATATGGTACCAAAACTTGAGGCACTTGGGCCCTGTTGTTGTTATTGGAGCACTTGTCAATCTAGCCTTGTCATTGTTTCTCCTTGGGGACGATGCCTCAATGTACAGATAAGATCCAGAACCTGAATAAAATCATCACTGTTAACAGATTCTAGTCAAATGATTGATCTTAAACATTCTAGTCGAAAGAAAGTGAACACTAGCTCACAAAAACATGTACACTTCTACTCATAACGTAGTGTGACCCTTTTAGAACTTTTATTCCTTAACACAGACCCATAAAACTCTCCCCATAACGTAGTGTGACCCTTTCAGAACTTTTATTCCTTAACACAGACCCATAAAACTCTCCCCATAATGTAGTGTGACCCTTTTAGAACTTTGATTCCTTAACACAGACCCATAAAACTCTCCTCATAACGTAGTGTGACCCTTTTAGAACTTTTATTCCTTAACACAGACCCATAAAACTCTCCCCATAATGTAGTGTGACCCTTTTAGAACTTTTATTCCTTAACACAGACCCATAAATCTCTTCCCATAACGTAGAGTGACCCTTTTAGAACTTTGATTCCTTAACACAGACCCATAAAACTCTCCCCATAACATAGCGTGACCCTTTTAGAACTTTTATTCCTTAACACAGACCCATAAAACTCTCCCCATAACGTAGTGTGACCCTTTTAGAACTTTAATTCTCCCCATAACGTAGTGTGACCCTTTTAGAACTTTAATTATTTAACACAGACCCATAAAACTCTCCCCATAACATAGTGTGACCCTTTTAGAACTTTAATTCTTTAACACAGACCCATAAAACTCTCCCCATAACGTAGTGTGACCCTTTTAGAACTTTGATTCTACAACAAAGACTATGCCATACCCTGTTACTAGATACCATCCTCCCTCATACCTTGTTATCAAATACCATCCTCCTTCATACTTGTTATCAAATACGAGTCCCACCTTTATCAGTACTGTTTGTTTCTGATTACATGACGTGTGATCAGAGCTCGGACCAGTCCCACCTTTCCCAGTACTGTTTGTTTCTGATAACCTGACGTGTGATCAGAGCTCGGACAAGTCCCACCTTTCCCAGTACTGTTTGTTTCCGATTACCTGACGTGTGATCAGAGCTCAGACCAGTCCCACCTTTCCCAGTACTGTTTGTTTCTGATTACCTGATGTGTGATCAGAGCTCGGACCAGTCCCACCTGTTCCAGTGTTGCCCCTATGCCGTGTCCAGTCAAACTGATCATCCTTGTTTTGGGTCCAAGTACAAATACCATTGTCAAAGTTACAGTCATACTGCCCTGGGGCTGAAACATTGAGTGTAGAAGAAAGATCAGTGATATTGTAACACAAAGTTTAAACAGAAATGAGGCTAAACCACAGAATGCAATCACAACCTCAATAAAGAGCTCTTATTTAAAGAATGAAGGTTTCAAATTAGTATTAACATCAAGAAAATTTTTTTCTTTTTTAAATTAGTTATAGTGAACAGACTGATGAGTCATGACCTATCAATTGCCAGACCTAGGCATAGACTGTGTGATCAAGGTACATGACATCTGACCGTAAAGTGGTTGGGCTATCTTTAGTTAACCTTGACCTTACACCTGATTGGGTTGTCTTAAGTTAACCTTGACCTTACTTCTGGTTGGAATGTTTCTCGTTACCCTTGACCTTACACCTGTTTGGGCTGTCTTTAGTTAACCTTGACCTTACTCCTGGTTGGGCTGTCGTTAGTTAACCTCGACCTTACTCCTGGTTGGGCTGTCACAGTGTATACATGGTACATCACCTATAACCTTACCACTGGTTGGACTGGCTGTTGTCGGCATTGTAGAAACAGGAGGCATCGTATGGCCTGACATCGCATCCACCGGCAATACTTAACAAAAGAATAAAAGTGAACATTTATGACTGAAGTCAGGAAATAAAACCACTAATCATGTAATAAAATGTACATGTCATTCATTGGTATGTGTGTCGGAGCAAAAAAGTATAGGTGGGTGAATAGAATGTATGTGGATATGTTTATCTATTAGTGTGGGAAATCATGAGGTGGTTTAGATGTGTGTAGGATCAGGATCTATCACTTGTTATGTTTGTGGATACCTAGCTATGTATTTGTGTGGATATATATGTATGTTGGCATCCATGTGTGGGTGATCAGATTCTGTTTGTGGACACCCAGTTACTATGTGTGGATATATATGGTCCACATACAATTACTTTTGTATCTTGTAGGGTTGTACTGAATATAATCCTGATAAGGGATGACATGAATAGTACAAAAAAAACTGGCCTTACCTTGACAGGTGCCTACACTGAAGGCAATGTCATCAATAGCAACATAACCTCCTCTATATGTTCCTTTGGCCAGCTGAAGGATGACCCTGAAGGGTGTGGCACTAGTAATGGGGAACTGACCTTGATTCCATCCCGTAGACGGGTTGAAGGAAAGATCCCACAGCAAAGTGCTTGTGTTACCCTAAACAAATAAATATTTTCTCTATACATTTCCAATATCACTATGCCAGAAGATTTTGCACTAGAAACAGAACAAAGTCAACTTTTTTTTCACACTGAAAATATAAATTACATAAATGGAGAGCATTTGAAAAAAAAAATGCTGAGCTAAATAATTTCATAAAAAATTGTCCGTTACCTGTAAAACTATACCGTTGAGCGTTCCTACATTGTTACCAGTGATGGTATAGAAGAATGTGAAACATTGGCCAGTGCTGGTAGTTGGAGCCATAATCTGGGACATATAGGAAGCTTTAGAGCCTGATGCCACAGTGCTTCGACCATTATAGTACAAATAATGACCTGAAATGTTTAAATGTTACATAACACAATGAAAATTGTATGTCATTCAAACTTTGTATCTCTTTTCCTTGAAACTTTTCAAGGCTGATGTATTTTGGGTTCCAATTACTGTAAATCACTAGACTTAACAAATACTTTATTTCGTGAAATGACTTCTTCAGATAGATTCCCGAATTCATAATTTTGCGATTGTTGATATTAGTGCCTTAATCAACATGGATGCCATCCAGAGTTAATTTCATAGAAAAGATTGCAAGGGATCTGAATTTGTGATTGACTCTCAACACATATGAACACGAAAATAAATCCACCGTGAAATATAAGTGATTTACTGTACACGTAAACAATTTTGTAATCAAATTTTAGCACATTACTTTTCCAGTTCTTTTTTCCATAAACATTTGATATCATCAAAATTTCACACATCTCATTGTTGGGATATTTACCGCAATTCTGATTTCATTGTTGCAAGAACTTGATCTGAATCAATTTGGTTATATTTAATAAAAAAACAATGTTTAATCACATTAAAAACATCAACATTCGATGTGTATCAGTTAGGACGACATATTATAATACTGAACTACTTCATAGTACGTGTTTTATTTGACCACATCCATTTTGTCTATCTAAGTTGATAAAATTCTCCACACAGTTTGTAGTAATATGAGAAATCCTACCTTTCCTTGCTCCGAAGGTGTGATCTCCAGTTGGGGTTTGTCGTGATATATATCTCGAGCCTTGATGAACAACCCAATCAAAGCTGTCCGTCTTGTCGTTACGCCAACCACATGTTCCATTTTCAAAGCTACAATCACCTGTATAGATTAACATTGAAACAGTTAATCATATTTTACCTGAACAGTTTATTACAATCAAAGTAACATGTCACAGTACTTACTTTATATAACATATCCTCTACACAGTATAACATCTATCTACATTGTACATTGCTTTCATTACATTTTATATGTATGATAAAATTTACATAGCATCTCACCTACACTGTACATAATATATATAACACCTCATCTCTCCAGTACATAATTTTCAATTCTGTTATACCTTCCTTAGATTACATAAAGGATTTGGTGAAAAATAAAACAATAAATATCATATCTAAATTGATTTAATGAGGTTTACTATATACTTAGCAAGAATTTTAAATGTATATTCATAATACAGAGGAATCTGATGATGTAGAATGCAGCTATAGGAAAGGTCTTGTTTCCAAATAGAATCTGGTGATAGCAGACAGGGTTTGTGAAAGCTGTTACGATGACCTCTTAATTCTAATGTTGAAGAAGGCATCGTGACAGCTGACAGAGGCCCGTCACAAGCTGTCTAGAAGCAAGAAAACCAACAAACAGGCATCAGGCATTGTTCAACATGCAACATCACACAGTTCAGGAAAATATTCCAAATACAGCAAAGATCAAAGGCAAACCACCAAATCATGGCGAAGAAATAGAGATCTGCCTGACAACCATTCCAGGTGTATCAGTACACAGTTTAGCAGACAAGCAAATATTCCAGGTATATCAGTACACAGTTTAGCAGACAAGCAAATATTCCAGGTATATCAGTACACAGTTTAGCAGACAAGCAAATATTCCAGGTATATTAGTACACAGTTTAGCAGACAAGCAAATATTCCAGGTATATCAGTACACAGTTTAGCAGACAAGCAAATATTCCAGGTATATCAGTACACAGTTTAGCAGACAAGCAAATATTCCAGGTATATCAGTACACAGTTTAGCAGACAAGCAAATATTCCAGGTGTATCAGTACACAGTTTAGCAGACAAGCAAATATTCCAGGTGTATCAGTACACAGTTTAGCAGACAAGCAAATATTCCAGGTGTATCAGTACACAGTTTAGCAGACAAGCAAATATTCCAGGTATATCAGTACACAGTTTAGCAGACAAGCAAATATTCCTGGTATATCAGTACACAGTTTAGCAGACAGATAATTATTCAAGCAAATAAAATCATATTTTTGCAGACAGACAAATATTCCAGGCATATCAGTACACAGTTTAGCAGACAGATAATTATTCAAGCAAATCAAAACATATTTTTGCTGACAGGCAACCATTCCAGGTATATCAGTACAGAGTTTTTATCAGACAAGCAAATATGCCAGACAGGCAGACTTATTAACAAGTCAGTAAACTGCTGATAGGAAAGCAGAGATAGCACATCAAACATAAGGAAACATAACAGCACAAGAAATGAAAATTAACTACTGCAGAAAACCATCATCAGTAAGTACAAGCTTTTGCTTAAACATCTTACTTGCTTTTTACCTAACAAATACTAAATATAAGAAGTTACCATGAGTAGGACAGCTAGCAGCCAGTTGGACGTCATCAATGGCAATGTCACTTTGGATACCCTGCCCCACAAGACCTTCAAACACGATCTGAAAGGTCAAACAATATCATGAGTAGGTCTACAGACAAAAGTTGGGATTAATATAGGATTTAAAAGAATTTGTTCTATTTTCCCCATTGGGCCCTGCCTTGTGTCGTAAAGGGTTGAGACCAATCATTTATGAAACAAATTTGGTCCTCTGCACCAAGGATGCTTCTGACCAAAATTGGGCAAAATCTAATCATTCCTACTGGAGTAGGTTTTTAAATGATTAGCTCTGTTACCCATATTGGGCCCCATGCCTGATCCTGAGACCAAGCATTCATAAAGAGTTAATTCCATTTCAGCCAAGAATGCTTCTGACCAAATTTGGATAACATCCGTTCATTCCTACAGGAAGATCGGGATTTTTATTATTTGCCAAATCTCCTCTTTTGGGCCATGCTCCAAACCCACTTAGACCCAAGACCAATCATTTAAAGAAAAGTTGTTCCCTTCTTTCCCAAAGGATGCTTCCAACAAATTTGATCAAAATTCATTAAGTCTTTCAGGCTATGGATACAATGTCCTGAAGGACCTTCAAACTTCTAAAATGATCTGCAAGATCAAACGTTAACATGAGTTTGTCTTTGAAAGCCATGCCCCACAAGACATTCAAACAGGATCTTTATTTTTTCGATTTAATTTCAATAACATAGGATTGATATGAAATAATTTCCTGGCCTACCTTCTGTGAACTGTAGGAGGGGAGAGGTACATACTCCTGGAGCCATACATTTCCTTGATTACCACTTAGTGACCATATTGGTGCCCCAAAGCTGGGGTTGGATGAGTTTTGGACGGCATATACATTCAGAGTGCCCATGGTGTTGCCATACATATGGAACCAGAAGGATAGACATTGCTGTGAGGATACAGAAAATACTGGGGTCATCAGACGTGCGGAGTCGCCACGATGACGGGGTGCTGATGCCTCAATGTACATGTAGTGACCTGGAAACACAAAATAGACTTAAACTTCTGATACAAACAACTTTTATTAGTAAAATGCTGGAGATTTTGTGAAAAAGGTAGATCCACTTCGAACTTTATGATCAGGTATATTTTATACAAAACAATCAAACTTGTGGAAGTGACCTACTTAGTTCAGGTTAAGTTTTTATTCATTATTATGTATATTTCTGCTATTAAGGCCTTTCAGCCTTTTAGCAGACAACCTGTATAAGTGAAATTGTTCATAGTGAGTTACCTCAAACTCTAACTTTTGAAATAGAAGACAACCAATAAAATGAAAGTAACTGTGTTTCATTAAATATGATGTTGATCTGGTATGTACATCATCTATTCACAAAGTTTCATTCTTATATCAATGAAATGCCTAAGTGTACCTGATGATGTCCCATATGTGTGGTCATTGCTCGGCCCAGTATATCGTGAGGTTGTTGCCAAACTTTTCCTTGTCCAATCAAAAACATCTGTAGTTTTGTCTTGCTGATAGTTGCAAATGTTAACATTCTCAAAGTCACAGTTGATTGCAGTAGACAGTGATCCAGGATTAGCAGTGGGTCCTACAGCTAGAAATGTAACAATGTAGTAAAGTCAGACAGCTGACAGTGAACCAGTAACACAATGGAGCTTACAGTTTAGAAGTGATACAAAGAGGTGAATAGGTATTTTTTTATTGACACGTTTTATAATTAACATCACTCTGAAACAACTATTTATATTCTGTACATTTGCCTTCACACAGGTTAACATAGAGGAATTCACAAAACAATAAAATTCTATCACAACACACCTATTAAATACTAATCTACATTCAATTTACACTTAAAAATCTAAAATATTTAATGTCAAATTCAATATACCCGCAGAACAGCTGCCTGCAAACAGGTTTACATCATCTACAGCAATATCTCCAACGTAGTCGATTCCTCGAACTCCCTCAATAACAACCTGATAACAGAATAACCACAACTGTCATCCTGAAAATAACTCAGTTTGGAAAGGATGTTATCAAATCATTGGTCTTCTTTTGGTTACCTTGGCAAGCAAAAGAGAGCAAACATTACTCCTCCTATCTGAATGACAATCCAACACTTACATTCGTGACACTATGTGTTGCTGCGCCTCCTGGAATCTGAACTTGACCTTGAATCCACTGTCGTCCCTGGGTGCCTTGTCGGGTCCAAACCACATTTCCGAGGGAATTATTGTTGCTTTTTAAGTAAATGTTAAGAGCCTTGATGTGAGCACCATACATCTGGTACCAGAATGTGAAGCATTGTTTGATAGAACCATCTGTGACTGGACTAATCAGACGTGCCACATCACCAGGACGACGGGGAGACGAAGCCTCAATAAATACATAGTACCCCTGATTGGCTGGAAAACAATGAAAAGGATAACAGATACAAATTACACATGATTGAAACCTGTTTCAACATCCGTGAGAAGGATTATGACATGATAACTGCAGACATTAAACAGTGTTATTTTGCATGTAAATGAACTATATTAAGCCACTTCAGCAATTGTCCTTAGTAATCTACATAAAAACAGATTTATAACCACAATATTATTCATCAAGTATCAAATACTTTCAATAACACCAAGAGCCTACATAACCAAAGAATACTTAAGTGGTCTTTCTTCTTTCTACATAGCACTCCAGGTTATTGACTAGATATGCTAACTTTGAAAACTTTGTATGTTTTGTTTGCATAATAACAAAACTATGCATGTCTAAAGTGCCCAAAATCGCATCTTTTAAGCCATCATCCTCCCTTTAAACAAAGAAGATATTTTCTTGCTTAAATCTATATTCTTGGCTCAGGTATACTTTGTACCTGACATTGATTACATTGAATCTAGGTTTTGAAATGATATCACAGAAAGTTTGATGGACAATATACAATGTGTCTTATTCATCATTTACAAAGTACCAGAATACAACTTAAGGTCCATTTGTCTTAATGGATTGGATTAGTTTGTTTTATTACTGCTTGACGTCCTATTAACAGCCAGGATTGTTTAAAGACATGTCAGGTTTGGAATGTGGAGAAAAGCCAGAGTTCCTGTAGACAAACCACCAAACTGAGGCCAGAACCTGGTAACTGTCCCATGTAGGACTTGAACCCATGACCCAGAGGTGGAGGGCTAGTGATAAAGACAGTCAGATGCCTTAATTATTCAACCACTGCCGCCCCTGTCTCTTTATAGTCAGATAACGGTCATCCGAGTATAAAGCCCTATATGTAATATCACAGCAGTTATAAAAGGATTATAAAAGTTCCAAATATTTTAGTAGTAAATGTAAAAACCACTCCTTATTTAAGTTTCTTAAAATTCCCAGAGGATTCAAGCTCAATAGCACCAATGGAATCGAGAAGAAGATTTAAAATGTGTTTTTCAAGATGGCCGTCATGCCTGCCATATTGGATTTCAGACCAACTGGAAAAAATAACAACACTTGTTCAGGACCACCACAGGATCATTTCAGGTAAGTGTCAGCTCAATCCCAGAAGGAATTTAAAGTTTAAAATGAAAACATATTACAAAGGGCACACAAAGCACAACACAAGAAACACCATAGGTATAGACCATCCAGACTCTTTGAGTCAGATGACCTAAAGTATTCTTTATTTAATGGTGTCCACTACCGAATGTTTTTAAGTAGAAAGCATAATTATCGGTAAACAATAGACTACAAAATAAAACACTTACTGCCTTTGGTGTGATCAGTGGTTGGGCCAGTGTTTGCTGAGGAGGTGGGGCCTCGCTGACGTGTCCAATCAAAGTTGTCAGTTTTGTCTTGGGTCCAAGCACACAGGTTTGTCTCAAAATCACAAACATATGAAGCTGCAAATAATCATACACAAAAATAATTTCAAACTTTAGAATTTGTGAAATGGTTACTGTGTTCTTATTGATGGAGGTTTACTACAAATGAGCGAATTATTTTTACAATATCTCGAAATGTACAAATTCTTAGATAAATCAATTGATATATTTGATTTGACCATTCAGAGGTCTAATACAAAGTTATTTCATTGCTTTATCTTTTTTATATTAATATTGAAAGTTTATCCTGTGCATAAATTGGAATTTCCTAAGAGCTTTGATGTAGCTAGAATATGCCTACAAATTGAGGTATTTTCTCAGCACACTGTTGTATAAAGTTTGATATTTAGATGATGATTCCAAAGGAAGAGAATTGTAACCTCTGGACTGAAGAGACACTTACTTGGCGCTTTGAGTGTCTGAACAGTTGTGGCAGCTGGAGTCGTACTGACAGGCAGAGCACTTGATGGAGTCAATGTACACGGAGAGGTATCAAACATAAAATCATCAACAGCAATATCACCTGAATAACTGCTTCCACGGATACCAACCACCAACACCTGTTAAATGTCATATACACATTCATTTGTAACACATCATCTTGTCTACATCATGCAAATAATCTCCAATATAAATGACATGAGACTTTAGAGTCACCTTTTTTCACACTAAAACTTAGTATAATGGACATGTGATGTGAGATGTGAAGGTGTTACCTGATAGGATGTAGTGGTACTGCTGATTGGTACAATACCATTCCTCCACAGGTTGCCTTGGTTACCAGAGAGCTCCCAGATTTTAGTGGCATTGCCCCCTTGTGGTTGTTTCCATACCTGAAGAGTGCCAATGGATGATCCAAACATGTGATACCAGAAATGCATGCACTGACCAGGTGTAGGCTGCATGGTAGCACTCTGTAGAACTGCCCGGTCGCCTGGATGTCGGGGTGCTGAACTCTCAATATAGATATAGGTACCTAACAAATGAAAAATAAAAGGCAAATATCACAATTACAGGGCTATGTAATTACATTACGACACAAAATCAAAGCAATTACTTTTCATTTCACCCTAATTTACGTCATTTAACCTCACAATATCATCAATAGCCCTGCAATGTCAATATTTTTTGTGTCTTTATGAACCTAAATATTATTTACCACACAATTTTACAATTTAACCCACTATGTCATTATTTATCCCATATTCACATCTTTCACCTCTCTGTCTCAATATCATAATTGCCATTAAATGCCACTATTGATCCTTAACCTCATAATGAAAGTACTTGCTCTACAACATCACTATTTAACTCAAAATTTTCACGAACCCCATCATGTAATTATTCACCCCACAATATCACTTTTTCTCTCAATATTATCATTTACCCACTAATGTCATTACTTACTTGATAATATCTCTATGTTTTTTTTAACCTTTTAATGTAATTATTTTCTCCAAAATATCACTATTTCTCTTTATTTCATAATTAAGCCTGCCAGGACATGTGAGGTATACCATTGGAATTGTTGAGGGTGTGGTCAGCTTGTGGACCAGTGCCAGAACTAGTCGTTCCTCCAGATCCTGTGATCCAATCAAAATCATCTCCAGTATGGGCATTACTCCAGGTACACAAGTCTAGTTCGAAGTTACAGCTTCCTAAATAACAAGACGTAGGTATATACCCTGAGTTTAAGCTTGATTTTGTGTAATATTTCTGATGCTTAAAATAGTTTTAATTTTAATAACTTTTATGAAACAAAATTCACAGGTAACTAACCATCAATCTTACTAGAGATAAGCTTGCTCAGACATGGATACACACCTGCTGACGAGCAAGAGCCTCTTTTCACTGATACATCATCAATAGCGATGTCACCCACATAGCCAGACCCGCGGGTAGCTTCAAACACCAAATTGAAGGCTGGTGTGTTTGCTGCAACGCCATATGTTGCCTTTACCCAGCGGTTTCCTTGGTTACCTGTATCAAAATTAATGTATTTTTCTTTCAAAGTTAGAAATTGTGAGTAAAGTATTTGATGACAGAATGTTTAATCAGAGAGAAGAAATGCTTTTCCAAGTCATCAACTTCTTCATTGCTAAAAAACACAACACTGAAATGGCAAAGATACAAGTCTTAAAATTGATAAAAACAAGTGTGTTTAAATATTGAAAAATAAACAAACAAGAACATTACAATAAACAAAAAAAACCAAAACAAAACAAAAAACAGCTGGGAATGAAATGGGAAAAAATAAGTCAAAATAATCATCAACTACTTTCTATATATTAAAAAAAAACACTGATTGAGTTTTACACTGAATAGCACAAGTGTAATTACCTTGTTTAGTCCAGACTGGGTTTCCATTATTGCTACCATGCCGTAGATACAAACTAAGAGTTCCTGTCTGTCGCCCATACATGTGGTACCAAAACTCCACACAAATACTACTCTGGCCTGTAGATGGCTCTTGGGAAGATATGAGGCGGGCCACATCACCCTGATGCCTGGGTGCTGATGCCTCAATATACATGTAGTGACCTACAAAACAGGGGGCTCACAAAGTCACTTTTGCAGGCAGAGAGATGACAATTTACAAAATACACATTCACCAACAACAATAGGAGTGTGCATTTGACATTACATATCTAATTACCACTTATTTTATGACATAAAAATGATATTTAGAATATCACTTACAGTAGTTGCATCAAAATCAGACACCTTCAAGTATTCTTTGATTAAACTTGCTCCTGTAAGTTATATTGACTCAGCCTGTATCTTCTCCTACTAAGCCTGTATGTATGACAACTGATGTATAGTTCAGTACCACAGCTGCTATAGCCCCTCAACTCAATTATGTTAACGATAAATAAATATGTAGAGAAAGCTTATATTTCTTTTGTGTCTTTAGTTTAAAAAAAACCTTGTATAAAAATTGTCTATATGGAGTACCACAATCTTTCAATACTTGTACTGTACAGACTATTATGAATATTACATCAAAATTATCAGTATGATAACATATGGACTTCAAGAGTATAAATCTAAAAGGATTTTTTGTGATATTCAGGTATTTTATTTGTTAAAATGTTTTAGAATTTTTATTCACACATATATTGGTTATTTTGTATTTGACTGTTCAATATTAAGATAAGAATTCCATGAATATATTAAAGGCAATAATCAAATTATCAGTACATATGTAATATAAAACTTAGGGACGTTTGATTTCAGTCAATACTCGTAGTCAATATTTTTCAACCGCGTCACTATCATAATACCATATCATCAAAGGTCCTGACAATTATACAACTCCACAACATTAATTCTGTACCGAAGGCATCCTTCATACCTCTAGAACTACCATATGTGTGGTCATTGGATGGTCCAGTGCCCCTAGTGCCAGTTGATCCTGTCTTTCTTGTCCAGTCAAATATGTCTGTCTTGTCTTGGGTGTAGCCACAGATATTAGCGTTCTCAAAGTTACAGCCATTAAATCCTGTAGGTCCTGTACCTAGATTCAACAAACAATATTACCTCACACACATCAATACAATATATAAATGAAATGTTTTAAAACTTTAAAATCAAGAAAAAAGTTTTCAAACCTTAAAATCAAGAAATAAGAAAGAGGAGGTACTACATATATTGAATTATTTAATCATTTCACATAATTTTTTGATAAGAATCATTTTAAGTGTAAAATCTTATTCAATTCAATCATGCGAACATTGAGAATTTGATGTGAAATATTCCATGTCATTGAACATCTCACATATTGTTTCAAGTGTATGACACAGATAATTCAAACGTCAAATTCGAAGTTGTTTTAAATATAACATTTCATTTCATGAGTTAAAGGTTCATGCACGCAGTCATTATTACCTTGCTGACAAGATCCATCTGCAATTGACACATCGTCTACAGCAATGTCACCACGGTAACCATTCCCATATGTAGCCTCCAGAACCACCTTTAGAAAATCAACATAAAAATAGAGCCCCTCAGACAATATAACAACAGGAAAAACATACAGAATCATTCAACGTTGTTAGAATGGGGGTGTGTCTGTGTATGTGAGTAAGTTGCTCTAATGAAAGCGAATCAGACAGATTGATCCAATTATAACATTTCATAACTCGGAGTGAAAGTGTCCTGGAGACACTGAAGTATAAAGGGAGATTACTCCAACAGTATTCCGTACCTGAAATGGGACAGCTGACACAAGATTGACATTTGCCTGTTTCCAAGCTTGTCCCTGAGTTCCTGTTCGGTTGAAGATAACAGAACTATAATGGATGCCAGTCTTCATGTAAACATTAAGAGTACCTATATGGTCACCATACATGTTGTACCAGAATGTGAAACATTTCGGAGCATTGGCTGTAGACAGGGTCACAGTCGGGCTAATAAAGCGGGCCTTGTCACCACTTTGTTTTGGTGGTGATGTCTCGATGTAGTAATAAGATCCAGAGCCTATCAGAAGATAAAATTCAGAACAATAAGTATCTTCAATCACCTAAATACTAGCAATAACAATTATCACATTATTTTTTCAATCCCAATATTGAAGATGGCAAGAAGAAACAATTAGAATTAATTATCTGACCTGTATGATCTGATCGAGGACCAGTGCCAATGGAATTGGTTGATCCAGACTTCTTCAGCCAATCAAATGTATCTGTGGTTTTATCTTGTGTCCATCCACAAGGTCCAGCATCGAAGTTACAAGAAAAGGCTCCCGGAACTAAAGCAAAAATCACAAAACAATTTCATCTAGAAATAATTCGAAATAAAGTGAAGTACCATATAGAGGTAATGAGTTATATCTGGGGATGTACCATATAGAGTTAATGAGTTATATCTGGGGATGTACCATATAGAGTTAATGAGTTATATCTGGGGAAGTACCATATAGAGTTAATGAGTTATATGTGGGGAAGTACCATATAGAGTTAATGAGTTATATCTGGGGAAGTACCATATAGAGTTAATGAGTTATATCTGGGGAAGTACCATATAGAGTTAATGAGTTATATGTGGGGAAGTACCATATAGAGGTAATGAGTTATATCTGGGGAAGTACCATATAGAGGTAATGAGTTATATGTGGGGATGTACCATATAGAGTTAATGAGTTATATGTGGGGAAGTACCATATAGAGTTAATGAGTTATATGTGGGGAAGTACCATATAGAGTTAATGAGTTATATCTGGGGAAGTACCATATAGAGTTAATGAGTTATATCTGGGGATGTACCATATAGAGTTAATGAGTTATATCTGGGGAAGTACCATATAGAGTTAATGAGTTATATCTGGGGATGTACCATATAGAGTTAATGAGTTATATCTGGGGAAGTACCATATAGAGTTAATGAGTTATATCTGGGGAAGTTGATTCATCAAATGGTATCAGTCCTGTCCCTACAGGTACAAAGACTGGAATTGTTGCTGGTTTGTAGATCTACTGGTATTAAGACTTACCTGAAGTTGATGCTGGCGTAGTAGATCCACTGGGTGGCATGGTTCCTGTCTGATTGACTGGTTGAGCTTCACTTGGAAGTACTGAATGAACAAATTATCCTTTTATCTTTCACAGCATATGACATAAACAGTTACATTCTATTGTGAAGGTTAAGATTTACAGGAAATATACAATATAAGATTTGTGATAAATCATCATGTCCATCACTTACAAATCTCCCCAATAAACATAACATGACATTAAGATCTGCGTTACTCACTGCCACAGAGGGAGTTGGAGACAAGCAGATCATCTATGGCAATGTCTCCTGCAAATCCATTTCCTCGTAAGCCTTCAATTACAATCTACAGGCAAAGAATAGTAAAAATTAATTCAGGTAATGTTGTCATCCAGATTTTATGGATTCTGAATTATATATGTCACTGAAAACAAAATACTTAACTTTTAATAAATCTAAAGTGCACTTTGTTTCTTCAGACTGAAATGAAAATAAAAAGTACCAGTTTACCTTGTAAGCTGTGGTTGACACAACTGGTGCCTGACCATTTATCCACTTATTGCCGTGGTCACCACTGACTGACCATATGGTCCTGTTTCCTCCACTGATGTAGCTGATGTAGACAGCCAGTGTGCCAATGTTGTGGCCATTCATATTATACCAGAAACTGAAACATCCTGACTTAGTAGGGTTAAAATTCTGACTCAGCAGCCATGTGCGATCACCTTGTTTGCGGGGAGCTGATGCCTCCAAGTAGAGGTATTTACCTGCAAGTTACAAAAATGTCCTGGTTTATTTGCATGGGGGACAAAGGCGTTCGGTTTACTTGTTTCTCTCTTGGTCAAAATTTAGGTTTTGATTTATTTCTTATGTTTTTATGTGTGTTCTATAGAACATTGTCAGTTCATGTATTTATCTGTGTTTTATAGAACAGTGTCAGCTCATGTCTTTATCTGTGTTTTACAGAACGTTGTCAGTTCATGTCTTTATCACTGTGTTTTATAGAACAGTGTCAGTTCATGTCTTTATCTCTGTGTTTTATAGAACAGTGTCAGTTCATGTCTTTACCTCTGTGTTTTATAGAACAGTGTCAGTTCATGTCTTTATCTGTGTTTTATAGAACATTGTCAGTTCATGTCTTTATCTCTGTGTTTTATAGAACGTTGTCAGTTCATGTCTTTATCTGTGTTTTATAGAACGTTGTCAGTTCATGTCTTTATCTGTGTTTTATAGAACATTGTCAGTTCATGTCTTTATCTGTGTTTTATAGAACAGTGTCAGTTCATGTCTTTACCTGTGTTTTATAAAACAGTGTCAGTTCATGTCTTTATCTCTGTGTTTTATAGAACAGTGTCAGTTCATGTATTTACCTGTGTTTTATAGAACAGTGTCAGTTCATGTCTTTACCTCCGTGTTTTATAGAACAGTGTCAGTTCATGTATTTATCTGTGTTTTATAGAATATTGTCAGTTCATGTCTTTATCTCTGTGTTTTATAGAACGTTGTCAGTTCATGTCTTTATCTGTGTTTTATAGAACGTTGTCAGTTCATGTCTTTATCTGTGTTTTATAGAACATTGTCAGTTCATGTCTTTATCTGTGTTTTATAGAACAGTGTCAGTTCATGTCTTTACCTGTGTTTTATAAAACAGTGTCAGTTCATGTATTTACCTGTGTTTTATAGAACAGTGTCAGTTCATGTCTTTATCTGTGTTTTATAGAACATTGTCAGTTCATGTCTTTACCTGTGTTTTATAGAACAGTGTCAGTTCATGTATTTACCTGTGTTTTATAGAACAGTGTCAGTTCATGTCTTTATCTCTGTGCTTTATAGAACAGTGTCAGTTCATGTATTTACCTGTGTTTTATAGAACGGTGTCAGTTCATGTCTTTATCTGTGTTTTATAGAACATTGTCAGTTCATGTCTTTACCTGTGTTTTATAGAACGGTGTCAGTTCATGTCTTTATCTGTGTCTTATAGAACATTGTCAGTTCATGTCTTTATCTGTGTTTTATAGAACATTGTCAGTTCATGTCTTTATCTGTGTCTTATAGAACGTTGTCAGTTCATGTCTTTATCTGTGTTTTATAGAACATTGTCAGTTCATGTCTTTATCTGTGTTTTATAGAACAGTGTCAGTTCATGTCTTTATCTGTGTTTTATAGAACAGTGTCAGTTCATGTCTTTATCTGTGTTTTATAGAACAGTGTCAGTTCACGTCTATACCTGTTGTTTATCAAACAATGTCAGTTCATTTCTATTCAGTACTTCTCAAGAAATGGTGAAACCTTCATTAATTCCTAGAGACAAAAATCTCAAATTTCTGCAATCAAGGGTTAATGAATGGTGGCCATTTTGAAAGTTGCATTGATCTAAATCTCACACAGGACAAGCTATGGTTCTATGATGTGGTACTCACTAAAGAAGGTCCTGTCTCTGTACTTTGATCCAATTTTGAAAAAAAGTGACAAATTCATTTTCTAGATGCTCAATAAAGCTTCAATTTGGAATGTGGAGGATGTGGTCAGTAGAAGGGACATGTAATGAGCCTTCCTGTTCCTAACAATAATACTAAAGACATTCTGACCTGCAGTTGTTTGGAGGGTGTGGTCCACAGAGGGGCCAGTGTTCTGGGAATTTGTGACACCAGAACTCTGCTTCCAGTCAAAGTCATCACCAGTATGGGCATTACTCCATGTACACAAGCCACGCTCAAAGTTACAGGCACCTAGAGACAGTAAACACAGGTAACATGACATAAAAGTATTAGCAATAACAGCAAGAGAATCAAAACAAACTAAAAACATGCAAAATAATAAACAAGAGAATCAGTAGAACTGATGCATGTTCCTGGAATAAACGCTAGTTCCAAATGGGCTGATTATGCAAAAGAGAATTATGGTTTTTGTACACTGCACTTCTACTTATCAAGATCTATCCTGAACACTGCACTTCTCCTTATCAAGATCTATCTTGTACACTGCACTTCTCCTTATCAAGATCTATCCTGAACACTGCACTTCTCCTTATCAAGATCTATCCTGAACACTACACTTCTCCTTATCAAGATTTATCCTGAACACTGCACTTCTCCTTATCAAGATCTATCCTGAACACTGCACTTCTCCTTATCAAGATCTATCTTGTACACTGCACTTCTCCTTATCAAGATCTATCCTGAACACTGCACTTCTCCTTATCAAGATTTATCCTGAACACTGCACTTCTCCTTATCAAGATCTATCTTGTACACTGCACTTCTCCTTATCAAGATCTATCCTGAACACTGCACTTCTCCTTATCAAGATCTATCCTGAACACTGCACTTCTCCTTATCAAGATTTATCCTGAACACTGCACTTCTCCTTATCAAGATCTATCTTGTACACTGCACTTCTCCTTATCAAGATCTATCCTGAACACTGCACTTCTCCTTATCAAGATCTATCCTGAACACTGCACTTCTCCTTATCAAGATCTATCCTGAACACTGCACTTTTCCTTATCAAGATCTATCCTGAACACTGCACTTCTCCTTATCAAGATCTATCCTGAACACTGCACTTCTCCTTATCAAGATCTATCCTGAACACTGCACTTCTCCTTATCAAGATCTATCAACCAGATACAGGAAACATTTCCCTTACTTCAGTAAACACTGGACCATTTCCTTACATAAATAATAAATAACATTTCCCCACCTTGAGAAATACAGCAATCCTATTGTAACCCTTATGAAATACAGGAACAATTTTCTGAATTTGAGACACATTTGAATCACTTTCTTACCTTGAGAAACACAAGGACCATTTTGTATCTGAATATCATCCAAGGCAATATCACTTAAGTACCCACTCCCACGAACAGCCTCAAACACCAGCTGTCAATACAGATGTGAAGTCATGTTATGTGAAATTGAAAAACAATGTAAATTCAATTAACAATATCGGAATAAAATGAATATTCTTACATATTTCAGAACATTTGATTAAGGTTGGTAATTTCAATAGAACAGAAGCTCTTATAACACAACCAGTAGAACATTTAGGTGTGGCATTTTGATAACTACACCAGACAAAAGAAACAAACCAAAACAGAATATTTATACATTTGTAGTTTGGTATTTATTTACCTGATAAGGAAGAGTGAGGCGACTAGATGCTAGTGTCACCTGAGCCACGTTCCACACATTGCCTTGGTTACCTGCCTTTGTCCATACGTTGTTGCCAAGAGTATTTTGTACTTTCAGCTGTAAAAGATTACATTTGTCTTTAACCATTTCAGATCAACATTAAAGTATAGAATCTGAACTTTTTAACTACTTAAGAAAAACATTAATGTATCAACTGAACTTTTTATCTATGAAGGTTAACATCAATTTACAGACTGATCATGACCTTCACCTTGTTACCACAGGGGCTAACACCAAGGTATACAATGACCTTCATTTTGTTACCACAGCAGTAAACATTAATGCATACAGTGACCTCCACCTTGTTAATACAGGGGCTAACATTAATGCATAGAGTGACCTTATAACTACTGTAGGTTAACATCAATATAAAGATTGACCTTCACCTTGTTAATACTGTGAATTAATATATATATATATTATCAATTTCTAGAATGACCTTCACCTAGTAACTTCCATAGATTGATATTAATGTCTAGAGTGACCTTTACTTTGTTACTACTGTAAGTTAATATTAATGAATAGAGTGACCTTCACCTTGTAACTACTACACTAATGACAATGGGAGTCTACCTTGAGGTTAAGACTTCCAATCTGACGTCCGTACATATGATAGTAAAACTGTACACATTGGTCGGTAGTAGTTGCACTGTACAACGGAGAAATGATCCTTGCTTTATCACCGGTAACACGGGGTGTTGAAGACTCGATGAACATGTAGTGACCTGATAATTAAACCAGATCATTTAGTATTATAAAGGACATCTTGAGATTGTTTATCAAAGCTGTAAAAATAAAACATCTTAACAAATTGACCATATACACAGTGACCCTCCTGAAATTTGATGTTCATTATGCACTCAGACCCTTAATTTTAAACAAGACAATCTGGGGAATTAATGTGAAATTATATGCAAAGAATGCACAGATCATAATTTGTGTAAGACAAAAATTTTATTGATGTAGGTCATACGTCAAAATGTAGGTCAGAATGATCTACTTTTGATACATGACATACAGCCTTACCAAGGGGAACAAATATCCCTAATAGACAAATAGAAGTTCTAGTGACAGATAGAGTAGGTGACAGAAATTGGACAAGATACTGAAAGGACAAACGTAAGGATGGACAGATGCTACATAAAAGAATAGTTCATCCAGTTTCCAATGAGGTGTTAATAAAACATATGTGTGATAACATGACAATGCTATTAGAAATACCAAAATCTCATCTCGATAAAACAAGGTAATAACTATGTTCAACTAAAATGTGACAAAATTCTATCACTTCATGAGAAAATAAATTACAAAACAAAGAAACATGTACTGTGTAACCTCATAAAATCAAGTTATTTATATGGGATAGGTAACAAAACTTAGCAAAAAAACATAATTCCAAGGACAAAATTTTGAAACATGTCATAAATTGACAATGTAGTTATGTGACATTATGATAAAACAATGAGATTTGAGCTAACCATAAGGTGTTCCAAAAGTGTGGTCAGTGGTTGGTCCAGTGTTTGCAGAAGCTGTGCGTCCTTTTTGCCATGTCCAGTCGAAGTTGTCAGTGTTGTCTTGATGGTAGCCACATAGGTCCTTGTTTTCGAAATTGCAGAATTGTGGATTGGTGTTGCCTATGAAATGTCCAATATTTCAAACTTTAGATTATAGATAAATAAGAATCAATCTATATGTGCCTGCACTTTGATGTTTTTATACACTGCAGTTCAATAGCCACTGAGAAACATAGAAAAAAAAGATGATAAACTAGTTAACATTCCAAAAATATGACATCCACCTTTATCTAACAAGCTACTGAAAACAAAGGTACACAGACTCTGAAGTACCTGAACAACTTCCTGACGTCAAGGCAACATCATCAATGGCAATATCCCCGAGGTAGGACACTCCTCTGGTGGCTTCCATTACAATCTAGAGAAAATAATACAATGTTGTCAAACAATTATATATCTAGAGAAATTAGTCCAATGTCATCCAACACTAAATCAAATCTGTTGCCTCTGTTGGGAACATGTTACAGGATCTTAGCCCTCAACTGAGATACCCCAATCTCACTCAGTTACAGATAATAGTTTTTTTTTCTCGCACCTACTACTCTGAAAATTATTAAATATTTCATCAGAGTTTGACGTATCCTGTGGGAGCCTCACACTACCCACACAGTCTCTTCACTTTTAAACATTTGGATAGTGCTGCATAAACAATGTTGGCTGCACTTAGAAAAATACATCACATTTTACGGTGAAGATTTTTTAGTTCATTTTAGATATGATTAATTATATAGAATATCGTTTTTATTGAAATGCACAGGTGTACGTGCCACCTATGCCTAAATGCAAATGAATACCATGATGCATCAAAAATTCCGCAAAACGCACATAAGGGTACAAGACAGGCAAGATAGAAAAATGTAGGATGGGGTATTATGTGGGATATCCATGTCTGAGGTGCGAGAAAAATCTATCAAGAGAAAAGAGTGCAATGTCGTACAACACAAATCTGTATAGAGAAATCAGTACAAGATCATCAGACATAAATCTACTAAGACAAGATATTGCAGTTGTAACAGAATATTGTCACTTATGAAGGGTACCAGCATACTTTATGTCTCTAATGATGCAAGAAAACTTTGTATCATTTAAGAAAATAACCACCCAAGGAATGCCAAGAGCACCAGATTATCTTGCGTTACTTACAGAGAACTGTCCCTGAACATTCAGAGGGACTTGTGCCTTACTTACAGAGAACTGTCCCTGAACATTCAGAGGGACTTGTGCCTTACTTACAGAGAACTGTCCCTGAACATTCAGAGGGACTTGTGCCTTACTTACAGAGAACTGTCCCTAAACATTCAGAGGGACTTGTGCCTTACTTACAGAGAACTGTCCCTGAACATTCAGAGGGACTTGTGCCTTACTTACAGAGAACTGTCCCTAAACATTCAGAGGGACTTGTGCCTTACTTACAGAGAACTGTCCCTAAACATTCAGAGGGACTTGTGCCTTACTTACAGAGAACTGTCCCTGAACATTCAGAGGGACTTGTGCCAGTTTCCAACTATTTCCCTGTGTTCCTTGTTTTGTCCAAACAGCTGTTCCCAAGGAGGCACTGCGGAGAATGTATACATTGAGACTGTTGATATTGGCCCCAAACATATGGTACCAGAAGTTGAGACACATCTGCCCAGACCCTGTAATAGGTGGGCTCACAAGTCGTGCCTTATCCCCATTCCTGCGAGGTGAACTAGCCTCAATAAACATGTAGTAGCCATCTACAACATAACAATTTTTGTCACATTTTCAAATATTTTTATAACTCTATTATAATTCTTCAAAGCTGATTGGACTTTGGTACTGATCACCTTAACATCTTATATTAATATGTATGTCAAAATCATGCCCTAAGTTCAAGTGACCATGAATGTCACATATAGTTCCATACAAATGAATAATGTGATATTATTACATATCTTAACAAGGATTGTTTCAAAATATGTTTCCAAGCATCAAGTCACACCAAATGGAACTAAATGTTGATGAAACTCAAAGTTCTGTATACATGTTTTTATTTTGACCTAACAACTCACTTCCTGTTGTGTGATCACTAGTTGGCCCAGTGTTTGTAGTCGCTGTATGGCCTTTCTGACGAGTCCAGTCAAACTGATCATCTTTAGCCTGAGTCCATCCACAAGTTCCCGACTCAAAATTACAACTAGTGATGGGTGGATCTACATGAGAGAAAAGGAACAATCAGTCTTTTACTGTATGGCAAGTCAAACATAATTCTCTAGGAGTGATTATCAACTCTTTAGTCATTCCTAACACTACTATTACAGTCTCTAACACTACTATTACAGTCTATAGTCATCACATCAATTTTTTATAAATCAATGATCTAACTAGAGTTTCTGAGAGATTTATAAAAAACAAGTCCTTGAATTTGTCATTTTATTGAGCATTTGGCGAGGTAAAGTGAAAAATTTGTAATGAGATTCATAATCGTCACAATGCCTATACTGTCATTAAGCTATGAAGTCACCATTATGTCATCTTAACATGTATGATAAATTTAACATAATAACACCCATTTTTCAGAAATGGGTTTTATTGCACTTATAACAGGGTAGTTATAACATAAATGATATCTGTAACAGTGATTTAGTCAGGAGTGACTTACTGGTGGTGGTTGCTGGCGTGGTAGCTGGACTGCTAGAAGGCGTGGTCAGGTTTGGTGGTGCTGCTGTAGTTGGAGACCATCCACACACGCCATTGGTAAAGGCAAGGTCATCAAGAGCAGCATCTCCAGTGACACTTCCCATTACAACTCCCTCAATTAGGATCTGAATGTTATAATGTATGTTACAGAAGTTATTTCTTTATATGATATTCATAGAAAAACACTGATGGTTAATTCTATAATTTTTATTCCTTGGAAGAAGTGCTTTGAATCAAATCAACAAAAATTGAAAATGCCTGTAAATAATGAATGTCCAAGCTTTCATGCATTACCCCTGTCTAATGTGACTTTAATCCTTGAACCTTGATCAATCACCACCCTAATAGGATGAACTTGTTGTTATGATATGGGGTAAATATGAAACACTTTTACTGAGGAGATCTCCCCTCTCTAAAACAACCCTTCCAAATAATATTGGGATTCAATTTTTTTTTTCTTCTTCTTGTCATTTTTGAAATGAATAAAACAATAAGTCTGAAATCCTGTCTAATCACACCCTTTATATTCTGAAATCCTGTCTAATCACACCCTTTTTATTCTGAAATCCTGTCTAATCACACCCTTTTTATTCTGAAATCCTATCTAATCACACCCTTTATATTCTGAAATCCTATCTAATCACACCATTTATATTTTGAAATCCTGTCTAATAACAGCCTTTTTATTCTGAAATCCAGTCTATTCACACCCTTTATATTATGAAAATCCTATCTAATCACACCCTTTATATTCTGAAATCCTGTCTGATCACACCCTTTTTATTCTGAAATCCAGTCTATTCACACCCTTTATATTCTGAAATCCAGTCTATTCACACCCTTTATATTCTGAAATCCTGTCTGATCACACCCTTTTTATTCTGAAATCCTGTCTAATCACACCCTTTATATTCTGAAATCCTGTCTAATCACACCCTTTATATTCTGAAATCCTGTCTAATCACACCCTTTATATTCTGAAATCCTGTCTAATCACACCCTTTATATTCTGAAATCCTGTCTAATCACACCCTTTATATTCTGAAATACTGTCTTAAAACAACCCTTTACATTTTAAAAGCCTGTCGTATATAACAACCATTTATGTTCTGAAAAATTGTCTGATATACATAAACAGACACTTTGTAACAAATCTGAACACACAAAATAAACAAAACACCCCACTTACCCTGAAACTTTGTGATGAAGTGACAGGAAATTGGGCGGAGTGCCAGTTGTTTCCTTGGTTACCACTGAGTGTCCACATGAGAGTGTTAGAAGAGTTCTGTACAACATACACATTCAAAGAGCCCATGTGTGAACCATACATGTGATACCAGAACTTAAAACACTTGGTTCCCTTTCCAGTTGGGGTGAACGACTCACTCTGAAGCTGAGCTTTCTGACCTTTTCGACGAGGGACGCTTGTCTCAATGTAGATATATCTTCCATTCCTATTGTTTTGGGTATGATCATAGGTTGGACCTGTCTGAGAGCTGGGGGTGTGGCCTTGTCTTATGGACCAATCAAAATCATCAGTCTTAAGGTTAGACCAGGAACAGAAATTGCCTTTATCAAAATTGCAAGCACCTGAAATATAAATCATCAAGCTTCAAATCAGCAGTTGTGAAAAATGTGAAATAGTTAAAACAAGTCTATTCAGTTGGAACATATTTTCTATGTAGACAAAATGCCTAATGTTTAATTGATATTTTACTCAATAGGTAACCAACTCACCACTTGAGCCACAAGTTCCAGGTGTAACTTTGACATCATCAATAGCTATGTCACCAGCAAAACCATTTCCAACAATTCCTTCAAAGACAATCTAAAATAAAGACAAAGCCATGCATTCAGTTAAAAACTGGAAAGTGTTACACCTGTGATGATTGGACAGTGAGTTACACCTGTGATGATTGGTAAGTGAGTTACACCTGTGATGACTGGTAAGTGAGTTACACCTGTGATGACTGGTAAGTGAGTTACACCTGTGATGATTGGACAGTGAGTTACACCTGTGATGATTGGTAAGTAAGTTACACCTGTGATGATTGGTAAGTGAGTTACACCTGTGATGATTGGTAAGTGAGTTACATCTGTGATGACTGGACAGTGAGTTACATCTGTGATGACTGGTAAGTGAGTTACACCTGTGATGACTGGTAAGTGAGTTACACCTGTGATGATTGGACAGTGAGTTACACCTGTGATGATTGGTAAGTGAGTTACACCTGTGATGATTGGTAAGTGAGTTACACCTGTGATGATTGGACACTGAGTTACACCTTTTACTGACTGGGTGGTGTGTTATCTTGTTGAAAGACTTACCTGGTATGCCCCTGATGGATGGACAGTCACTTGTCCTGTGCTCCAATGGTTGCCTTGATTATTATGACGTGACCATATGGGCTGGCCGAGATTAGATCCCACTTTTGAATACAAGTTCAGAGCTCCAATATTGCCGCCATACATATGGTACCAGAATGACACACAAGCTGGTCCTGCGGTGTATGATGTCGTTGGTGATAACAGACGAGCTTTCTGGTTAGGGGTTCGTGGCCTTGAAGTCTCTATGTACATATAGTTACCTGTAATTGAATAAGATATCCGGTTACATTATATATATATATACAAGCTCATCATTTCAAATCTCCATGGTACCCAAAATCTTATATTTCAAATCTTTGCTAATATAAAAAGGTGGATGAAATATGTCCTTGTCATTAAGTCATAGGCAAATATAAACACCTTCCTGTAAATAAAAAGGTGAAACCTCTATGTCAGATAAAGATGCACAGGACTTGCAAATAAACCAATGAAACATGCCTTTGTAAGAATATACTGACAAATATCTAAATACCGTCTGACAGATCTATAGCTTGTGTTGTAAATAGGGAAACATGTAGCTAACCTGATGGGGTTCCCAATGTGTGGTCATTGAAAGGTCCAGTTCTTGCCGAACCAGTTCTGCCATGATTTCTTGTCCAGTCAAAGTTGTCTGATTTATCCTGTGTGTATCCACAAATACTGCCTGACTCAAAATCACATGATAAGATTCCAACATTCTGGGCTGATGTTGATGTTTGTCCTGAAAATTTTACAAAAACTAGTTCATTTGGTGCTAATAGGTCACTGTTTAGCATAACCAAAAAAAAGTCTCATTTAAATTGAAACAAATATCACTGCAAGAGAAAATATTTTCAATTAAAAGCTATATATTTTCTGCTATTTATTTCCTATCAACCAATAAGAAAACAATGTGATAAAAATCACGGCTTAATTTCTAATCATACCAGAACATGGTCCCACTGCCAGGCTGATGTCATCCAAAGCAATGTCACCTTGATAACCATTCCCCCGAGACGTTTCAAACACGACCTGTCATAGAAATTATAACACAGCTATATCTCTCATGTAAACATTATTCTGGGACACCTCAAACACGACCTGTCACAGAAATTATAACAAAGCTATATCTCTCACGTAAACATTACACTGGGATACCTCAAACACAACCTGTCACAGAAATTATAACAAAGCTGTATCTCTCATGTAAACATTATTCTGGGACACCTCAAACACGACCTGTCACAGAAATTATAACAAAGCTATATCTCTCACGTAAACATTACACTGGGATACCTCAAACACGACCTGTCACAGAAATTATAACAAAGCTATATCTCTCATGTAAACATTATTCTGGGACACCTCAAACACGACCTGTCACAGAAATTATAACATAGCTATATCTCTCATGTTAACATTACACTGGGATGCCTGAAACAAGTAACAAAAGAGTAAACTGACTGACCTGGAGGGAGCCTGTACCATTTAGAGTGAACTGACTGCTGTGCCACAAGTTGCCCTGGTTACCAGTCCTTTGCCAAACAGGCTGACCAAGGGATTGGATGTTGGTGGTCACATAAACAGTCAAGCTGCCAACATTTGCCCCATACATAGAATACCAAAAGGTCACACACTTTTGCTGACCACTGGTCATTGGAACAACAGGACTGTCCAGGCGGGCTTTATTTCCTCTTTGTTTGCTTGATACCTCTGTGTAGACATAGTAACCACCTGATAAAAACAAAAGAAACAAAAAGAAATTCAATACAATTAATTATAGTTTTTTTTAGGTGAAAGTATATTTCAAAGAAGGCATTGCTATACACTTCGAAACATGCTGTTGGTTTTTCTTTTTTCAGTTGCTATCTCCCCAGAAAACAAGGCTGGGGAGACATATAACCAATATGTCCCCAGTAAACAAGACTGGGGAGACATATAACCATTATCTCCCCAGTAAACAAGGCTGGGGTGATACATAACCATTAACTCCCCAGTAAACAAGGCTGGGGAGACATATAACCATTATCTCCCCAGTAAACAAGGCTGGGGAGACATATAACCATTATCTCCCCAGTAAACAAGGCTGGGGAGACATATAGCCATTATCTCCCCAGTAAACAAGGCTGGGGAGACATATAACCATTATCTCCCCAGTAAACAAGGCTGGGGAGACATACAACCATTATCTCCCCAGTAAACAAGGCTGGGGAGACATATAAGCATTATCTCCCCAGTAAACAAGGCTGGGGTGATACATAACCATTATATGTCTCCCCAGCCATGTTTACTGGGGAGACATATAACCATTATCTCCCCAGTAAACAAGGCTGGGGAGACATATAACCATTATCTCCCCAGTAAACAAGGCTGGGGTGACACATAACCATTATCTCCCCAGTAAACAAGGCTGGGGAGACATACAACCATTATCTCCCCAGTAAACAAGGCTGGGGTGATACATAAGCATTATCTCCCCAGTAAACAAGGCTGGGGAGACATATAACCATTATCTCCCCAGTAAACAAGGCTGGGGAGACATATAACCTTTTTTATTGTAAACAAGGCTTGGAGACACATTACCATTATTAAACAAGGCTTGAGAGATGCATAACCATTGTTTCTGTGAACTAGACTGGGGAGACACATAATTATTGTTGCTGTAAACAAGACTTGGCGACACAAGATAATTGTGAACATTGCCTACTTCAAAGGTTGTACAATACAGCGCGATAAGAAACTAGGCCCAGTGGTGGATTCTTAGGTGTTAGTTCACTGAGCCATGAAGCCCCGTCACCTTACTGCTGTTATCTAATCCTATCTACCTGTGCCCCTATGCTGCGTTAGTGTAATCTTAGCACTTACTGGCCTGACCAGAGTCATATTGTCAGCCAGTGAGAAGTGAATCTCATTTTCATAACCAAAATAATATTAATAAGGTAAAGTGACACATTACAAAAGTTACATGAGCCAATCAGAAAATTACTCAGTTTTTTAACACTATCTTTTTACGGATGATTTTTTTCATATCTCAGGCAGAAAGCGGTATACAATACAATACAATACATCAACCATATCAAAGTTGAATTAATATTGAAAAACCTCAAAAATATTCAGGATAATCAAATTTTTTTTTGCCGAAATGGTTTCCAAAAATACATTTATTAATTGGAGTGATAAATAAAAAAAATGATGAAACCTACTTCCTGTGGTGTGATCACTTCTGGGTCCTGTGTTTGCAGATGACGTGGTACCCTGATGTCTGGTCCACTCAAGCTGATCTGTTTGATCCTGGGTCCAGCCACAGAGGTCATAGGAAAAGTCACAGGTGAAGTTATTGCCACCTGTCAATAGATATACCCAGTAAAGTTACAGGTCAAGTTAATGTGACAAGTGGATGGAAACTGCCATTAATCTTTACAGGTCAAGTTAATGTGACAAGTGGATGTAAACTGATAGTAAACATTACAGGTCAAGTTAATGTGACAAGTGGATGGGAACTGACAGTAAACGTTACAGGTCAAGTTAATGTGACCAGTGGATGGGAACTGACAGTAAACATTACAGGTCAAGTTAATGTGACCAGTGGATGGGAACTGACAGTAAACATTACAGGTCAGGTTAATGTGACAAGTGGATGTAAACTGATAGTAAACATTACAGGTCAGGTTAATGTGACCAGTGGATCGAAACTGCCATAAATCTTTACAGGTCAAGTTAATGTGACAAGTGGATGTAAACTGATAGTAAACATTACAGGTCAAGTTAATGTGACAAGTGGATGGGAACTGACAGTAAACGTTACAGGTCAAGTTAATGTGACCAGTGGATGGGAACTGACAGTAAACATTACAGGTCAAGTTAATGTGACCAGTGGATGGGAACTGACAGTAAACATTACAGGTCAGGTTAATGTGACAAGTGGATGTAAACTGATAGTAAACATTACAGGTCAGGTTAATGTGACCAGTGGATCGAAACTGCCATAAATCTTTACAGGTCAAGTTAATGTGACAAGTGGATGTAAACTGATAGTAAATATTACAGGTCAAGTTAATGTGACAAGTGGATGGGAACTGACAGTAAACGTTACAAGTCAAGTTAATGTGACAAGTGGATGTAAACTGATAGTAAGCATTACAGGTCAGGTTAATGTGACCAGTGGATGTAAACTGACAGTAAACATTACAGGTCAAGTTAATGTGACCAGTGGATGTAAACTGACAGTAAACATTACAGGTCAAGTTAATGTGACCAGTGGATGTATACTGACAGTAAACATTACAGGTCAAGTTAATGTGACCAGTGGATGTAAACTGATAGTAAACATTACAGGTCAAGTTAATGTGACAAGTGGATGTAAACTGACAGTAAATGTTACAGGTCAAGTTAATGTGACCAGTGGATGGGAACTGATAGTAAACATTACAGGTCAAGTTAATGTGACCAGTGGATGGGAACTGACAGTAAATGTTACAGGTCAAGTTAATGTGACCAGTGGATGGGAACTGACAGTAAATGTTACAGGTCAAGTTAATGTGACAAGTGGATGGGAACTGACAGTAAACATTACAGGTCAAGTTAATGTGACCAGTGGATGTAAACTGACAGTAAATGTTACAGGTCAAGTTAATGTGACCAGTGGATGTAAACTGACAGTAAACATTACAGGTCAAGTTAATGTGACCAGTGGATGGGAACTGACAGTAAACATTACAGGTCAAGTTTATGTGACCAGTGGATGGGAACTGACAGTAAACATTACAGGTCAAGTTAATGTGACCAGTGGATGTAAACTGACAGTAAACATTACAGGTCAAGTTAATGTGACAAGTGGATGGGAACTGACAGTAAACATTACAGGTCAAGTTAATGTGACCAGTGGATGGAAACTGACAGTAAACATTACAGGTCAAGTTAATGTGACCAGTGGATGTAAACTGACAGTAAACATTACAGGTCAAGTTAATGTGACAAGTGGATGGGAACTGACAGTAAACATTACAGGTCAAGTTAATGTGACCAGTGGATGTATACTGACAGTAAACATTACAGGTCAAGTTAATGTGACCAGTGGATGTAAACTGACAGTAAACATTACAGGTCAAGTTAATGTGACCAGTGGATGGAAACTGACAGTAAACATTACAGGTCAAGTTAATGTGACAAGTGGATGGAAACTGACAGTAAACATTACAGGTCAAGTTAATGTGACAAGTGGATGGGAACTGACAGTAAATGTTACAGGTCAAGTTAATGTGACCAGTGGATGGGAACTGATAGTAAACATTACAGGTCAAGTTAATGTGACCAGTGGATGTAAACTGACAGTAAACATTACAGGTCAAGTTAATGTGACCAGTGGATGGGAACTGACAGTAAATGTTACAGGTCAAGTTAATGTGACAAGTGGATGTAAACTGACAGTAAATGTTACAGGTCAAGTTAATGTGACCAGTGGATGGAAACTGCCATTAAACTTTACAGGTCAAGTTAATGTGACCAGTGGATGTAAACTGACAGTAAACATTACAGGTCAAGTTAATGTGACCAGTGGATGTAAACTGACAGTAAATGTTACAGGTCAAGTTAATGTGACCAGTGGATGTAAACTGACAGTAAACATTACAGGTCAAGTTAATGTGACCAGTGGATGTAAACTGACAGTAAACATTACAGGTCAAGTTAATGTGACCAGTGGATGTAAACTGACAGTAAACATTACAGGTCAAGTTAATGTGACCAGTGGATGTAAACTGACAGTAAACATTACAGGTCAAGTTAATGTGACCAGTGGATGTAAACTGACAGTAAACATTACAGGTCAAGTTAATGTGACCAGTGGATGGGAACTGACAGTAAACATTACAGGTCAAGTTAATGTGACCAGTGGATGTAAACTGACAGTAAACATTACAGGTCAAGTTAATGTGACCAGTGGATGTAAACTGACAGTAAACATTACAGGTCAAGTTAATGTGACCAGTGGATGTAAACTGACAGTAAACATTACAGGTCAAGTTAATGTGACCAGTGGATGTAAACTGACAGTAAACATTACAGGTCAAGTTAATGTGACAAGTGGATGTAAACTGACAGTAAACATTACAGGTCAAGTTAATGTGACCAGTGGATGTAAACTGACAGTAAACATTACAGGTCAAGTTAATGTGACAAGTGGATGTAAACTGACAGTAAACTTTACAGGTCAAGTTAATGTGACCAGTGGATGTAAACTGACAGTAAACATTACAGGTCAAGTTAATGTGACCAGTGGATGTAAACTGACAGTAAACATTACAGGTCAAGTTAATGTGACCAGTGGATGGAAACTGCCAGTAAAACTGAAACCTTCAGTAGTTTTTCATCAGGCTTCAGTAATTACAGAAAACCTCTGATATTTTCACTTGGCTTTAAGACAATGAGATTTTTTTCAGCCCGCATTTGAATGGAATATTTGAAAATTACAACTTACCTCATACTAATATTCTCTAAGCAAAATAGAGTAGTACACACCTGTAGGTTTAGATGTAGATCTGGGAGAAGGTGTAGTCTTAGTAGAATGGGTTGTGATCTGGCTTGTTCTTGTTGATGCGGTGTTGGTTGTGGGTGCTTGAGTAACAGTCGGAACAGCATTGCTTGGCATACCTATCAAATTAACAAAGCATAATATATTCTTATAGGTATATTAGTTCATTGAATGCATAGTAAATCTGAAATCTTTATTAAAATAATGTCCGTGGACATTACACAGAGGACCTTACATGCGTGTCAATGTAATATAGAATCAATCTGATATGTCACAAGCCTGTAAGCTAGTGATGTATCCAATTAATTAACGAGTATAACAACATCCATATTACATTAATAGGAGTTAAAGAATCTATTCATCATATAACTAAGTATAACAACATCCATATTACATTAATAGGAGTTAAAGTATCTATTCATCATATAACTAAGTATAGCAACATCCATATTACATTAATAGGAGTTAAAGTATCTATTCATCATATAACTAAGTATAACAACATCCATATTACATTAATAAAAAGAGTTAAAGAATCTATTCATCATATAACTAACACATCTGGAAAATATTCAAAAACTCAAACTTATCTCAACTTTATTAATCTAAACTCAGATTTCCTTACAAAACAGACTTATTTCCACATGATTGGTACATTTTCACTACCGAGACAATGACGTAACGACATCAAAACAGTGTTTTATAAGTAAGCAGTGTGATGTCGTTGGTAGGTGATACATGACTGGCTATGTGGGTTGGGTTTGTTAGGCCTCTGTCTGACCACTGGACGAATGGGAGGGTGGTAACAACAGGTAGGGAATGAATTTGTCCAATCTAAATTGTCTGTCTGTGTCCTTTTCAATTGCTATATGGCCGTTCTCCTATACTTGAATGCTTATTTGGCATGTCATTATCTTTACTAGCAATTTAATTATAATTTGTGCAGTTTTTAATCATTTGAAATAAAGATACATGTACATGAGTGTGTACAGTGGTTACTACATTATCAGTCAACATTACACAGGCTGATTGTATCTTTATCTTTTAATGTTCCTGCATATCAACATCTATGCTGCTATTCTGTTTTGATATGTCTTAATTCTGCATCACAAAGGTAATTATTATTCTATAATCATACATGTGAGAACACGGAAATTGTCCTGTTGTGGTAATTTGCTTAATATATGGATGACTTTTCCAGTCTGCTCATTTTCACAAACAGCATGATAACTGAGTAAAGAAACCTTCCTAATTATATTGTTATTAATATTCAAAGGAATTAGTGTAAAGTTCATAAAATTAGTCCCAGTTAAAAAAATATACAGTGTCAATTGTCGGCATGAATTCCTATCTTTTGTCTCTGTATCGGTACATTGTTAATTATATGACTGGTCAGCTTTGTGTTTGAATTATTGCAGGGGGTAATGCGAAACAATACCGGTCACATACTCTCGTAGTTTGCTCATGTTTATAAATAACCCATATCATTCCCCTCAGTAGAATTCTATTATCTACAACGGTTAAGACATGTGAGATCATTTCATCCCCTCAATAGAATTAAAAATTCTATTATCTACAACAGTTATGACATGTGAGATCATTTCATCCCCTCAATAGAATTAAAAATTCTATTATCTACAACAGTTTTGACATGTGAGACATATGAGATCATTTCATCAATAGAATTAAAAATTCTATTATCTACAACAGTTTTGACATGTGAGATCATTTCATCCCCTCAATAGAATTAAAAATTCTATTATCTACAACAGTTATGACATGTGAGATCATTTCATCCCCTCAATAGAATTAAAAATTCTATTATCTACAATAGTTATGACATGTGAGACCATTTGAAGAATTATGATGAATTCTATATTACATTCTTAAAGGAGCAGGATTATACTTCTCACAAAATCAAAATGTATAAAAAATTAAGTAAATAGTATATAAAACATCTAAATTTTGAAGCTTAATACTATAACCAAGGTCATAGGTAACACCACAGTACGAGATACTTACGTTGACAAGTCTGAGCATTATCAAATGTCACATCATCAATGGCGATGTGTCCAACATTGCTGGAACCTCTCACTGCCTCAAAGATCACCTGCAACAGAGATATCAATATTTGGGAAACTGTTACCACGAAGGCTTAACTATCTTGGCTAGATAAAGTGAGCAAGACCTCACAAAGACAATTCCTTACAAGGAAATGGGGTATATCACCATACCTATAATGAGTCCTTGAAAGTCTATTAGTGGTTGAATATGACCTCTGACCTATGCATTCTACGGTGCGAAAATATGAACTAAATCTCTTGAAAAGTTCATTTCTTTTACACAACAATAGTTTTTATCAAGTATGACCTATGACCCATGAACCTTGACATATAGCCAAGAAAATAGAAACAGGTGTAGAACATGATGGCACTATAAAGTATGGTGTAAATGTAAAGCAAAGTGGTAGAAGATTGATCACATTTCCACTTTTTGCATTTTTCCCATTATTTTAAGCAACTCCATTAAACCCCCCTCACTATGAAGAAGAATACTTAAACATTCAAATCTACACAGGCTAATGTGACACAACCCAAATTAAAACATGTTTTAAAGAAAATTGTAAAAATTTTCTAACAAGTATTTGCATTCCTTATATTTCTTGATATTTCATCCAATTTTTTTTTTTTTTTTAAAAAGAGATTATTAACAACATGGTAGGCAAAGGCTGATGAAAATATGTCACAAATACTTATTTTATATACCTTCACCTATGTTTACTTTGGAATACCTTAATTTTTGTGCCGAATTAGTTAATATTCACTTGTATTGCAAAATGAAAATCCTGCATCGAAGATTAAAGAACTGTTCTATTTCGTATAGCGTTCCATCTTGGGTTAACATTGCTAACCTTGTTTTTAACCAGTAAATTGATATTTAACTAGTAATAACATTGTACTTGACCCTATTACTGCCTGGAAATCTGATAAAAACTGATGGTACCAGAGTGATATATTACTTAGTGTGAAGTACAAAAAATGTACTGATTTGTACTAAAAACTTTATGTAAATCCAAATATAAATGAAGATAAGACTGATCATGTCCCAAAATAACAAGCAGAATTTACAGTGGCCAAAAAGTCCTCATAGGAATCTGTGAAAGCTTACTGTAAAGCTGGTGTTCTGATCCTGTAGAGGAACAATGCCTTTTGACCACTGAGTCTGCTGGCTAACTGAAAGCTCCCACAAAGGTTTTGGGTTGCTGGTGGTAGTGCTGCTCCATACACGTAGTGTACCAATGTTGCTACCATAGAGGTTGTACCAGAAGTACATACACTTATGGGTATGGGCACTTAGACTCTCGCTCACAAGTTTGGCATCATATCCAGGATGGATAGGGTTGGATGACTCTAGGTAGGCATATTGCCCTAAAAAACATGAAGAACACAAAAATTCACATGTTTCACTACATATTAGCATATTGTTTTACCAACACATTGAAATTGATGGAGTACTATTTATCATACACCTAGATATTTTCAGCAGGCATTTACTTTCAAAAATTACAACATATATTATCTATTCTTACCGCTGATACTGTCTCTATCTGCAGCTGATAGTATCTTTATCTACATCTGATAGTATCTTTATCTACATCTGATGGTATATTTATCTACAGCTGATAGTATCTATTCTTACAGCTGATAGTATCTATTCTTACAGCTGATAGTATCTTTATCTACAGCTGATAGTATCTTTTCTCACAGCTGATAGTATCTTCATCTACAGCTGATAGTATCTATTCTTACAGCTGATAGTATCTATTCTTACAGCTGATAGTATCTATTCTTACAGCTGATAGTATCTTCATCTACAGCTGATAGTATCTTTTCTTACAGCTGATAGTATCTTCATCTACAGCTGATAGTATCTTCATCTACAGCTGATAGTATCTTCATCTACAGCTGATAGTATCTTTTCTTACAGCTGATAGTATCTTCATCTACAGCTGATAGTATCTTTTCTCACAGCTGATAGTATCTTCATCTACAGCTGATAGTATCTTTTCTTACAGCTGATAGTATCTTCATCTACAGCTGATTGTATCTATTCTTACAGCTGATAGTATCTATTCTTACAGCTGATAGTATCTTCATCTACAGCTGATAGTATCTTTTCTTACAGCTGATAGTATCTTCATCTACAGCTGATAGTATCTATTCTTACAGCTGATAGTATCTTCATCTACAGCTGATATTATCTTCATCTACAGCTGATAGTATCTTTATCTACAGCTGATAGTATCTATTCTTACAGCTGATAGTATCTATTCATCAAGATAGATGGAGTACAAATATACCATTGGCGCCGGTGTGGTCAGAGAAGGCTGTCATAAAGGTACTGGATGTGGTCCTAGTCCCTAATGTCCAGTCAAACTGGTCTCCACTCTTGGCATTTGTCCAGGTACAGAATCCATTGTCAAAGTTACAAACCCCTGCAAGATATAGACAAAATGAGAACTCACTGTACTGCTGTACTATAAGTTCTAAAACATGGTGATGAAAAACGAAGTAAATGTAAGATTTGACTGGCTTGAGGATGAAAATAGTTTAATTTATGCAGCTGCACTCTTCAGGAAACAGTGGTGTGATAACTTATATCAATGAGATACTACAATGTAGATTTCCAATCAGATAAAATTTCTGTATAAAATCTTATTTAAGACAAATGTTCACCTTCTAAAGGACAAGCTCCACCAGTAATGGAGAAATCATCAATAGCAATGTCACTGCGATAGTCACGTCCTCTAACAGCTTCAAACACGATCTGGTAAGGCGAGTTGGACTGGCTAACTGGGATGTTGACAGATGCCACAAACCAATGACTGCCACGGGAACCTGAAAAAAGGAAAAAAAGATATATTTTTATGTCAGAATCATCTATGGCACACAAGAAAGATAATCCCATTTCCCAAAGAATTGAGATTACTCCTACTTCACACACAGGTACATACGCCAACCAGGAAATGTATCCATTTTTTGTTTGATAATTGAAAGAAATTGCATTTTGAAGTACTCTGTTGAATTGCCAACATTTAGTAAAGGACTATGTATTTAATAGTTTAGTGCAGCCTTGAATATCATTTGAACAATTCACACTTCAGCAACCTAAATCAGTCATACAAGTGAGACTTACACTAGGACAATACATATAACAGAATGCTTCACTGAACAAGGGAGATAAATGTAAGGGGGGGCTACTCCTTATTCACAATGGGTTGATCATCATTACTGTTTGATGAATGTGGGCTTATGCTTACCTGAATTGGTCCATATTGGAGATCCTAGGACTCCACGTGTCTGTCTATAGACATTGAGGGTCTGTACAGTGCTTCCATACATGTTGTACCAGAATCGGAGACACATTGGTGTACTGGGGCTTTGGTAAATGGGACTGATTAAGCGAGCTTTGTTTCCTTGATGATGTCCACTTGCCTCCATGTACATGTAATGACCTGGTAAAGGAATTTCAAATTAAGAAAAATCATTAGGGGTAGGATTCTAACCAGACTCAACAAGAAAACCTTGACATAAAAACACTCATTTTGGAGTAAAAAACAATCACCACTTCAGAGCTCTCAATAAAACCAACAATCAATTTATCTGGTAATAAGCTTATGACTGGTTCTGCTCAATATCACCTTCAAGGAATGGCCAGTGCTGAAACTGAAGAAATTCAAATTAGTCACTGGGGAGACTTAAGAAAATCAGATTAGTCCCTGGGGAGACTAAAGAAAATCAGGTTAGTCCCTGGGGAGACTAAAGAAAATCAGGTTAGTCCCTGGGGAGACTAAAGAAAATCAGGTTAGTCCCTGGGGAGACTAAAGAAAATCACGTTAGTCCCAGGAGAGACTGAGGCTACCTTGGCCAGTCCCTTATTTAGACTCAGAAAACAGAAAGTAAAAAATCTGATTAGTCCCTGGGGAGACTCAACAAACTCAGACTAGACCAAGCACCTGTTGTTCAATGTACCTGTGTATACTTCACTAAGAAAATTATTATTTCAAACTTATAAATAAAATAAGTATGGTGATAAGATGAAAGTATTAAAAACTAACCATTTGATGTTCCATAGGTGTGGTCATTAGTCGGTCCAGTTCCAGTTGAGCTGGTTGTGCCACTTCCTCTTGTCCAGTCCAATTGATCAGCATGACTTTGTTGAAATCCACAAATCATTGAACTCTCAAAATCACATGACATTGCAGGCCCTGTCAACATGATATCAATTCAGTAATATTGTAAACATGTAAGGTATCAGAAAGCATTCATAGCCTTCCATAAATTTCTTTATGGAATATCAATTCTTTGTCAACATCAAAAATATAATTTCTTTGCCACCACCAAAAGTATCATTTTTCTGTTACCACCAAAAGTAACATTTCCCTGTCACCACCAAAAGTATAATTTCTCTTTCACCACCAAAATTAACATTTCTCTGTCACCACCAAAAGTATAAATTCTATGTCACCACCAAAAGTATAAATTCTCGGTCACCACCAAAAGTATAAATTCTCGGTCACCACCAAAAGTATAAATTCTCTGTCACCACCAAAAGTATAAATTCTCGGTCACCAACAAAAGTATAAATTCTCGGTCACCACCAAAAGTATAAATTCTTGGTCACAATCAACAGTATAATTTCTCTGTCAGCATCAAAAGTACCATTCATCAGCCACTATCAAAAGTATCAATTCTCTGTCACCACCAAAAGTATAAATTCTCGGTCACCAACAAAAGTGTCACCACCAAAAGTATAAATTCTCTGTCACCACCAAAAGTATAAATTCTCGGTCACCACCAAAAGTATAAATTCTTGATCACAATCAACAGTATAATTTCTCTGTCAGCATCAAAAGTATCATTCATCAGCCACTATCAAAAGTATCATTCATCAGCCACTATCAAAAGTATCAATTCTCTGTCACCACCAAAAGTATCATTTATCTGACACCACCAAAAGTATAAATTCTCGGTCACCACCAAAAGTATAAATTCTCGGTCACCACCAAAAGTATAAATTCTCGGTCACCACCAAAAGTATAAATTCTCGGTCACCACCAAAAGTATAATTTCTTTCACCACCAAAAGTATAAATTCTTGATCACAATCAACAGTATAATTTCTCTGTCAGCATCAAAAGTATCATTCATCAGCCACTATCAAAAGTATCAATTCTCTGTCACCACCAGAAGTATAAATTCTCAGTCACCACCAAAAGTATAAATTCTCGGTCACCACCAAAAGTATAAATTCTCTGTCACCACCAAAAGTATAAATTCTCTGTCACCACCAAAAGTATAAATTCTCTGTCACCACCAAAAGTATAAATTCTCGGTCACCACCAAAAGTATAAATTCTCGGTCACCAACAAAAGTATAAATTCTCTGTCACCACCAAAAGTATAAATTCTCTGTCACCACCAAAAGTATAAATTCTCGGTCACCACCAAAAGTATAAATTCTCTGTCACCACCAAAAGTATAAATTCTCTGTCACCACCAAAAGTATAAATTCTCTGTCACCACCAAAAGTATAAATTCTCTGTCACCACCAAAAGTATAAATTCTTGATCACAATCAACAGTATAATTTCTCTGTCAGCATCAAAAGTATCATTCATCAGCCACTATCAAAAGTATCAATTCTCTGTCACCACCAAAAGTATAAATTCTCTGTCACCACCAAAAGTATAAATTCTCGGTCACCACCAAAAGTATAAATTCTCGGTCACCACCAAAAGTATAAATTCTCGGTCACCACCAAAAGTATAAATTCTCTGTCAGCATCAAAAGTATAAATTCTCTGTCACCACCAAAAGTATAAATTCTCGGTCACCACCAAAAGTATAAATTCTCGGTCACCACCAAAAGTATCAATTCTCTGTCACCACCAAAAGTATAAATTCTCTGTCACCACCAAAAGTATAAATTCTCTGTCACCACCAAAAGTATAAATTCTCTGTCACCACCAAAAGTATAAATTCTCTGTCACCACCAAAAGTATAAATTCTCTGTCACCACCAAAAGTATAAATTCTCCACCAAAAGTATAAATTCTCGGTCACCACCAAAAGTATAAATTCTCTGTCACCACCAAAAGTATAAATTCTCGGTCACCACCAAAAGTATAAATTCTCTGTCACCAACAAAAGTATAAATTCTCTGTCACCACCAAAAGTATAAATTCTCGGTCACCACCAAAAGTATAAATTCTCTGTCACCACCAAAAGTATAAATTCTCGGTCACCAGCAAAAGTATCATTTATCTGACACCACCAAAAGTATGAATTCCCGGTCACCATCAAAGGTGTTCTGTTAAAAAGAAAGGAACAACACACAAAAAGTCATAAAACCAGATAAATATTCTATAACAGTAGAGCTCAATGATAACAATTATAGCACTTATTCAGTATGACTGACACTGAAACAATAGGGGAAAAGGGAATCCCATTCTTAAATAAACCTAATCAAAACAAGTAATTTATCCCAGTAAGAGATATTTCATGGCATTATCACAGTATTCCTAATAAGGTTAACACAATCAGTCAGAATACCTACCATTTGTACAACTGCCTTCTGAAATGCCCACATCATCTATAGCTATATCACCAAAAATACCGCCTCGGGTACTCTCAAAGACCACCTTCAACAGACAGGAAATCAAATATTATAAAGTACAAAGTCTTTTCATAAACAGGAAGTCTCATCATTAACAAGATGTGTCATCACCAACAGGAAGTCTGGTCACTAATGTGAAGTATCATCACCAACAGAAAGTGCCATCATCAACAGGAAGTGGCATCATTAAAAGAAAGTGTTTAAAGCTTCATAAACAGGAAGTGCCATCATCAACAGGAAGTGGCATCATTAATAGAAAGTGTTTAAAGCTTCATAAACAGGAAGTGCCATCATCAACAGGAAGTGTCATCATTAACAGAAAGTGTTTAAAGCTTTATAAACAGGAAGTGCCATCATCAACAGGAAGTGTTATCATTAACAGGAAGTGGCATCGTTAAAAGAAAGTGTTTAAAGCTTCATAAACAGGAAGTGCCATCATCAACAGGAAGTGCCATCATCAACAGGAAGTGGCATCTTTAAAAGAAAGTGTTTAAAGCTTCATAAACAGGAAGTGCCATCATCAACAGGAAGTGTCATCATTTAAAGAAAGTGTTTAAAGCTTCATAAACAGGAAGTGACACCATCAACAGGAAGTGTCATCATTAATAGAAAGTGTTTAAAGCTTCATAAACAGGAAGTGCCATCATCAACAGGAAGTGTCATCATTTAAAGAAAGTGTTTAAAGCTTCATAAACAGGAAGTGACACCATCAACAGGAAGTGTCATCATTAATAGAAAGTGTTTAAAGCTTCATAAACAGGAAGTGACACCATCCACAGGAAGTGTCATCATTAATAGAAAGTGTTTAAAGCTTCATAAACAGGAAGTGCCATCATCAACAGGAAGTGTCATCATTTAAAGAAAGTGTTTAAAGCTTCATAAACAGGAAGTGACACCATCAACAGGAAGTGTCATCATTAACAGAAAGTGTTCAAAGCTTTATAAACAGGAAGTGCCAACACTAGAAGCCCCATCAATAACAAGAATTACATAATAGCATATACAGGAAGTGTCATTACTAACAGGAAGTGTCATCACTTACAGAAACATCATGAACTGCAAATGATATTAGCAATCAGAAGTTTGCGAATGTGAAGTTATATTGTAAACAGGAAGCGCCAACATAACCTAGCAGTGAAACAATAAACTAGAAGTGCCTTCACAAAAAGGTAGTGTCAATGCAAACAGGAAGTGTGATTTTATATCGTAAACAGGAAGTGCAAACAGCAACCAGAGGTGAAACCATCAGGAACAAGAATTATGTAACATTATGTACAGGAAGTGTCATTAAAACAGGAAGTACAATCAAGAATAGAAAGTGAAATTACCGAATGTTTCATCAAAAATAGGAAGTGAAATCAATATCAGAAAAAGTGCCTTAAAGATATTTGTATGTTCCAATCTTACATTGAAAACGGTTTTGGCAGTAATGTCAATTTGGCCCATCAACCATCGGTTACCCTGATTTCCACTTCGCCTCCAGATAGGGCTAGAGGGCAGTGCCAGACCGCTCTTGGTATAGACATTTAATTGGGCTACATTACGTCCCATCATGAAATACCAGAAAGTGAGACACTTGGTTGGGGTGCCAGTGTTAGCTACATCAGGGCTTATCAGTCGAGCTTTGTCTCCGTTTTGCCTTGGCCTAGATGCCTCCGTGTATACGTAATAGCCACCTGTCAAAGGAGCTACACTTAAATCTTGGTAAATTAGTGTAATCAGTTAAAACTTTAACCTGAAGTCTGAGATATAAAGAACCATTACTTTTTACCTTAAATCTCAGCTTTAAAGATCCAAAGAATGAATATTTTCATATTAAGCTATATTAAACAAGGATGTTAAAACCATTAATCTGACAAACAATTATTTGTTCAGCCCAACTGTTACTCTTAAATCAACATAATTTTTACCTCTTATCATACTAACACTGCTTCATTTAGCCACATTGTTACAGAATATTGAGTGAAAATAATGGAAGGAGTTAATAGAACACTAATATGTGTAAGAAGGACATCTCACTTCCACTATGATCAGAGTTGGGACCTGTTGAGCTACTCTGAGTACGCCCTCGCATCCTTGTCCAATCAAAATTATCGGTTTTATCCTGGATCCAACCACAGAAGTTAGTATCGAAGCTGCAGTTGAATGACCCTTGGGCTACGGGTGTTGTAATGGTAGTAGACATGGTGGTTGGTCCAATTATAGGATGGGCCCGACTTGGTCTCACTATTAACAGAAAACAGGCCTTGACGATTTCAATAAATGTTATTATATTGTGTATTGCAGACATGTAGAGGCAGGCTCTTTAAAAAAAACATACTTCATAAATCTTCAGGATGCTCGTAACATATCTGGAATAACATTATTTTATTTTTCAATTTGGATGTAAAGAACTCACCTCCACAGCTGGATTCAGCAAAAGATATATCATCAATTGCTATATCACCAGTAACAGATGTTCCTCTTCGCCCTTGGAACACAATCTGGTAACTTTTAGTGGGCATACTAATTGGAGCACTGGCAGCCTGCCATTGTTGTCCCTGGTCACCAGTCAGACTCCAAATAGCTGAGTCAGCAGTACCTGAAATGTTGACATAAAACCAATTAAAACAATGTTAAATGGCCTCTTAAATACCACAAACTCATACTGACTAATGACTTCTAAAATAACTCAAAACTCATACTGAATATACATTCAAATACTGTCTGATGACCTGTAAGTACATACAGTATCTATATGGTCTGATGACCTGTAATTACATACAGTATCTATACTGTCTGATGACCTGTAAGTACATACAGTATCTATATGGTCTGATGACCTGTAAGTACATACAGTATCTATACTGTCTGATGACCTGTAAGTACATACAGTATCTATACTGTCTGATGACCTGTAATTACATACAGTATCTATACTGTCTGATGATCTGTAAGTACATACAGTATCTATATGGTCTGATGACCTGTAATACATACAGTATCTATACTGTCTGATGACCTGTAATTACATACAGTATCTATACTGTCTGATGATCTGTAATTACATACAGTATCTATACTGTCTGATGACCTGTAATACACATACAGTATCTATACTGTCTGATGACCTGTAATACACATACAGTATCTATACTGTCTGATGACCTGTAAGTACATACAGTATCTATACTGTCTGATGACCTGTAAGTACATACAGTATCTATACTGTCTGATGACCTGTAATACACATACAGTAACTATACTGTCTGATGACCTGTAATACACATACAGTAACTATACTGTCTGATGACCTGTAAGTACATACAGTATCTATACTGTCTGATGATCTGTAATTACATACAGTATCTATACTGTCTGATGACCTGTAATACACATACAGTATCTATACTGTCTGATGACCTGTAAGTACATACAGTATCTATATGGTCTGATGACCTGTAATATACATACAGTATCTATACTGTCTGATGACCTGTAATACACATACAGTATCTATACTGTCTGATGACCTGTAATACACATACAGTATCTATACTGTCTGATGACTAATTAGAACTTGGATTTCAATATTATGATTGGCAACATAGTGCATTTCAAATATACCTGACCTTGAACTTACCTTGAACCCTCATGAGGACTGTAAGAGTGTCTATGGTTTGGCCGTACATGTTGTACCAGAAGGATATACAGCGTCCAGACGCAGATGTTGGTGGGAAAACCTCACTCACTAGCCAAGCAACGTTCCCAGCCAGTTGCGGCGCAGATGTCTCTATATACATGTAGTGACCTGTAACATAGGTAGGAATACACTTTATTCATGCTAACTGCACAAATAACTTGTATATTTTTATAACACATTAAATGTAGAAATACAAAACACTGTGTATTTTATGAAATATAGACAAAGGGATGTTGATGATGAGTATAAGTATCAATTAAATAATTCAGATAAAATGACAACATTCTACTCCTTTAACGAAAGAAAGCATTGCCAGGGAGATTAGGGGAGAGAATGAAATCGCAGTTCCAGATAGTATGATTTTGGGGAGAGTATGAAACCTTTGAAGCACAAAAGGGGCAGACCAAGAAACACCTGGCGCCGAACTGTACAGACAGAGCTCAAGACCATGGAACAGACTTGGGGTACCATCCAGAGGCTGACCCAGAACCGGCAGACGTGGCGATCCTTCGTAGTCGCCCTACATGCCACACGGCATAACGGGCATGAGTGAGTGAGTGAATGAAACCTTTGTCTGGGAGAATATGATTGAAGGGTGAATATGAGAACTTTGTTAGGGAGAGGATGATTTAGACGAGAATATGAAAACTGTTTTTAAGAGAGTGTATGATTTGGGGGAGAGTCCGAAAACTCTCTCTTGGAGAGTAAGGTTTAAGGGAGAATATGAAAATTATGTCTGAGAGAGTATGTTTTAAGGGAGAGTGTGACAACTCTGTTTGAGAGAGGATGATTTAGGAGAGAATATGAAAACTCTGTTAGGGAGAGGATAATTAAGGAAGAGTATGAAAACTCAGTCTGGGAGGGTAAGGTTTAAGGGAGAGTATAAAAACTTTGTCTGGGAGAGTATGGTTCAAGGGAAAGTACAAAAAGAGAAGGCATGATTTAGGGAAGTATAAAAAGAGAGGGAATGATTTTAGGAAGAGCCTTCATCAGGGAGTATATATATTTTGGGAGAGAGTAACAAGGAGAGGATATAAAAAAATGACGTCTCAGAGGGTATGATTTTGGGGGCAGTATAAAAAGAGAGAATATAATTACCGGTTGAGCCTCCAGTTGTGTGGTCTGTCCTAGGACCAGTGAACTGTGATGATGTTGTACCCGAATTAATTTCCCAGTCAAACTGATCTCCTATTTGTACATTGGACCAGGTACATTGACCTGTTTCAAAGTCACACTCGCCTGCGTAAAAAGATATGATATTACGTACAAATTCTTACACAAGTTTTCATTTAATATATGAATTTGTAAAACAAAGTTCAAGAATTTTTCTTTTTAGCGAGCCTCTTACTCTGTTGAGTTTTGTAGATTACATATCAAATGGAAATAAAATGAAAATCCTTTTTAACACATGATATATCTGTAAATGTGTGATTTTATTATGTAAACCTCACAAAAATATGACATGGGTATATTGACCTTATAACAAAGCAATCATATGTTTAACCACAATACCATCTACATACACCATACACTAAACAACATACACCAAACAACATACACCATACATCAAACACCCTACACCAAACAAAATACACCAAACAACATACACCAAACAACATACACCTTACAACATACACCAAACAACATACACCTAACAACATACACCTAACAACATACACCAAACACCATACACCTAACAACATACACCTAACAACATACACCTAACAACATACACCAAACAACATATACCAAACACCAAACAACATACACCAAACAACATATACCAAACAACATACACCTAACAACATACACCAAACAACATACACCTAACAACATACACCAAACACCATACACCAAACACCATACACCAAACAACATACACCTAACAACATACACCAAACAACATACACCTAACAACATACACCAAACACCATACACCAAACAACATACACCAAACACCAAACAACATACACCTAACAACATACACCTAACAACATACACCAAACAACATATACCAATCAACATACACCAAAAAACATACACCAAACACCATACACCAAACACCATACACCAAACACCATACACCAAACAACACACACCTAACAACATACACCAAACAACATACACCAAACAACATACACCTAACAACATACACCAAACAACATACACCAAACAACATACACCAAACAACATACACCTAACAACATACACCAAACAAACAACATACACCAAACAACATACACCAAACACCATACACCTAACAACATACACCTAACAACATACACCTAACAACATACACCAAACAACATACACCTAACAACATACACCAAACAACATACACCAAACACCATACATCTAACAACATACACCTAACAACATACACCAAACAACATACACCTAACAACATACACCTAACAACATACACCAAAACCAAACACCAAACAACATACACCAAACACCAAACAACATACACCTAACAACATACACCAAACACCCTACACCAAACACCAAACACCAAACAACATACACAAAACAACATACACCAAACAACATACACCAAACAACATACACCTAACAACATACACCAAACAACATACACCTAACAACATACACCAAACAACATACACAAAACACCAAACAACATACACCAAACAACATACACCAAACACCAAACAACATACACCTATCAACATACACCAAACACCAAACAACATACACCTATCAACATACACCAAACAACATACACCTAACAACATACACCAAACACCAAACAACATACACCTAACAACATACACCAAACAACATACACCTAACAACATACACCTAACAACATACACCAAACACCATACACCAAACAACATACACCAAACACCAAACATACACCAAACAACATACACCAAACACCAAACAACATACACCTAACAACATACACTAAACAACATACACCTAACAACATACACCAAACAACATACACCAAACACACACCTAACAACATACACCAAACAACATACACCAAACAACATACACAAAACACCAAACATACACCAAACAACAAGCAACATACACCATAAACCTAACAACATACACCAAATAACATACACCTAACAACATACACCAAACACCAAACAACATACACCTAACAACATACACTAAACAACATACACCTAACAACATACACCAAACAACATACACCAAACACCAAACATACACCTAACAACATACACCAAACAACATACACCAAACAACATACACAAAACACCAAACATACACCAAACAACATACACCAAACACCAAACAACATACACCTATCAACATACACCAAACAACATACACCTAACAACATACACCAAACACCAAACAACATACACCTAACAACATACACCTAACAACATACACCAAACACCATACACCAAACAACATACACCTAACAACATACACCAAACAACATACACCAAACACCATACACCAAACAACATATACCAAACAACATACACCTAACAACATATACCAAACAACATACACCAAACAACATACACCAAACAACATACACAAAACACCAAACATACACCAAACAACATACGCCAAACACCAAACAACATACACCTATCAACATACACCAAACAACATACACCTAACAACATACACCTAACAACATACACCAAACAACATACACCTAACCTAACAACATACACCAAACAACATACACCTAACAACATACACCAAACACCATACACCTAACAACATACACCTAACAACATACAGCTAACAACATATACCAATCAACATACACCTAACAACATACACCAAACAACATACACCTAACACCAAACACCAAACAACATATACCAATCAACATACACCTAACAACATACATCTAACAACATACACCAAACACCATACACCTAACAACATACACCTAACACCATACACCTAACAACATACACCTAACAACATACAGCTAACATACACGAAACAACATACACCAAACAACATACACCTAACAACATACACTAAACAACATACACCTAACAACATACACCAAACAACATACACCAAACATACACCTAACAACATACATCTAACAACATACACCAAACAACATACACCTAACAACATACACCTAACAACATACACCAAACACCATACACCAAACAACATACACCTAACAACATACACCTAACACCATACACCAAACAACAAGCAACATACACCATACACCTAACAACATACACCAAACAACATACACCAACACCATACACCAAACAACAAGCAACATACACCAAACACCAAACAACATACACCAAACAACATACACCTAACAACATACACCAAACACCCTACACTAAACACCATACACTAAACAACATACACCTAACAACATACACCTAACAACATATACCAAACAACATACACCAAACAACATACACCAAAAAACATACACCTAACAACATACACTAAACAACATACACCTAACAACATACACTAAACAACATACACCTAACAACATACACCTAACAACATATACCAAACAACATACACCAAACAACATACACCTAACAACATACACCAAACAACATACACCAAACAACATACACTAAACAACATACACCAAAAAACATACACCTAACAACATACACTAAACAACATACACCTAACAACATATACCAAACAACATACACCAAACAACATACACCAAAAAACATACACCTAACAACATACACTAAACAACATACACCTAACAACATACACCAAACAACATACAGCTAACAACATACACCAAACAACATACACATAACAACATACACCAAACAACATACACCTAACAACATACACCAAACAACATACACCAAACAACATACACCAAACACCAAACAACATACACCAAACAACATACACCTAACAACATACACCAAATATCATACACCTAACAACATACACCAAACACCAAACAACATACACCAAATAACATACACCTAACAACATACACCAAACAACATACACCTAACAACATACACTAAACAACATACATCTAACAACATACACCAAACAACATACACTAAACAACATACACCAAAAAACATACACCTAACAACATACACTAAACAACATACACCTAACAACATATACCAAACAACATACACCAAACAACATACACCAAAAAACATACACCTAACAACATACACTAAACAACATACACCTAACAACATACACCAAACAACATACAGCTAACAACATACACCAAACAACATACACCTAACAACATACACCAAACAACATACACCTAACAACATACACCAAACAACATACACCTAACAACGTACACCAAACACCAAACAACATACACCTAACAACATACACCAAACAACATACACCAAACACCAAACAACATACACCTATAACATACACCTAACAACATACACCAAACAACATACACCTAACAACATACACTAAACAACATACATCTAACAACATACACCTAACACCATACACCAAACAACAAGCAACATACACCAAACACCATACACCAAACAACATACACCAAACAACATACACCAAACACCAAACAACATACACCTATCAACATACACCAAACAACATACACCAAACACCAAACAACATACACCTATCAACATACACCAAACAACATACACCTAACAACATACACCAAACAACATACACCTAACAACATACACCTAACAACATACACCTAACAACATACACCAAACACCATACACCAAACAACATACACCTAACAACATACACCTAACACCATACACCTAACAACATACACCTAACAACATACACCTAACAACATACACCAAACACCATACACCAAACAACATACACCTAACAACATACACCTAACAACAAACACCTAAAAACATACACCAAACAACATATACCAAACACCATATACCAAACACCATACACCAAACAAAAAGCAACATACACCAAACACCAAACAACATACACCTAACAGCATACACCAAACACCATACACCAAACAACATACACCTAACAACATACACCTAACAGCATACACCAAACACCATACACTAAATAACATACACCAAACACCAAGCAACACACAACATAAAACTTAGTACATATTTTATAACTTATCATCAATTCCATGTTGTGTAGCTACTGTAAATCACTTAATATATTTACAAGAGGAGAGTCAATTGCTAATTCACATCCCTTGCAAAAATTTGTACAAAATAACTCTGGCATCTATATTGATTCAGTTATTTATATGAACGTTTTGCAGATTTCATTTCTCTAATAGCTTATTATTTGTAAATTTTAATTAATTTCTTGATCAACAACTATGAAATTACATACCTGAAAAGGTACTTTCTGTTAGTATTTTAAGTGATTTACAGTATACAATTATTATGTTATGATATTAAATTCACAACTGATCTAAAAACATCAAACGTATTGGTTATATTACAACTGTTTACCTGGGTTTTGACAAGGTCCTGATTTAAATTTGATGTCATCAATAGCAATGTCCCCTCTGGCATTTGAACCTCTCACTCCCTCAAAGACAACCTGTCAAGAGTTTTGTTAATTTGATATTCATTAAAGACACAGGTTAGTATAATGTATAATGTCAATATAGTGTTATAACAAACAAAAAGATAATAACTCAAACATAGCAACTTTACCTTTCAAGCTGGTACAGAGTTATAACACACACAGAGATGTCAACTCAAAAATGGCAACTTTACCTTTCAAGCTGGTACAGAGTTATAACACACAGAGATGTCAACTCAAAAATGGCAACTTTACCTTTCAAGCTGGTACAGAGTTATAACACACACAGAGATGTCAACTCAAAAATGGCAACTTTACCAACCAAGCAAGTAGTTTGTTGACAACTTGATACATGCACCGAAGGCACAAAGGAGTGGTCAACCATCCAAGTGGTGACCTTGATCTCTAAGTCGCATAACTACATTACACACACATGACACTCAACTAAACAGCCACAAAAACTACCAACTGGAATACATAACTGATATGCCTTTATCCATGAAATCCATCCAAGTGCTGACCTCATACAATACTGCTTAACTTAACTCCATTGAAGGATCTCATCCAAGTGCTGACCTCATTCAACACTGCTTAACTTAACTCCAATGAAGGATGCCATCCAAGTGCTGACCTCATTCAACACTGCTTAACTTAACTTCATTGAAGGATCTCATCCAAGTGCTGACCACATTCAACACTGCTTAACATTGACAGACTCCAAGTGCTGACCTCATTCAGCACTGCTTAACTTAACTTCATTGAAGGATCCCATCCAAGTGCTGACCTCATTCAACACTGCTTAACTTAACTCCATTGACGGATCCCATCCAAGTGCTGACCTCATTCAACACTGCTTAACTTAACTACGTTGAAGAAACCCATCTAAGTGCTGACCTCATTCAACACTGCTTAACTTAACTCCAATGAAGGATGCCATCCAAGTGCTGACCTCATTCAACACTGTTTAACTTAACTTCATTGAAGGATCTCATCCAAGTGCTGACCACATTCAACACTGCTTAACTTAACTCCATTGACAGATCCCATCCAAGTGCTGACCTCATTCAGCACTGCATAACTTAACTCCAATGAAGGATCCCATCCAAGTGCTGACCTCATTCAACACTGCTTAACTTAACTACATTAGAGAAATGGCACTCTCCTGCAAGGCCACCCAAGCTAGCTATTGGCCTCAGCTGCAAGAATACCAACACCAATCAACCATATCATTATTACAGAAACTGTATACAGTAAAACACCATATAAAAACATAACTTTACACTTGGTACAAAGTGCATTATGGTTCCCTCCAAAATGGTCTGTAACTCATATAATTTTGTAGCAATATTTCATTACAGAATATTTAATTTTTTTTTATGATTTTACTGACAAAAGGAATTGGGCTACAGACATCGCCTATAAAAGCCTTCTCCATGTAGCGATATTGTCAGTAAGGAAAAAATTCCTCATTATTATGAAATAATTCTGCGGTGAGCTGGTTGGACAATATAACACAAATTTTCATGTTCATTTTAGATCAACACTTTGTCTCTGTGATGTAAATCCTCGTAAACTTTTATATGATTTATGAAGTTAAATTAAAATGTAATATGGTAAAGAGTAACATGAATATAAGATGCCATATAAATGCTTTGTACAAGATACATACATATATGGATTCCAATATTCTGACCTTAAACTCATTTTCAAAATCAGATATTTATAGTTTAAGAAATTTACAGTAAAATACATTTTATGTCTACTTTAATGTCTAGAGAAACTTGTGATACTGTGAATAGATACCTTGTATCCAGCTGTGGCAGCTGAGGATGGAACTGTTATTTCTCCAAGGTGCCAGACATTCCCATCATTGTTAGACATTGTAAAACCAGCTCTCCCTAATTGGCCGCCAGTCTGTGGAAACAGTGATTTCAATATACGGCATTGTTTAAGAAATTTTTAAAAGATAAAATTATCATTTATAACATGTGCAGATTTTCCTCAGATTTGAGGAAGTGAACCGTGTGTTCCTGTTGTTTAATTATCAAATTTGATTGAATGACAGTCATATTTGATTAAATTCTGTAAAACAATCGGAGTACATTACATGGTATACTTCATCCCCTGCCTTTGTATTTTAAATGATCTATTTCTATCCTTCTCGTAACCCTAGAAACAAACTACTGATCAAGCTTATACACCAGCATCCCTTCTTTTGGGTGATTCAATCTTACGGGCATCTCTTCTTTTGGGTGATTCAACCCTATGGGCATCCCTTCTTTTTGGTGATTCAACCCTATGGGCATCCCTTCCTTTGGGTGATTCAGCCCTATGGGCATCTCTTCTTTTGGGTGATTCAACCCTATGGGCATCTCTTCTTTTGGGTGATTCAACCCTATGGGCATCTTTTCTTTTGGGTGATTCAGACCTATGGGCATCTCTTCTTTTGGGTGATTCAACCCTATGGGCATCCCTTCCTTTGGGTGATTCAGCCCTATGGGCATCTCTTCTTTTGGGTGATTCAACACTATCAGCATCCCTTCTTTTGGGTGATTCAACTCTATGGGCATCCCTTCCTTTGGGTGATTCAGCTCTATGGACATCCCTTCCTTTGGGTGATTCAACTCTATGGATATCCCTTCCTTTGGGTGATTCAACCCTATGGGCATCCCTTCCTTTGGGTGATTCAACTCTATGGACATCCCTTCCTTTGGGTAATACAATAATATGAACATCCCTTCCTTTAAGTAATACAATAATATGGGGATCCCTTCCTTTTGGTGATACAGCAAATCAATTGTTAAAACCGATATGCATTAACATGTCATAAGTTCACTGACCAATTGTATAAAAAGAATGAAGAATGGTAATCAAACCTGTATGTATACGTTGAGTGCCCCTACGGTTGTGCCATATATATGGTAGTAAAACTGGACACACATGGCTTGGCTGTCAGTGTAAGTCGGAGAGATCAATCGTGCGGTATCCCCAGCTTGACGTGGAGCAGACGTCTCAATGTACATATAAAAGCCTACAAGATTTAATATTAGATATCTTTATATTAATTTTACGAACAGAAAAGAATTATATATCTATCACAATAAACTTCTGGAGGGTCATGTGCCATACCATGTTTGGTATTGTATGTGTGATCATTTGAGGGTCTGGACCTTACCTTGTCTGGTATTGTATGTGTTATCATTTGAGGGTCTGGACCTTACCTTGTCTGGTATTGTATGTGTTATCATTTGAGGGTCTGGACCTTACCTTGTCTGGTATTGTATGTGTGATCATTTGAGGGTCTCGACCTTACCTTGTCTGGTATTGTATGTGTGATCATTTGAGGGTCTGGACCTTACCTTGTCTGGTATTGTATGTGTGATCATTTGAGGGTCTGGACCTTACCTTGTTTGGTATTGTATGTGTGATCATTTGAGGGTCTGGACCTTACCATGTCTGGTATTGTATGTGTGATCATTTGAGGGTCTGGACCTTACCTTGTCAGGTATTGTATGTGTGATCATTTGAGGGTCTGGACCTTACCTTGTCAGGTATTGTATGTGTGATCATTTGAGGGTCTGATCTTTACCTTGTTTGGTATTGTATGTGTGATCATTTGAGGGTCCTGTCCCTGAAGATGATGTTGATCCTGAGTGTCTTGTCCAGTCAAACACGTCAGTTTTGTCCTGTGTATATCCACAGATATGAGCATCCTCAAAACTGCATGTCCTTCCACTGAGTGACGATGACCCTGAAGACAAAGCACACATCAAAAATTCATTCAAAACAACTTTTGTGTTAACAAACCAGTAAGTAGTGTCACTTTGTGTTGTTGAGCCAGTAACTCATGTCACTTTCGTGTTAATGAACCAATATCTTGTGTCACTTTGTATTGTTGAGCCAGTAACTCATGTCACTTTCATGCTAATGAACCAATATCTTGTGTCACTTTGTATTGTTGAGCCAGTAACTCATGTCACTTTTGTGCTAATGAACCAATATCTTGTGTCACTGTTGTGTTAATAAATTACTTTTGAATGAATTATCTAATAACTCATGTCACTTTTGAGTAAAGGAACCAGTAATTTGTGTCACCTTTGTGTTAATGAACCAGTAATTTGTGTCATCTTTGTGTTAATGAACCAGTAATTTGTGTCAGCTTTGTGTTAATGAACCAGTAATTTGTGTCACCTTTGTGTTAATGAACCAGTAATTTGTGTCACCTTTGTGTTAATGAACCAGTAATTTGTGTCACCTTTGTGTTAATGAACCAGTAATTTGAGTCATTTTTAAGATAATGAACCAGTAATTTGTGTCATCTTTGTGTTAATGAACCAGTAATCTTTGTGTTAATGAACCAGTAATTTGAGTCATTTTTAAGATAATGAACCAGTAATTTGTGTCATCTTTGTGTTAATGAACCAGTAATTTGTGTCACCTTTGTGTTAATGAACCAGTAATTTGTGTCATCTTTGTGTTAATGAACCAGTAATTTGAGTCATTTTTAAGATAATGAACCTGTAATTTGTGTCATCTTTGTTCTAATAACCCAGTAACTTCAGTCATTTTTGTGTTAATGAATCACTTTTGTGTATCTGAGTCACTTTTGTGCTAATGAACCAGTACCTGAACATGTTCCACTTTTCAGCGTTACATCATCCATAGAAATATCACCATGGTAACCATCTGTCATAATGCCTTCAAATATGAGCTGAAACAGAAATGACAGAATCTATTTACTAACAATCACATGACACTAAACAGCCAATAGAATTTCACTAATGGACCACAAGACCTCTACATGATAACACAGCAGTAGTTGTAGTTGGAACAGTTTTTAAATGATTAAAACAAATAGCAATATTTCATCAGTAAAGCAAAACCTGAGCAATGCTATTTCATGAGAGATGCAAATCTTAATCTGACTATTTTAATGAACACCTATTCTGTCAATTTTGGTAAGTTTTAGTACAATACTTGATGTCTCATAGCAACAGTATACATTCATGACAAAGCTTGTTTCGTTTTGAGAAACAATGAATTCACGATCATGTTACAAATGGCCATCATGACTTTCCTTCCTTAACATTCCATATTAGACTTCGGATAGACCCAAAATATAACAACACTTAGTCAGCACTATCTCAGGATCATTTCATTTATATTCCAGCTCAATTTCACTTATGGAGCTTGAGAAGAAATCTAAAATGCAGAAAGATCTTGCCCAGCGGATGGCAAACAATGACAAACAAAACATGATGGCTATATGTACATATTCCAATCTTTATGAAATAAAAAAGAAATTAACGTGTTTTATTCATAATAAGAACCAATATTGACAGGAATAGATTAGTATCATACATAAGTACTGTACTTACATTGAAGGGAGCAGCGGGGGTGAAGGTCACATTTGCTTGCCTCCACTGGTTCCCTTGATTTCCAGAGCGTGTCCACTCTGGGGATCCAGGAGTTGCCCCTGTCTGTACATACAGATTCAGTGTCCCAATATCTGACCCGTACATATGATACCAGAAAATGAGGCAATGTGGACCAGTCTGCCTCACTTGAACACTCTGTAGTAGTGCTTTTTCATTGACATGTCGCTGGGATGATTCAGTAAACACATAGTAACCATCTACAGTATAAAATGGATTATAAATTACTATTAGTCATTATAACTACCATGTTATGACAACTTAGTATTTACATTTTGACAATATTTTGATAAGATTTATGAGCCTCAACTAATGTCCAGACTGACTGTGTCACATTTCGAGCCCACCCTGTCAACAGACCTTATTGAACAAATCAAATTACAAAAAAAAAGGGGTGACCGATTATTGGAAACTGGCACAAAACGTTTCTTTACTACAAAATCATTTAGAAAATATTGAACAGACTTTGAGAACAGAAAGTCAAGGAAGACAAGCTTACAACAATTACTATGAAACAGACTTTGAATCCTGATCAAAACAATGCTTATGATAAAGGACAGCAATAAATCAGAGGTTTATTTGCAGTAAGGATCAGGATGGTCAAAATCAACCAGATGATAACATTACAATTCTTTTAACTAAAAGTGGGGGAGAAGGCTATAACAAGAGGTTTATCATAAGCCTATGAAGGTGGTAAAGAAATGCCTACTTTTCAACTTTTGTTTTGCCTTCAAAGTAAGAAATGAATGATTAAAAGTTTTGCCTTCATAGTAAGAAATGGATGATTAAAAGAGTGTGGGCAGTTATTGGAACAAATACAGTAAATCATGTGTATCTGAAATACTGTAACGTATTAATTAAATGTAACAATAGTGTGATGTCTTAGATATGATAATGTCTATAATGTCATATCAGACAAATTCACTGTGATTGTAGTCTTTATCCATGATGTCATGTAAAGTGTTATTTTTTAAATTCCAAAACTATTTTGATTATTTTTAACTATATCTTTTAGTAACACTGTTGTGTTTAAATCATTATTATTTTCTTTTTTTATGAAAGATGTCCTGACAAAGTAATAATGAAATACTGATGTTGATCATGAGGAATGTGATGACATATCTATGTATTGAAGATTATAATGTCTAGAGATAATCATGAAATACTGATGCCATTATGATATTTATAAAATGGTGTAATGATGTTGAAAATGATATGTTGGTACCATGATGATGATTATGATGATAAATGGATACACATATGTGTGTGTATAATATGTGAAATTTTTCAAATAATAAAATGAATACAAAAAAAAATATTTTCATTTGCTATGGTTGTAAAATCCTTCAAGGCTATAGTTGGCCATGTTTATAACCATAACAACTATCAATAATGATAACTTCACTTGATTGATTGACATATGCACCACACATAAAAAGTAATTTGAGATAAAGGACAAGAAATGTATGATATTTCAAAATAATATATTATAAATTTCTAAAAATAGTAACTGTGACCTTGATCTTGACCTCTAAAAAACTACCTTTTCTGAGGTACTTTCTTAGTTAACTTCTGTATATAAAGATTCGTCAAAATTGCTATCAAAATAAAGTTGTTAGATTAATGGAAGTGAATTGAAAGAATCTGGATGCTGATACAAGTTGAGAAAAACAATCAAGGCAAACTTATATGCCCCCATTCCTCTGAAGAAATGGCTTGGACATAAAACATAATGACATATATAACTACATCATTTAATGATCATGTACTTAAATATTTGTTTATTTAAAGAATTAAAAGTTTTAGAGGAGCTGTCCATGTATGGACCAGTTTCAACTAAAACAACATTCTGTGAAAAAGGACATGCACAACTTTATGGTGTATCAATCTTGCAGAACAAATTTTGTTCCGTTGACGTGGAAGATTAGGAGTAGTTGTTTGAACAAATTGTCATAACAGACAACAACACACAACACAGATAGATGGACAGAAAACACAAATAGATAGATAGACTAGCTTGTTCCTGTACAACCCTTTCAACTTCATCATTGAGAGAAGGGTTTATGAAACACCAGCACCGTATTACTTACGTCCAGAGGTGTGGTCAGAGGAGGGTCCAGTGCGGCCAGTTACTGTTGGCCTGTTCTGCCTTGTCCAATCAAAATCATCATTTTTAGGGTTTGTCCAACCACAGAAGTTTGAGTCGAAATTGCATGTGACTGAGTTTGTACCTATAAATAAAATTGGTAAGGAATTTCAAGGTTCTATTATTGATTCTCAAGAAATCAGCTGGAGTTTATTTAATCCAAAACCTATATATTGCTTTAAGTATCGTCATAAATGATTTTCATAGTTCTGCTGTCATTGTCAGAAACATTGTCTATCATGTGGAATCAATCAGCTGGTCACTTATTGGATGGACTCTAGATATCAACATCCCAACAGACACCTTTAAAGATTATCCAAGATCTAGATTAATTACAACAAGTCAATGTTACCCTACAATGCTGTGTGATTTGGGAGTTTTTTTCTCATATCATGATTTGAGTTCCTAAGTGTGCAGGACAAGTCAATACCATCAATATGTCACGTTAGCAACATCTCTGTTCTGATAAGGGCAAAGAGAAGCTTTGTTATATATCAAGAATTTATATCATATTAAATTAAAAGTGATTTGATACAGGTACCTCATTAGCATGTACATTTCGTTAAGATATATACAATAAGTAAAATGTTCATCTCATTGAAATTGATTTCTAATGGTCAACTTTCTGGTATTTCCATAAAGAAAGTACTGTGGATTCATTTATTTTCGTTGGGTTCAAATTTCGTTGTTTCTACAGATTAGACAGTTTCGTGGACTCATAAATTCGTTGATTTTTTATTCTGTGGAAAAAAATTAAAATCATTAGAATTTTCCCTAAGAAAAACGTTTTTACTTGCATTTTCAGTATGTAGTTCATATTTCATGGATTTGCTCATCAACGAAAACAACAAAAATTGGACCCCCACAAAATAAAATGAATCCACAGTTGTCAAGTCACTATACAAATGAGACTGAAGCTAAACAAAAGTATGATGTCAAAATGCTAACAGGTGAAAATAATGTCATTCTGTTGTGTCAGGTTTTTGTATTGTGAGTTGAAAACTGACTTGCTGGAGGAGATGTTCCTCCTGGCGTTGTTGCCTTTGTTGATGCAGTTGTTGGTGGTTTTGTTGAAATCTGCGATGAAGGTTGGGCATTACGTGGAGATACTGATAAAAATAAAAAAAATCATAACGATTTTCAATATCATATTGATTTTATTTCACCATGCTTCAATCAATGCTTGACAGTAAATATACCAAGGTCAGTAACCAAATCAGAAAATCTAAACATGCTTGAAAACTTTACCTAAAAATAACCTGATATAAACTTTTCAGAATCGAACAATGCATGAAGGGAACAAATTGTATTTGTCACTAAAATTAACAAAAGATTTACGAAGCCTGCTAAACCCCATAGCTATATTAAGTTCAAATAAATTCAGCTTAAACTACCCTGAGGTATATAGTCATGTATTATTAATGAACAAAATTTAACTTAAAACTGGTGTTAATTTTAATTTCTGACAATTAATTTTCATGCCTTTACCTCAATCAACAAAATCACTTGAGTAATTCACACAATAAAAAACGTTTAATCACAGTAATTCATAGACCAGGAGATTGATTTTAAGATGGACAGCTTTGTAGCAAAAACAATTATTACAGAAAATAGCCAGCCTTTAAACTAAAATCAATTAGAAAAACTTACTTGTACATATAGAATTTCTCACAAGAAAGTCATCCAAAGCAATGTCTCCTTGAACTCCTTTACCACGTATGCCAACAATGGCCAGCTGTAATAAATCATTGATTGTAGGATTAACATCTGAATTACAAGTTATCTCCTAATACACTATTACCATCAGGACCAAAAAGGAACAGCTGTAATCCATCAATGATTATAGAGTTTACAGCTAATTTAATAAAACAAGAGATATATCTCCTCCTCACAAGAGCTTTCAAAAGTCTGTCCATGAATCCGTGAGATATGTTTTACACAAGCTTTTTATTTCAAAAGAAGACAAATACATGGTGATTTTTTTACCTTTAACCTTGACAGATGACCATCAAAATCTAGCTAAGTGTAGACCTTGTTGGGGTGATGATATTTTGGTTCATCAGATATCTGGTACTTCAAATGTGTTAAAGGTTGACCTTTGGCCTTTAACATTGATTGATGACCACAAAAATCAAAGTGTAGACCATAGTTGGGTGCTGCTATGTTAAGAATATTAATTGAATTTGTCCATGGGCACATGAGACATTTTGTTGACAATTTTATCACTGATGCACAGACACACAAAATGTTTACTATATACATCCCCCTAACCTTAATTGGGAGTGTAATTTAAGTCAATCATTCAACACGCTAATATGTCATTATTTCAATTTGAAAACTATACATTACAAATGGGTCATAATAGAGTGAGACTTTCAAGCAAGAATACCTTGAAGTTATTTTGGTTGTTGGTGATGGGAACGCGTCCAAATATCCAGGTGCCATTCTGACTGCCACTCAATGTCCAGATAGGTCGGTCTACACCATTCACATTCATTATGACTGTGAGCGTTCCAATGTCAGACCCTTGCATGTTATACCAGAACTGGAAACACTTCTGTCTGGAGGACTTTCGAAACACTTGACTAATCAAGCGAGCTTGGTCATTAGGTCGCTGCGGAGAGCTTGCCTCAGTGTACACATAGTAACCTATTTATCAAATAGTCCTGTAGATTTAGTTTCACCATTTTTATTATTTAATGATTTTCATTTGGCAGTTACTTTGTCGGCTAATAAAAAATCTGATCAAAGAACTTCTTGAAAATCTAACTTTATACCAAGAAAAAGTAACAAACAAGATAGTTATATGTTTTGATAAACATCAAACTTTGTCATGTCTATGATTCAAACAAGATTCATCGCATAAAATATTAATACATGTACTCAACTTGTCTTAGTCAACAAAAATGATTCATTGAAATTACTTGATTCCCTATAAATTAACTAAAATTTGTAATTAATTCAATTTACAATGCTAATTTATTGGAAAATCACTTATTCCACATTAGAACTTAATATAAGTGACAAAGAAAAGCAGTTCAGTTGTCTTGTTGCCCTTACACTTCTACACTATCTTGAATGCTGTCATGTTGTCTTTTACACTTCTACACTATCTTGGCTGTTGCCTTGTTGCCCTTACACTTCTACACTATCTTGAATGCTGTCATGTTGTCTTTTACACTTTTACACTATCTTGGCTGTTGCCTTGTTGCCCTTACACTTCTACACTATCTTGATTGTTGCCTTGTTGCATTTACATTTCTACACTATATGACTGCTGCCATGTTGCCCTTACACTTCTACACTATCTTGATTGTTGCTATGTTGTCTTTTAACTTCTACACTATCTTGAATGCTGTCATGTTGTCTTTTACACTTCTACACTATCTTGATTGTTGCTATGTTGTCTTTTAACTTCTACACTATCTTGAATGCTGTCATGTTGTCTTTTACACTTCTACACTATCTTGGCTGTTGCCTTGTTGTCCTTACACTTCTACACTATCTTGAATGCTGTCATGTTGTCTTTTACACTTTTACACTATCTTGGCTGTTGCCTTGTTGCCCTTACACTTCTACACTATCTTGATTGTTGCCTTGTTGCATTTACATTTCTACACTATATGACTGCTGCCATGTTGCCCTTACACTTCTACACTATCTTGATTGTTGCTATGTTGTCTTTTAACTTCTACACTATCTTGAATGCTGTCATGTTGTCTTTTACACTTCTACACTATCTTGATTGTTGCTATGTTGTCTTTTAACTTCTACACTATCTTGAATGCTGTCATGTTGTCTTTTACACTTCTACACTATCTTGATTGTTGCTATGTTGTCTTTTAACTTCTACACTATCTTGAATTTTGTCATGTTGTCTTTTACACTTTTACACTATCTTGGCTGTTGCCTTGTTGCCCTTACACTTCTACACTATCTTGACTGTTGCTTTGTTGCCCTTACACTTCTACACTATCTTGACTGTGGCCTTGCTGTCTTTAACACTTCTACCCTACCTCTATTGTTGCCATGGGTGTGGTCTGCTGAAGGACCTGTGTTTCTTGAACTTGTTGTTCCATGATGACGCATCCAGTCAAAATCATCCTGCCTCACATTAGTCCACCCACATAAGTTTTTATCAAAGTTACAGGTTCCTGAGGGAAAATTGATTTGCAATGTAGGTTTTGATTAAAGTTTTGGCCATGAGATATAAGAGCATCTGATGACAGTCACATTAAAAAAAAACATCAATTATGTTCATCTTTCTCTTCAGATGACATCTTTAGACACTAATTGTAATATTCTCTGAAGCTCTTTTGTTTGCTTATTACAAATGTTGTCTTAAAGACGAAAGGGATTTCATCTATAAGTGAAAACTATTGAAATGTGACATAATGTAGACAACATCAATTGACCTTACCAATGGCTGGGCAGTTTCCTGAAGCGACACTAACATCATCAATAGCTATGTCCCCCTTAAAGCCTTGTCCTCTCACTGCTTCAAACACAACCTGAAATAAAAAGGCAGAATGTTTCATTACACCTAACATATAATACTTCTAATTTCTAGTAGATATACTGATCAAACCAATAACAAGGATATGAGTGTTTCTTTTTCTGACATATGTATTAAAACATGATTTGGTTCCTAAAGGCTCAAATTGATAAAAGTTAACTGGTTTAATAACTTAATGATACATACATTGAAAGCCCTTCCTCTCCGTAGTGTGACTTGAGCAATATTCCAGCCCACCCCTTGGTTGCCACTAAGGGTCCAGACAGGCTGCCCGAGAGAGTTTCTAGACTTGGTATATACATTGAGACTGTCCACACCAGTTCCATACATGCTGTAGTAAAAGGTCAAACACATGCTTCTTCGACCAGTGCTGGACGGACTGATAAGGCGAGCTTTTTGACCAGACTGAGTATTTGATGCATCAATGTACACATAATGACCTTTAAAAGACAATAAATGACCTTTTCATAAACCACTGAGAGTGTATTCATGGAGATTAAATGCAACCCAATCATAAGTTGTGACCTAAACTACAGTCAAAACTTGTTTGCTCAAATTCAAGGGATCATAGAAAATATTTCGACTTATCCATATTTCGGCTCAAACGGAATGTATAAATAAGGTTGACAATATCAGTTTTCTGACGTTGATTACGGATGAACGAAGTAGCGCTATGATAGCATGCAAACAGAGTAGTTTAATCTGATATTTGAAATGGCAGTAAATAAACAAATGAATTTATCCTTCTTTCTCCTTTTATTGTTTATTCATCCAAATAACAAAACATGTAATAACAACTCTAATAAAATGCAATCGTACTCGCGTCGTTTCGTTCACCACACACGTGTACAATACCCTTACTGACCAAGCACATAAGCACCATATATTTTACAGAATGACATAAAACAAAATTAAAATTTGCTTTTGATACACTATAAGAAAAAATGTATGAAGCCAAAGATCATATCAATATGACTTTACTATGAATAAGTAAATGTATGAAAAACGTGTCACTAGAAAAGTTTTAGCTGTTACAGAAATAATTGTACAAGCACCAGACTTAACAAATCACACACTGATATAGACTCTATCATTGAAAAAAACTTCCAGCACTTCTTTGTCCGAACACTAAATCTAACGAAGTGCCTGATCTTAGTCCTTTAGTTAACAAGCTCAAAATTAGTTTCTTTCCGAATTGTGGGGATCACATTTCATCAACAAGAGATCCCAGAGGGATCTTGGCGCCCACCATTTGAGGATCTGTTTTCAGTTCTTGAAGATTTGTTTATTTTTTTTTGTTTGTTACAGGTGTTGTAAATGTTCATGAACTGGTCTTCATTGAATGTACTCAATGATGGCACAAGATATTTTTATTAAACACCTATTAGCAAATATCATGTGAAAAAGATCCCAAAGTATTATTAGATAGCAGTCAGTTACAGGTGGATAATGGACAATATGCTTGTGCTGTATTACTGTCGACATCCAAGATGGCTGCCTGTGGGCCACCTTGATTTCAAATCAGTCCAAAAAAGGTATAATGCACAACTAGGGACCAAGGGAAACCAATATCTATGAAATATCAGAAGGATCCATCCAGTATTTCCTCAGATATAGCAGTAACAAGATTTTACTCTCAAAATCCAAGATGGCTGCCTGTCAGCCATCTTGATTTCGGATCAATCCAAAAAGGTATAATGCACAACTTGGAACCAAAGGGAACCTGCATATGAAATTTGAGAAAGATCCATCCAGTACTTTCCAAGAAATAGCAGTAACAAACTTTTACTTCCAAAATCCAAGATGGCTGCCTGTCGGCCATCTTGAATTCGAATCAGTCCAAAAAAGGTACAATGCACACCTAGGGACCAAGGGGAACTTGCATATGAAATTTGAGAAAGATCCATCCAGTACTTTCCAAGAAATAGCAGTAACAAACTTTTACATCCAAAATCCAAGATGGCCACCTGTCGGCCATCTTGAATTCGAATCAGTCCAAAAAAGGTACAATGCACAACTAGGGACAAAGGGGAAACTGCATATGAAATTTGAGGAAGATCCATCCGGTACTTTCTCAGAAATAGCGGTAACAAACTTTTACTTCCAAAATCCAAGATGGCCACTTGTTGGCCATCTTGAATTCGAATCAGTCCAAAAAAGGTACAATGCACAACTAGGGACAAAGGGGAAACTGCATATGAAATTTTAGAAAGATCCATCCAGTACTTTTCCAGAAATAGCGGTAACAAGAATTGTTTACGGACGGACAGACGGACCACGGACCTCGGACGGCAGGGCGATTTGAATATCCCACCATCTGATGATGGTGGGCTAAAAAGTATGTCCTGATTTAACAGGTTTCATTTTTATCATTCCTGAAGATGCACACAACCAAGCTAAATGTTTTTATGTTTTGTGTAAACGTGCTACTTTTTTAAGGTAAGTCACTTCTAAAGAATGGTTACATTAATTAAGAAGCCAACCTTTAACTGGATAATTAAACTGTCAATTAATAGCAAGTGATCACATGTTATGTGAACGATGGACGGACACCCCGTTATTAGCCATGTGTTATGCACAGAAGACTTTCTATTCTGTGTATGTATTGACTGATTTCGTCATAAGACGTGCAGATGTTTTTACAAAAATTAATTTCAAGGCAACGAATGACTTTTCCCTTGCTTTACAACTGAAGGGAAAGAAAAATCACTGCAACTCAACCGAAATTTCGACTCAATGAAATTCCAGTCATCCAAACTAAAATTACGGAGATATAGAAGGGAAAAAATTAGGACTTGAAAATTATTTCCACTCAAACGGAATTTCAACTCAAGCAATTGTGATACGAGTTTCAATTGTATATAAATATATGGATGTACCTTCTACTGAAACTAATGAAATTTCGACTCAATGAAATTTGAGTCATCTAAACTTAAATTATGAAGATATAGAAGGGAAAAAATTAGGCCTTGAAAATTATTTCCACTCAAACGGAATTTCAACTCAAGCGATTGCGATACGAGTTTCAATTGTATATAAAATACATGGATGTACCTTCTACTGAACGAATACATTTCATACTTTCCTTCAGATAAACTTTAAAAGTGATCAATCTAGCACAAGTGAAGCAAAAATGTGAATTATTTAAAGACAAAGATAGGATGGACAAATAATGAACAACAAAGTGGAATCTGAACAGAATATTCAATGCTCAGTCATGTACCTTGTTGTGTACGGTAAGTATGATCACTGTTGGGTCATGTTCCTTGTTGTGTACCATAAGTGTGGTCGTTGTAGGGGAACCTACCTTGTTGTGTACGGTAAGTATGATCACTGTTGGGTCATGTTCCTTGTTGTGTACCATAAGCGTGGTCATTGTAGGGGTACCTACCTTGTTGTGTACCATCAGTGTGGTCATTATTGGGGAACCTACCTTGTTGTGTACCATAAGTGTGGTCATTGTTGGGGAACCTACCTTGTTGTGTACTATAAGCGTGGTCATTGTAGGGGAACCTACCTTGTTGTGTACAATAAGCGTGGTCATTGTAGGGGAACTACCTTGTTGTGTACCATAAGTGTGGTCATTGTTGGGGAACCTACCTTGTTGTGTACCTTAAGTGTGGTCATTGTTGGGGAACCTACCTTGTTGTGTACCATAAGTGTGGTCATTGTTGGGGAACCTACCTTGTTGTGTACCATAAGTGTGGTCATTGTTGGGGAACATACCTTGTTGTGTACCATAAGTGTGGTCATTGTTGGGGAACCTACCTTGTTGTGTACCTCAAGCGTGGTCATTGTTGGGGAACCTACCTTGTTGTGTACCATAAGTGTGGTCATTGTTGGGGAACCTACCTTGTTGTGTACCATAAGTGTGGTCATTGTAGGGGAACCTACCTTGTTGTGTACCATAAGTGTGGTCATTGTTGGGGAACCTACCTTGTTGTGTACCATAAGTGTGGTCATTGTTGGGGAACCTACCTTGTTGTGTACCTTAAGTGTGGTCATTGTAGGGGAACCTACCTTGTTGTGTACCATAAGTGTGGTCAATGTTGGGGAACCTACCTTGTTGTGTACCATAAGTGTGGTCATTGTAGGGGAACCTACCTTGTTGTGTACCTTAAGTGTGGTCATTGTTGGGGAACCTACCTTGTTGTGTACCATAAGTGTGGTCATTGTAGGGGAACCTACCTTGTTGTGTACCATAAGTGTGGTCAATGTTGGGGAACCTACCTTGTTGTGTACCATAAGTGTGGTCATTGTAGGGGAACTACCTTGTTGTGTACCATAAGTGTGGTCAATGTTGGGGAACCTACCTTGTTGTGTACCATAAGTGTGGTCATTGTTGGGGAACCTACCTTGTTGTGTACCATAAGTGTGGTCATTGTAGGGGAACCTACCTTGTTGTGTACCATAAGTGTGGTCATTGTTGGGGAACCTACCTTGTTGTGTACCATAAGTGTGGTCATTGTTGGGGAACCTACCTTGTTGTGTACCATAAGTGTGGTCATTGTTGGGGAACCTACCTTGTTGTGTACCATAAGTGTGGTCAATGTTGGGGCCAGTTCCTGATGTAAGAGTAGCACCTGATGCCCGTGTCCAGTCAAAGTTGTCACTCTGATCCTGTGTATAGCCACAAATACGGCCATCTTCAAAGTTGCACTGAATACTGGTAGAAGTATTCACGCCTAAAACATAGGACAACTTGTATAATACCGGTGTAGCCACAATTTTCCTCCCTCTACACACCTCTATAGACACTCATATATTGTCATAATATACCTCTATAGACACTCAAATATTGTCATAATATACCTCTATAGACACTCAAATATTGTCATAATATACCTCTATAGACACTCAAATATTGTCATGATATTCCTCTACAGACACTCAAATATTGTCATAATATTCCTCTACAGACCCTCAAATATTGTCATAATAAACCTCTATAGACACTCAAATATTGTCATAATATACCTCTATAGACACTCAAATATTGTCATGATATTCCTCTACAGACACTCAAATATTGTCATAATATTCCTCTACAGACACGCAAATATTGTCATAATGTTCCTCCATAGATACTCTGATATAACTCTACCATCCCTCTACACTCTCAGATATCACCATACTATCCCTCTACACACTCAGATATAACCATACTATCCCTCTAAACACTCAGATATAACCACACCATCCCTCTACACACTCAGATATCACCATACTATCCCTCTAAATACTCAGATATAACCATACTATCCCTCTAAACACTCAGATATAACCACACCATCCCTCTACACACTCAGATATCACCATACTATCCCTCTAAACACTCAGATATAACCATACTATCCCTCTACACACTCAGATATAACTATACTATCCCTCTACACACTCAGGTTTGCTACATCCTCAGCAAAAGCAATAACATCCCTCACAACACAAGACATAGACCTAATATTCCTCCTGACACTTACCATTCTGGGGACATGGTCTGGTATTATACGTGATGTCATCAATAGCAATGTCTCCTTTGTAGCCCCGACCTCGAACTGCTTCCAAAACAAACTGAAAAAACATCAGAATAACAGCATGTTATTGCTGAACTGCATGACAACAGAATCATTACAAAGATGAAAGAAAAAAACATACAGGGCTAATCATATACAAAGTATATATGTGTCATGTCTTCATATATTAGTACTAAGCATTGTCCCACAGACACTGCTCTAACCTCTGGAAATGGACTTGTTATTTCCTGGAGGAGGGGTATGTAACCCTTATAAATACTAGTCGCAATATACCGGTCAGCTTGAGAGAACTTCTCTTTAGCTCCATCAGTTGAGCATCAGACTAGTAAACCTGAGGTCCCACATTTGAATCCTAGTGGATACACAGAAAAGAACCAGATAATGACCTCTGTCACACATATCATCGCAATGAAGTAAATCTATTTTCGATCTAGGATGAAGGAAGCAAACCTTGGCCCTAGTATTGACAGGAACATCGACTAGCGCATGCATCCATTTGTTTCCCTGGTCACCGCTGCGCTGCCATACAGGTTGGCCATTGTTGTTGTTTTTCTGTAGGTACACATTGAGGTTATTGACATGTTGGCCATACATATAGTACCAGAAGGACAAGCAGGCCTTGCTGCGGGCTGACACCCTCACTGCAGGACTCGTCAGCTGGGCATTAAAACCAGCGGTTCCTGCATTAGCCTCAAAGTACGCATAGTTTCCATCTGTAAAACAAGTATAATGCTAATCAATGCTGTACTATGGGTACGCTCCCGAAGAAGATATTGTTCAAATGATGTGTGGTATTATACACGATCAAACAACTCTAAGTATATAACTGAAAAGTGTTATAAATGTCAGAAAAAAACGATAAAACTCAGAGGAATAGAATTTCACTCTGAGTACTAAGAAGCTGGAAGCACGCTATGAATAATGAAGCTGTGCATGCATCTCCCGTGGTTACATAACACCTATGGAGCCAAGGCTGAAGAGGTCAAGCTCCAGATTACCCTGTACAGGTAGTGATTGACAGGGGCTTCAATGATGACTGCATACATAATTATTATATTTATTATATGAATATCTTTTAATTGTATACATATTTAGTTATTTCAAATTTCTATTAAATCAAATATTAATTTAAGACCTATGTTTGGGCAAACATCAGTTATTTTCTCATAAAAACAAGGGCGTTTTTTACATAAAATTAAATCCCTAATGATCCAACACACGTACAGGTATAGCATGCATTGTTTTTTTCAATTATATAACTGTTAAGCAATTTATTTGCAAGTTTTAATATTCATGCAAATATGAATTAATAATTTTAAAGTGGAAAATGTATATTAAACACAGCTTTTATGTAAAATGATGACCTCAATCAATCTTTAATTGAATTTATCCACAGGTAACTTTAATTGATCACTCGTTATACCTGCCATATGCACATGGGTGCTCACTCAGGTTTGACCCCTCTACACTTAATCCTCTTATGTAATTGACTGGTTGGCCAGGTGTAATTAACAACTTCACAGCTAACATAGCACCTATCATCATATTTTCACTATCACCTTAAATATATGCCTATATGCATTGTTAATATAACTTCTCTTGAGGGGGATCAAAATACTATAGGGGGGATCATTTTCTGATGGCCAGAAATATGATCCGGATCCTTTTCTGATGGGGGATCCAAATATGATATGACACCGGTACTAACTGAATGGAGACAGAATTAATATTGTCCTATAAATTAAAGCATATATCATTTTAATTCTTTAGAAAATTAAAATCCTAACCGGTGTGAAATAACCACAAAGTACAAGACTGAAAAGTTATTGTTTTTTACATGAATACGTAGACTAAAATGTATTTAAAATGGAAAATGGGATTAAGCTTTTTTTTTAAACAAAAAATGCCACTTTCATTTTACAGGTAATAGAAAAGAACCCTTGTTTTCTAAATGTGCGAAGAGTTATAGGATGTCGTATTTTGAGAAAATGCATCAAAGATTATTTTTCAAGAGTTTTTTTTCACTGCTATACATTTTAATCAAACATGCTGAAGACAATGTAACATTTATTTTCCTAATCATGCTGCTTTATTTCCCCATTTCTGCTAGTTGCTGTACTTACGTCCAGTCGTGTGGTCATGTGGTGGACCTGTACTCCCTGTTGGTGTTGATCCATTAATCCTCTTCCAGTCTGTTTTATCGCCGGTTGCTTGGGTCCATTGACAAAAATTTTGTTCAAAATTACAATTTAGATTCTGGCCTCTGGCAGCTGTAAAATAACCAAAATGAAAATATAATAAATACAGGCTTGTGTAATGGTAACCCACCAAATCACAGGTAATTTGGTGATACAGATGATAATACAGGCTTGTGTAATGGTAACCCATCAAATCGCAAGTGATTTGGTGATACAGATGATAATACAGACTTGTGTAATGCTAACCCACCAAATCACAGGTAATTTGGTGATACAGATGATAATACAGACTTGTGTAATGCTAACCCACCAAATCACAGGTAATTTGGTGATACAGATGATAATACAGGCTTGTGTAATGGTAACCCACCAAATCACAGGTAATTTGGTGATACAGATGATAATACAGACTTGTGTAATGCTAACCCACCAAATCACAGGTAATTTGGTGATACAGATGATAATACAGACTTGTGTAACGCTAACCCACCAAATCACAGGTAATTTGGTGATACAGAAGAAAATACAGACTTGTGTAATGGTAACCCACCAAATCACAGGTGGTTTGGTGATTCAGTAATCAACCTATCACAGGTGGTTTGGTGAAACAATTAATGGGGGTTGGGGGCTTGTATTCTGACAATATCTTAGTCTGTCCCTATTGGCATATGTGTAAAAGCACATGTGTAGAAAAGTACATTTTACTAGAATTAGAATTTAGTTATCCGAATGAAATTTAATTAAAATTGGTCAAGAAAAGTTCACTGATAACAGAAAGTGGAATACACCATTCAATGATCGCTTACTCAAGACTAAAGGTTATGTGACCAATTAAAAACAAGGCCCTATGTGAGCCCCTTTTACACAACTAGTTTGGATTTGTCACAGCTACTTTATCCATACAGAAGAAGAAAGTCTTTTAAGGTTTATTACAGCTGTACACCTACTGGACCCCATGGATACATTTCTGATACCTAAGAGGTACAATTCAAAACCAATTTTCTCAAAATCCCTTTATCCTTACAAAAAAAAAGGATTTGAAGATTTACTTTTTATTTTCCCAACTGGAACCAGCCTCTGCCCCACTGCCCCTCGGGTGGGCGGGACACTTCATTAATACAACATTGAGTCCCTTTCACCTAAGGATGCTTCAGACCAAATCTGAAGAAATTCTCTCAGGTGGGCGGGACACTTCATTTATACAAAAATGAGTCCCTTTCACCCAGGGATGCTTCAGACCAAATCTGAAGGAATTCTGTCATTGCTATACAAGTCTGCAAAAGAAAAGCAGACTTTGAACAAAGTTATGTCTTTCCTACATATTTCAAATCCGTTTGGATGATATACTGTCATTCCTTTAATATCTTGCCATTCCTACTGACAAGATAGACTTTTGAAGAATTTGCATTAAACAATCTTTTGGGTCCTGCCTCTTAGGCCCCAGGTGGCTGATTCCCCTTCCCTAAGGATGTTCATGACAAAATGTGGTCAAATCAGAAAGATTTTAAAAGGATTGACCTGTTTTCCCTATTGAGCATTGCCTCTGTCCCTAGGGTGGTCAGGCATACCATTTATATAAAACAGGGTCCCCGTCACCTGGAGATGCTTCTGGTGAAATATTGAGACAAAATTCTAACATTTCTATTGGATAAGAGGGGATGAGATGGGAAAAAATTAACTCACAAACACAAGTAATTCTTTTCACAATATGATCTTTCTACACGCAACAATCGTTAGATTTACTCTTTTAGAGTTGCTATTTCTAGAGAGCGAGTTTGGGCCAGTGTGTATTTGTGGTTATTTTTTCGAAAGAATATCAATGCCAAACAACGTTTTATTCAATAAATATTACATGATATGCTAAACACATTCTAATACATTTATGTATCAACTTGGTTGCAATTCATCGGCGTAGCGTTACTGAAGCATCAAGTCCTAGGCCTAATTGGTCGACGTTATATTCAATACGCCTCTCGCCAATCCCTTGGGAAATGATTGTTATGTCTATACCACATAACTTGCCAACTTTTGTTGAAACATCTGTGCCAAAATATCGTGATCTTACCTACGAAACGTGTCTATCGTTTTAGTCTAGATTTCTACCAACCCCAGCCTCCACAGAAATTCAGATGTCATCCCTACCCTCAACCACTTCCGGCAGGAGAGCAGACGAACTTGGGGTTTTCAAAATGTTTTTTTTATCTTGTTCCAGGAAGCCAATGGGGGTAGGGCCGCTTATTTTATTGATATTGATGTTGTTAAAAATTGAAATTATTTTCAATAAACTCATTCCCTTTTCAAGTCAGAGGTCCGAGGTACCGAGGTCTCAACCTAATATACAGCCCCTCATCCATAGGGGATTGGTCGAGCCTCGAATGAAACAGAACAATTCTGAAGGCTATAATTTACTTAGTAATTTTAAAGGGCAGAAAGTCTAGACATTTTTTCTGACACAAATTTGCATTGACGCGCGTGTTGTCCTGTAAAATTTAATGACTTTCTACTTGTTAGTTCCGAGGATAACATCGATTGAGTATGTACATGTATCGATGTGTGATAATCAATGCTTGATCGCGAGGATCACCGAACGGTACACGTTTCACGAATACTTAATCTGAAATGATCAGTCTCGCATGAGAACAATGCAACGAAAATATAAATCCATCTCTCTTCAAGACTGATCAAAACCTCCTCTGGGTTCTTTAAAAAAGGGTAAGAAAACAAAATTAATTTCTAATGCCACTTTCTTTAGGACAGTGTTCGTGGTATTTGGTATGCATCGTGCGTAATTTGGTTTGCAAGCATGTGTATGTGCCACTTTCTGGTCGAAGGAGACAATCGACGCCATATGCAACAAACGTTTCTCTGTACATCTCATGACAAAGTTTCTTTTTTTTAACATTGAATTTAATTCGAGCTGATAAACGAAACACATATTTTGCATTTTAGAAAGGCTGCAACATGTCTTTCAAACAAAACATCACACACAAACACAAGAAATGGTATTTCAGAACTCCGAGTTGTTACATTTCGGTAGGTTTTTAAGCAAAAATTAAACGCAGACTGCAAATGCATGTGTTGCGCCATTATCAACATTCATAACGTAAATTCAATTACCAGTGGATTTCTGACAAACGCCGCGAATGAAAAACGCTCCAGGATAAATTACCGCGACAAGTGACTTAAGTATCTCAAAATTATAACACGGGCGAATTCACTGGATGTGATCAATGTTGTTCTATATTTTTTCGTTTCCGATGAAAGAAAAACCTTACGTAAATAAATAAATAAATCTTGTTACATGTTGTTCAATGATGCGACATTATAACAGTTACTGAGAGTAGATGTACACGGCACTCTCCAGTATATGTTATATGTGTAAACATAATCATGAAATGTGTGAGACATTGTATGTAATGCTTATGATAAACATGGTGTTGGTGCGCAGTTTGCATATTTGTATATTATATGTGTTTGTTATGTTTAGTGGTAAGTTGTGAAAACTTAAGCTTATAAAGAATCTGAAACATTCCCGTTGATAATTTCTTTAAAAGAAGCGGAAAGGCTCGGTCCCTCTCGATCACACCGAAGTCGCTAGACGGTCGGAGCACTCTTTTGTCCGGTCCTTTCAAATTTCATTAGGTGACTTAATATACCATACTTTATATTTGTATGATGACTTCTATTAGATGTCTTAAATAAAATCCTGTATAACAATATTATATAGCATTGTAGTTGAAAGTCATTTGCAAAATACAGAATGAACGGATGCTGTAATGACGAGTTTAAAGAGAGGAATCCCTCTTAAATCAGACTAGTTTTTTTCACTTTCAATCTCTGTTTCTTACTCTCGTTTCCTCTATTTCAATCTTCAAAATGTCTTGGATTTCAATGACAACTTCCATGCACTTCTCTGTTGCATAAATTCAAAGCAAGTTTTGGCTAACGATGATGGAGGGGTGTTAAAGTTCGTCACACGATGAAGGAGGGGTGTTAAAGAAAATATCATCACACGATGAAGGAGGGGTGTTAAAGAAAAGGTCATCACACGGTGAAGGAGGGTTGTCATACTTTACCTGGTAATCCAACCACCAGAATGCCGAGAAAGAAGTAAACTCCGTTCATCTCCCTCCGAGATCGCTGAGTGTATTCCGCGACATATATTTAGGATAATTCCAATGTAGATTACCACGAGAGAGACAGGAGAAAGACTGTTACATAGGCCCAGTGTATGTGTCTATATATCATCCACCCCTTTACGCTATCTCATCGGGTACAGTAGTCCACACAGATAAACAAGCCACAGTCCCTTTATTATGTAAACTTCTGTTTCATAATAAATACCTTCGTATCAAATAAAGTACACTTTCTTATGACATTATTCTTTATGAAGATATTAGAATCGGGAATAAATACTGGCGAGGAGGGATTTTAAAATGCATGTATAGAATCAGACGATAACACATAATTAGGTACAGATATTAAATATATCAAGTGTAGGCTCAAATGAGGATGAATTTTAATACAAATTTCGAGGAGGATAACATGCTTGGCCATAGACTCAGCTCAAACGAAATTAGGTATAGACTCAGCTCAAACGAAATTAGGTATAGACTCAGCTCAAAAGAAATTAGGTATAGACTCAACTCAAACGAAATTGGGTATAGACTCAACTCAAGTGAAATTAGGTATAGACTCAACTCAAACGAAATTAGGTATTGACTCAACTCAAACGAAATTAGGTATAGACTCAGCTCAAACGAAATTAGGTATTGACTCAGCTCAAACGAAATTAGGTAAAGACTCATATCAAACGAAATTAGGTATAGACTCAGCTCAAATGATAAGGTTAAAGGAATTAAAGGTACAGACTGGGCATCGGAGATGTTGGTTACGTACAGGCTTGATTAAACACCCATCCGGTGAGGAAACTCTAATAAGGCACAGACTTTATTAGACACTCAATGTGTACAGAATCTGGTGAGGGGACACTAATTAGATAAACATTCGTATGAGGAGACACTAATTAGGTATAAACTCAGGAGAAGACGCAATAGTTAGGTACACAATCGGGTGAGAGGACGCTAACTAGGTACAAACTCAGGAGAAGACGCAATAGTAAGGTACACAATCGGTTGGGGGACGCTAACTAGGTACAAACTCAGGAGAAGACGCAATAGTTAGGTACACAATCGGTTGGGGGACGCTAACTAGGTACAAACTCAGGAGAAGACGCAATAGTAAGGTACACAATCGGTTGGGGGACGCTAACTAGGTACAAACTCAGGAGAAGACGCAATAGTTAGGTACACAATCGGGTGAGGGGACGCTAACTAGGTACAAACTCAGGAGAAGACGCAATAGTTAGGTACACAATCGGTTGAGGGGACGCTAACTAGGTACAAACTCAGGAGAAGACGCAATAGTAAGGTAGAGAATCGGGTGAGGGGACGCTAACTAGGTACAAACTCAGGAGGAGACGCAATAGTTAGGTACACAATCAGGTGAGGGGACGCTAACTAGGTACAAACTCAGGAGGAGACGCAATTGTAAGGTAGAGAATCGGGTGAGGGGACGCTAACTAGGTACAAACTCAGGAGGAGACGCAATTGTTAGGTAGAGAATCGGGTGAGTACTATTTTAGGTACAAACGCTGTTCTGTCGTAAATGACACGATATTTTTGCTGTTCTCTCAAAAGAATTTGTATGTTTATGAAACTGACACTTTTGTCTGTCTTTCTGTTTTTCGGACTGTATACTTATATACGATTTTCTGATATCTCTGTCATTCAGGTTTACACAGCCTTGGACAAAGTACGTGTAAGTCAACAGCTAAGCCATAGATTTTATAAGATAAAGCCGTGTTATGCGCAGACATCATCAGTACTTATATCACTGATATTCTGTACTAAGTAGAGTTTACGTTATCAAGTTTTCATGTGGTGTATATCTATTCA